TATTGTGTAAAAGTGATGAGTATACTGTTATCAGTAGATCCCTCACTTGCACAGTAGATTTGGGAGGTATACAGTGTAGCTGCTAGGCTAACAAGTCCATCTCCCTCAGTGCTTCTTAAAACTTAGGAGTGCCACACGGTAACGACCCGGTAATCCTCCGGGAGCTTCAAAAAGAAACTCGATCATTCACCCAGAACAACCACCACAATATGTTTTCCGGCTCCCTACGGGCTACGTCACAGGTTCCTTTTTCAAACACCTCTCCGCAGTGTATCTGATTTTTGAACTGCAGGACACACAGCGGGGCCGGGGTGAATACTCAACAATTTGTGTGCAGCAACCTTTAATGTTTCAATAACCACAGGGGTAGAACAAACTTATTAAATAAGAGTTAAAATTTGATGATAGTTTCAGTTGCCCCGAGCCCCCTGGTGATGGTTCCCATTTGAGTGCAGACTTTTGTCGAGCGAGCAGCTCCAGCTGTTCTCCGTGACTTGATCGGCTACGATTTGAAATGTGCCAAAGAGAGCTCATGATTATTTGGTAATGATTTAATGGCCTGGGTTCTACCGAGTAAAACCGTTCCCCGAATAAAGCTCACTTGGAAGGGCGTACCAGATCATTTAGTCTGCTCACTTCAAAGTTCTAGTTCACTTCAAAGAAAAGTGCTAAAATTATCGAACAGTCGGGATCACATTTAATCAGCATCATTGCATTTCAACTTAAAAACCATCTTCAAAACCGCTTACTTTGCACAAAGAACTGATTTAGAACTTGAGAGCTCGAAGCTCGTTATTAGCAAATAGCGGGTATAGAAATTGGACAGCAGCCAATATAATGTCAGCGCGATAATCACGTGATCTTTATTCACCACGTGAGTCACACTGTACTTTTTAGCAAAGGTTTGATACTATTTAAACTGTAATGACATAGTGTCGTGTGGAAGGATATATTATAATATAACTACTCCCACCTTGACAGAACAAGTGTACAGCTCACTGTGTCCCAGATCTCATCTCTATTTGCTGAGACTTCATGTCTCAAGTCTCCACGTCAGTAGTAGATTACTGAATCTTGTTCAGGTTAGAATCACCATGTGATGGAGTAAAAGGTTGTGATTTATTCAAACTCTGTCGGCTCTGTCTGTGACGGGTAGAGGCGTTTTATAACCATCAAGAAGGTATCATTCAATCATTGTTACAATGGTACAAAAGTAAGGATTTGCATGAGTTCGAGGACTCTTTTGTGCTCGGGATCTAAGACGTCAAGCCCCTCGGAAAGTTTCTGTTAAAATCAAGATACGCCAGAATAATGTATCCAGCAGTACACCCTTAATTCAAGTTTTAACAATGTCGCTGACTTGATAACAATTGCCACCTTGCCCTCAGCGTCTAATTGCGGTATACTAGGAGGGTGGAATTTGTGCCCTAATGAACTAATAAATTGGCCGGGCAAGGATCTGCCAGATTGGAGTCGACTAATGCGCTGTTTCCAGAGTGTTGCTAAGAGAGTTCATGGGTTGTTACGCTGTTCAGTGTCCTGGTGACTAGTTATCATACTAATTCAATATCTGACACGTGCTCCACTTATAGCTGCACGTGCTTGTTGCACTGCGCCTGCCAGGCTCAACTTGTTTTAACACACGTGCAGAATGCAGAATTGAATGAAACAAACTATTCTGATTTGAATAAATCCTATATTATTGTACGTGCGGTATAAGCCGCTTCAAAGTGTCATGCCAAGAAATTTGAGAGATTTTACCTTTGATGTTGAGGTGTGTGTCATTATCAGGGTGTACTGTTCAGAACAGGGTGCACTGTTCAGAACACATTAGAGCACTATACAGTGTCTACGAAGGTGTTATAAAAGTGGTAACTTTTAGCATTGTCGCCCTCTACTACCCTCACTACCCCCCCTCTGATATGATGATAATACCGTTACAATTGACAAGGTTTGTGTTATCAAAGTAATCATATTATCGGGGACCTGATTGTATGGAGATGCGATCAAAGGAGGGTGAGTGCGTTTAACGTGATGTCCTTCTCTTGAAGATTATCAGCTGACAAAAGTTGTGATGTAACCCGCCCCCATTATGATGAGATACTAAAATAGCTTTGGTTTCTCCAGAATAACACTCCCGGCTCATCATTCCCGATAATAATAACCTTATCATAATAGTTCGCCATAACCTTATCGCTATCATGTGACATCTTATGTAACCGATAATATGATAATATGCAAGAAATGCTTTTAGCAAATCTCGTATCAAAGTGGCCTCATGATGTGCCTGTAATATTGTCTATACTATATATTATGGTGATAGTATCCGCCTGGGCGATGGTGTAAAGGTGTAAAGTGTAAAACTGGGGAGTGGGTGACATGTAATTTAGCGGAGTTGGGGTGCATAACATTAATAAGTAATTCTGGAGGTGCTAATGTGCTATATAGAGCGTTTTTATCAGCACTGTATTCTATGAAATGTAAAAATACCATAGTTTTAACCCATGTAAGGTTGTCTCCAGAGAATTCAAGTATTTAATAATTTGCATAAATTTTCATAATTTTCCGTAATATTATATGTGATGAAAGACTGAACACTACAGTAAATACTGCTTGTAATAATAATATCACGCAATGTAAGAAATACGCACGTGCTAATCCACAGTCACTGATAATGTTCTAGTGGCGACACCGTAAACCGATATCGATAATACGGTTCAGCCTGGAAATTACAGCCCAATCGATAACTCAATGAAAGTAATTGTTTAGTAATACTAGTAAAAGTAGAGGTTGTGAGTGACAAATGCCCCCTTTTCGCAGCCTCATAATCCCCCCAGTAATCTAGCGGGGTCTGCACGGTTTGAGAGATATCAGGGGGGAATGCTGGCTAGTAATCCTCACTTCGTGTCGAGTTCGGCCTTGTTTTGGGAGGAAGGGAGTTGACGGGGTGAGATCAGGGGCAGGTGCTGGCACCACCACCAGACTCTCTCTCTCTTGACTGACACAGTCTTATCACACAGTGAGGGGAGCAGTGGGGAACAGTGAGGGAACAGTGGCTCAGTGGGGTGTGTGCTTTATTGCTCTTTACTTTCCCATAGAATAGGGCTCAATAGATCGGGGAGAATGAAGTGAGCCGGAGGGTTGAAGAGTTAAGGTGGATGATAATTGATTATTAGGTTCAATTTAATAACCCGCCCTAAACTTTTACTCATCGCATTGATGTCTAAAACATTAATTATTTGACCGACGCGTCTTAACTTCGTGTAATAATGTTACAGTCCAAATGAAACTTTTACATTATAATATTTGGTGCCATGTTATGAAATAATGATAAATGGTGGGAATATTGGCTGATTTGTGGTCCCCGATAATTTGCTCTCACCTTTTCCTGATTCCCTCCTCCCTGTATTCAGTTCCTCTGGCTCTTTAAACCTAAGCCTCACTAGATTTTTAACCCGTCGACACAGTAAAGGTTCACATTCTTTCACGGGTCGATTTTAAAACCATCCACTTTTAAAGATTATGATTCTAGAACAATGAATTTTCAGAGCTGTACCATAAAATCGTTGCCTTTAAGCAAAGATCATTTGGTGCTATTTTGGGAACTTTTGTAATGGCTTTTATACGATTCCAACAGATACCTATACTAAATGAGACAAATCTGTTTGACAGCTGTTGAGCTGAAATGTTAAACAAGTCAGGTAGAATCCCCTCTAACTTGTGTCAAATAGTTTAAGAGAGTAATGCTACCTGGACCCGGACCCCCACATGCTCCCGAACAATAACTAGATTCATGATCAAGATGACATGTTATGAATGAAATGCCCTCAAGATAGCTCACCTCTAGCTTTGAACCGCAGAGCACGTTTTAAACAACCCTGAAAACTTCTTTGCCTGTGACGTGGCTTGTTTACTGAGAGAGAAAGATTGCTTGACTTGTTCATGATCGAGTAGAGAGAGACGAGGCTTGGTCACACAATCGTAATAGCATTTTAATTCGAGTTGACGGAAAGTTGAAAAGTTAAGTGAAAAGTTAGAGATGACTCTAAAAGCTTTACCTCACATTTCACAGCGTAACATTTAGCCTCTGTATAAGAGCTGACTGAGGACCGCTCCTAACAGAGCGCCATTTGTCATGGCAACCACTCTCACTCACCAATTTGTCACATCTACATCCGGCCAAGTAACGGGTTACTCCTTCCCCACTGATGGTGCCTAATATTGCTCTCTGAACAATGGATAGAGTGGCTAAAAGTGGCTAAAAGTGGCTAAAAATGGCTACAAGTGGCTAGAAGTGATTCGCCCCACCCTCCCTCCTCTTCCCCTCTCACAGCTAAATACAATAGCTAGTCGACTGTCTGGTTAACTATTGAGCTCTACCCTACAGCTGTTCCCATTGAACAATGTACATAATGAATAATGATATGTACCCAGGAGATAACTCTCGGTTATTATACCGTGTTGTAAAGGTGCTGTCTGCTGCTCAGTGAAGCCAGTGCTAATTAACTGAGTGCTAATTAACTGAGTGCTAATTAACTGAGTGCTAATTAACTGAGTGCTAATTAACTGAGTGCTAATTCACCGCTCACTTCATCACACACTCCCTCACATGAAACTCTAAACTATAGTTACATGTAGACTTGTAGAGTAATACAGGGGGTTAATGTCACTTCTAATGTTCTGAACTCTGAACAACAGGCTATAAAATAGAACTTATACCATCTTCTATTGTGTTACAGATATTCCATGATGAGTCTTTGCTTAGGAATGTTTTTGAGAAAGTTAAATCATCAAGATTAACTGTGTAGTGATAGATTCATAAAAATGACACACTTTGGAAGCTCAATGACTGTTCATATATTTTAAGATTTGAGCTATTCATTCACCGTGCTATATAAATCACTTCATGCCCATGTTTGGATATCTGTTCATACCCATATTTAGAGATATTTTTTCATGCCCATATTTGGATATCTGTCTCTAAAACCACTCTATTTCAGGTATCTGATCTGAGCTACTCTAAGAGACTGGACACGGTGTCAGGAGAAGGGCTCTGTCCGGCTGATCCTAACATGTCCGTCACGTACACCAAAACCTCCACCGGTATGTTACCTTTCTATACCTGCAATTGTTCTCCTGATTTTTCGTTATTATGTGTCCTGATTATTCATTATTATGTGTCCTGATTATTCGTTATTATGTGTCCTGCTGATTCGTTATTATTTTGTGAGCACAGTTTCAAAGGAAACTGACTCTCTAAAACATGTTCCGTCCAATTGTCCTAAATCATAACCCTTTTGTCGGCTCTCCTGTTCTCGTTATGAAATGATATTTTTCTTTTAAAATAAACAATTGGAAAATATGGATGGAATTTTACGCTTAGGACAGAAATTAGGGTTAACTTCAAATTTGCATGTTACATTTACATGGATTACGGGTTGAGCAGAGTATACTCCTGTGTTACACACTGTACCTACAAGGATTTGTTTTAACCCCCACTTCAACATGACACTTTAATAATGAGTTTCCCTCCTTTCGGTGATGAATTTGTCAGGAGCGCGTTCAAATTATCATAATTAAGTGTCAGTAAGTACTACCTTTATGACAAGCAGCAACTTTATTTAGTAATATAAAATTGCCATCTTTTGTCATTTGAGGACCAAGAAACTGAGGGGAAGGTGATTTGTGACAACCTACCTCCGACTCTGACTGATTAATCAATATTAACGTACGGTCTTACGGTGTACAAGTGTCCAGAGTCTATTATATAACTTTATATATAATATTAGATCACAGTTCATTTCTGTGCAGTTGTAGTAGTATATAACATAGTAGTAGGGTAGTAGTAGGGCTCGACCAAATCAGGCTCATATACCTGATCAACTTCTTGCTGCTCTAAATTTGATTAGCTCCGTTGTAAAGGGAGAGGAGGTAAAGTTGCTGCATACCACCACTCTATTAATCATATTATGTTATGGTTATGTGAAAAGATAATATTGAAACATGTCAATGTTGCCTGAGTTAGATGTAAGAGCTTTGTTATTATGGTAAACAAGAGCTGGCGGAAGAGTAGATTAGATTGAGATACTGTAAGACTTGTTACCATGGTTACTGTGAGACTTGTTACCATGGTTACTGCGAGACTTGTTACCATGGTTACTGCGAGACTTGTTACCATGGTTACTGTGAGACTCGTTACCAAGGTTATTTAAGCTCAAACTAACTTAATAGACTCGCAATAAATACTAGGACAAAATAAACCTTCTAGGTATCTTCCTGACATGGTGAGATTTGAGATAATTCCGAAAATTCAAAATGCGTATTTAAACGTCTAAAATGTTGATGTTATACGGTGTTTAGGATATGATATTGATGGGACCTTGCATTTTAGATTAGATAACTAAACCACCATTCTTCAGGTGTTGGTTTCGCTGGAACTTGTCGGAGTGTTTGTACTCAGCACGCCATTTCTCGCATGAACCTACAGGTCTGCTCATTATCTTTTATTATTAGTTAAATAATATGTTTATTTTGTAATCAACATTGACACCTACTTTAACCATCAAAATTACATTAACATCAACCACCAACGAAGTTTGGGAAATAGAGTTCATTGGCGGATTGTGAAAGACACATAATTCACAATCTCACCGATCATTATCACGATTATAATAGATTCAGTTCATCACTCTTAGTTTAACGACATCAAACTTGACAGTTATATGTTCTGAGATGAACTGTTCATGTTCTAGAGCTACTTGGTAACCATCGTAATCATGGTTCCGTAGAAACGAACCCTGGCATGTTGCCATGTATTATACTATACAGGGCCAGGGTGTTTCAAGACTCGTGTACTTGTAGTTCTACAGTATATTACTATACTGTACCTATACCTACAACAGCTGTAGTATACTACGTAGTGAGCTATATAATAATTCTTATACCTGACATAGCTCACTCGGACCCTCGTGCAGTTGCTCATGGTTCAAAACGTAATTTCGCTCGTTTGGATCCTTAAAATCAGACTCAAAGTCGTCCACTTTTACCGTTTAAAAGACTTGACATAAGTACTGACGGTATATATTGCTATTGTGATATTGGATCACGATTCTAACCCTCTTCTTTATCTATAATTACTATAGAAAACTTGAGCGAAGCAGGATATTGTTATATAAACGAACATTACCGAGAATTTAACAACCTCCATATTTTATACAGTCGGTCAGATCTTTGAACGAGAATGTGGTTAAGTGGTTCTGACATGACACAACATGCACCACTTCCCCTCGTGATGGCCACTTACAATTCCCCACATACCAGCTGTACAGTGTACCTGAGCCCCCTCTCTCAGCGCCTCTTAGCCCCTCTCTCGGGTCAGCTCGCTTCTTTATCTTCCTCCCTCCCTCTCAGTCATCACAAAGCGCGGGGTCTACAGCTAAATTCATTAGCTATATCTGGGATATGAAGTTTACTGAGCTGGTTTTTGTTAAAGTGGCACGTGTTGAACCACGTGTTGTGACGTCATGGCACGTGTTGTACCACGTGTTGTGACGTCATTGCACGTGTTTTACTGAAGCTGTGAGAGTTACTAAAGTTGGGGTGCAAAGTAGTGCTACGTCTAGTGCACCACTCACTCGTTGTTCCTTTAGAGGGTTTGATAATTGATAAGACCACTTTGATGAGATGAAAGTACGTAGTGTGGAGTATTATTTACTAAGCTGATATTATATAGAGGTCAGAGGCTGTGCTTTGTTGTTTTGTTGAGGAACTAAGAAGCCCCACTACTCAATACTCATTATTATCACAACTATCCTCACTACTACCAAGACTAGCCATTAAACTGTATAATATGATCATTATCCTCCTTCAAACCAGATTATGTTTACTAATTAATCACATTATTTGTTCTCTCTCAGGCTGGATCTCTAGTCGCAACTGCGCGCACCTTCAAGACGGAGGAGGTACTAAGTGGAGCTGATTTTGTCTACTCTTTTGAGCAGGACGACTTTGTTTACTTCTTGTTTAAGGAGACCGCTCTTGAAGAGGAAAGAGAGGTAAGTTCTCAAACACAAGGAAGTTTGTAAATGGTACATTTTGTATAGTCATCGTTCCGAAAGTCAGTAGTATAAGAACTACGAGGGGAAATGACAATTTCTTTCGGATGTTAACATCTAATCGCCTGGTATGGCCATACCACGCCGTGAAATGGTACATATTTCAAATCTGTAGACTTGTTATCAAAAGATTCAGAGTATATCAGGACTTTCGGGTGCCTTCAATAGGCTATAGAATAGCAATCATTGATCAGTAAATCACTTTATGTCTGCGATGAAAGTTTTACAAAGATCGTTAGTATTCTGCATAATATCATCATAGAACCAGATGTCTCGATCTCCCCTGCATAATCATGATATATGTAATAGATATTTGAGAGTCTTCCTCCTGATTCGCCAGATAGCCGCTGGAGACCCTCCGGCTTGTAATCACGGAGTCATTTAACCAACCCATAGTCCAACTGTGTCGCAGTCAGTCTGAGAAAAGTATTACTATTCAGTATGCGTCTGGAGTTGGGCATACAATCTCCATCACAATGGCAAACCTTAATGGCCTGGCCCGTCTGCCTTTTGTTGGCAGTGGTAGTGATGAATATAGAACCTATTGGCTGCCTATTATCCTTATACCTAGACATCGTAACTCCAGCCTTCTCTGTCGCGCTTATCTCAAGACTTCAAGACGGGCGGGTTAAGTAACTGGTATTGTAACTCATTGGTATCCTAACGGGTAACTATTAGCTACAGTACTCAGATACCATTATCATATCATTAGCAAGGCTCTTTTTCTGGGTAACTCAACCTTGGAAATTCAGGAACCAGGCTCAATTTAAAATCCGTTAACAGATCATTAGAATATTCTAATAGCTCAGATTTCAAGATGATCCCCGACCTCCTGTCCAGTGCCCATCAGTTCAACTGCGGTTCACAATAATTTCACATGATCTAACATAACATTACAAACAACAGCATTGGAATATTTTTCACAATCAGATAAAAATGGCCCAATTAATAAATTTAAAATTAACAATCCCCTGACCACCCTGCAGTACGTCTACTCGAGAGTAGGACGATTATGTAAGAACGATGTTGGGAGCAGCTCTGTCTTCTTCAAAGATTACTTCAAAACCTTTCTAAAAGTCAGGATCTACTGTACCAGCAACCAGCCGGGGGAGACCCCTTTCGACCACAACGAACTGGGTAAGACATTATTCAGTACTCAGTATTTTGTCGAGTACCTACCTGATGAACATTAAGTATTTCTTTATTAGTTACGGGTCACTTATTGAGTTATTGAGGGGGAGGGTCGATTTCAAATGGTCTCTTATGATAATATTATGTATTCTCTTCGTTTAACTTAGTAAATGACGGTGTCATTTAATTTTCCAACCACTAACTTGAAATTGATTGATCACCTTCCTTACTTCCTCGCCTCAAAGGTAACGTATTTTGAATGTCCCCTTAAATTTGCAGACAAGTCGTCATCTTGTATCCTCCGCCATAATTCCCGAATCTTAATGAGCATCATGTATGTAGTATGTACTCTATTATAGTCAATCTAACTAAAATGAGTAATTATTATGGAAAACAATATACGATATCGTCTGTATCCCGATCCCTAGTCTGTAGTGTTGAACGACGCTGCTACTGTTTACACACTACACACATGCACCAACTGAGGTCACGTGTTGTACGTATGATAATATCGTTAATAGCTTATATTGGTATGTATCGTAAATAATTTGAATTCTATGATGATAAAAGGTGTGATATTATATAGTTTAACTTCGAACTCTGCTGTAGGAGGGCAGAGTGGCGACTGTAATGTTATTTGGCAGCCCCAAATTAACGCATTTAATAACATGAACCTACGTAATGAGAGATAGAGCTGACAACTTACCTTGGTATATCATGTCGTAGCAGGTGTTCAAATATCTGGCACTCTCAGCCTGGTTTTCATGTCATGTTCAGTACTCAGTTCCAACACGGTGTTAATAAGGCAATCAAGAGAGGGGGCAGGGGAGCTGTGCGCACTGGGAGCTGGTGTACTGTGCGCACTGAAATGGTGTATAGTATGTCCACTTCTCATGTCATCGGGCACTCCGCAAAGTTATTTGTATATAGTGATGGTGGTGTCTCTCCCCTAGGTTATCCCAACCGTGACAGACTTTCGTCTAATGTGGCTAATATATGCAGTGTGAATAAATTATGTTATATATAATATGAATAAAATATTGGTATGTAAAATAATTAGGATAATATAGTGTTTTAGCATGGAAGGACGGCGTGCCACGGTGGTGATCATTTATTATTTTGTGGGGCTGTGCCTGCACTGTAGCGTGAACATGTCCTTATACGGGGGTGCTTGGATGGAAGTTTGAAACCATCTTTAAACGAATGAGGAGCAGCTGACTCCACCACCACCTCTCTTGACACACAGTGCTATTGTTAATAAATGCTGCCTGCAAGTGCAAATACTGTCGGAGTAAAGCGGCGTGAGCATTCTTTCGGAACTTATTCTAGATACATTAGGTTCAGTGCATATTACAATATTTACATATTTATTTGTACTGTTTCCATTACGACCGTCACTCCATTAATTCATTTTATTTCCCACCATGTCTAGATTCCGCTCTCTTTTAAGATTGCCAGAGCTCTTTGATTTCAACCAATAATAAGGTCCTAGTTTTGATAGAAGGAAGACGGTTTGAGCTGACTACTTATACTGCAACTGATAGCTGCGTTGAGAGCTAAAACATGAGCAGCAATTAAAGTTAGCGCAATCCTTTCCCAACACTGCCAGTAAATGTGCCAGTAAATGTAATTTACGTGGAAATGTGTAGATATTGCCTGGCACTTTAGGTTAAACCGTAAAACAAAGATACGGCCGCAGTTACTGCAGGCTAGGTTTAATCCCTCATGAGAGGATGGCGCGCAGTGAGCCGTGTCGGCTAATGATGTGAAGCTGTGTTAGTACCGTGTTAATAACTCACATTCTCCAAGCACAGTTAGCACATCTCATAGCACAGTTAGCACATCTCATAGCACAGTTAGCACATCTCATAGCCAGTTAGCACATCTCATAGCACAGTTAGCATGTATCTCATAGCACAGTTAGCACATCTCATAGCACAGTTAGCACATCTCATAGCACAGTTAGCACATCTCATAGCACAGTTAGCACATCTCATAGCCAGTTAGCACATCTCATAGCACAGTTAGCACATCTCATAGCACAGTTAGCACATCTCATAGCACAGTTAGCACATCTCATAGCACAGTTAGCACATTCTCCCAGCACAGTTAGCACATCTCATAGCACAGTTAGCACATTCTCCCAGCACAGTTAGCACATCTCATAGCACAGTTAGCACATCTCATAGCCAGTTAGCACATCTCATAGCACAGTTAGCACATCTCATAGCACAGTTAGCACATCTCATAGCACAGTTAGCACATCTCATAGCACAGTTAACACATCTCATAGCACAGTTAGCACATCTCATAGCACAGTTAGCACATCTCATAGCACAGTTAGCACATCTCATAGCCAGTTAGCACATCTCATTGCACAGTTAGTACATCTCATAGCGCTTATAAAACTGAGTCATCACCGTGTCACGTGTTCCCCTCCAGTGTATTGCACTCCGATAATGTAAAACAATCCGATATCAGTGTTATCGAGAGGAACACCAATTTACGGCAATTCGGGGCCAGTTAACTGATAAATTAGAGCACTGGTATTCACTGATAAGGGGCCAGGGAATTCCTAGGAAGTGCAAAAATATATTTGACCAGGTGCGAATTTTTACCAATTTATCGCTGACCTGTTTTTAATAGGATACGTGTTAACGGCAATTCGTGTTGTCATCTTAGTTCCACGGTACCGTCGGTACCTAAAGTGGTGATATCTGTATGGGAAAATTCGGTGGTTTTTGGGGAATATCATCCCCTGATAATAATGTCCCCTGATTGCTCCTGCATCACCAAGTGTTCACAGTTCAGCATGAATGAATCTAACTGTAGCCAAGCTCTATAATTGCTCCATCCTTTATTGACCACAGCTAAACTTTATAGACCATAGCTAGACTTTATAGCTAAACTAGGACACATCAAACATCGTTTACATAATATTTTACATACGTTTCATTAGCCATAATAATATCTTGATGTCCCAAACAATAGACAACACCGCAGTCAGCATAAGGTGCAGATATATTGCTATACTTTACCAAGTTTACAGTTCGATAAAGACTACTGATTTGATTGAGATGTGCCTGGCACCCCGCCTGTTGGACTTATTATCAAAGCGCTGATAAGTTATGCTATCAGACATAATATATTATGATAAGTTATGCTATCAGACGAAAAAAATGACAAATAAATCGGTTTTACTCTCTTAAATATAGCCTAGTCGTGATAAGACTGATTCGAAGCCTACCACGCACAATGATTTTGTAATGCTTCGGTGCATTTTAAAAATCGTTCCTTGTCGTGAGCTCCAAATTCCCTCCCTCTTCATACAAAGCCCGGTCCGGATTATGTTTTTATGGATTATTTATGCGAATTGTTAGGTCATAAGTTTTTTGTCATACTTAAAGAACACATAATGTTCTTAAAATACTTGGTTATCCGGCATGGTTCATATTTTAATTACATTACACGCCGTCCCACTCTATTGTGGTCGATTATTTATCTTTGATCGGCAATCAGCAAGCGACCTTTGCAGAACATTGGTCTCATTAATTCGATTGTTAATTGACGGGAGGTCCCATTATCTAAGAGCAAGTCCTTGCTTGAAATTGCACGGATGACAAGTCATGATATTGTTTAGAATTTGTTATTCAGTTCTTAGTGCACACAATTATAATTGAATAAAACAGTGAAGTTCTGGGGATTGAAAATAGCGTGCATACCTTTTCAACAAACTGATCTTTCAAGTTTGATCAAATAAAAGACATTTTTAGACGGTGTCTAGCATCTAACCTTTAACGTTTAACTTTTGACTTCCGATCTGGCCACAATTCTGCATCTAGGATGAGTTAAACATTTCATCCTAAATTAGCTGACTAATGTTGAACTGCCTGATGTTTACTTTGTGTTCATTTAACTATTTCTGTTTCAGGAGGCGCTTGGTTTGATGAAGGAGTTCTCTACACCACTTTCTCCGGGCCCAAGTGAGTGTGGTATTTATTGTAACCTTATAAAATACCTGAAAACCACCTTAAGAAGCACATAAAACCCACTTTATAAACTACATAAGCATGCATAACCCCACTACCACAAACCGTCTAACCAGTATAACCAGTATAACCTTGCTTGCTCTTTCAACTAGTCCTATGAATGCAACAATTACCACGGGCTTGCTAAACCCACCACTAACCTGAAACTAAACATAAACCACACTTTTAGAAACCTGGTCAGTGGTTCCATACTCTGCACGTTTACTCTCCAACAAATAGAGGCCGCTTTCAAGGGCAAGTACAAAGTACATGACTTTGACACCATGAGGTGGATGCCAAAGAAGAACTTCAAGCCAGTACAGGTATGAGAGAAGGTCATGTTCCAAAGAAGTGCAGAGAGGATGAGATCACGGGGGGACATGTCAAATTTGACATATTTCTCAAATAGTAAAACTCAATAAAGAATTGGGGGAGCCCTTATTTTGCTAGATGAGCTCATTAAAAAGTAAAGGTACATTTTTCGTACCCTAGCACATATTCTACTAGTGCACTACTAACACTGCAACATGAAAGAAGAACAATAGTAATCTGAATGTAAAAAAAGGGAACCGGCACGTTGGACATTATTAAGGCTTTACCTAACTTGGGCCTATTCTTAAAATAGGTCGAAACATTTGTACAGCTACTAACTACCCTCCTCCTCCTCAGTGCACCTCCCACCCCAACATCACAGCAGCCCGTGAAATAGTGCTGATGCACGACCCCATCTTCTCCTCGACCCCTCTCTACTCCTACCCCTCACACAGACTATCAGGCTTAGTTGGCAGGGAGTTCTCCGCCTTTGGTTCTACTTTTTACGAGCTCTTCTCTAGTAATGGTAAGATTAAGGACACGTTGTCCTGTATATTTTGTTAGTAGATATTATATTCTCGGGAGTGTCCCGCATCATACCTCGTTTAGTGGTTATAGTATGTTGACTTCTGAGCGATAAAAATAGCTAAAGAATGTGGCACGTGGTTCTGAAAGTATTTGAAGTTGGTGAGAAGAAAGAACGGCATTTTAGGGCTTGTGCGCCGAGTTTGTTCCCCAACAGCTCAATGTAATCGTCTAAGTGTCTGTAAGGCTTCAAACCGTGGACCGATCACAAAACCCTGTCAGATCCGAGAGCGATGTGTTAAGCTCTAACTCTGGGATAAGGTAGTAAATATTGCCCAGATGAGAGAGATATGTTTACGTGGTGACACCGAGTACGGCTTCTTAGCAACTTCTGGTCGGGTTTAAACGGCTTTTAACCAGCTTACCCGAACTTTTCTCGAGAAAAATTCGCTCTCTCCGGGTAAGGTGGATAGTCGTGCTTGGAGGGTCGAAGCTCAGTAATTGGTTGAAATAAGTACGATAATTGGTATGATCTATCAGCAGAGGGTAGAAATATTTGGGAGGAGCTGGCACCTACTCCTAAATAATATTATACAGTGTCATCTCCCTTATCAAGATTCTAGAGACTAGATATGTATCTCATATTGTTAGTTTGCCAATATTTCAGTCACTGAGCTGCGACTGTAACAGAGATGTGGTTGTGTTATACTTACTCCTTTATAATATTATGTTTAACCTACTGCTTTATAATATTATGTTTAACCTACTCAGCTACTCCTTCAATAATGGGATATCAGTTTCAAAGGAACTAATTCTTTCAGATACTTTAAAACTAAGCTACTAACCGAAAAATAAGTGAGATAATTTGACTAAATCGTGATTCAGATTTGTTGTTTCAGCTGAAGGGAAAGTTATTCGTGTTACATACGATAAAGGTAGCCCCCACATCATCTATGATCAGACCTTCCAAGCGGTACGTTATGTACGGTTATTTATTGTTTTCTCAATTCAAAACAAAACGTTTAACTTTTTTTAAATTTAGTCAGACTGTCTCAAGATTAAAAAAGATCTAGAAGCTGGTATGTAATTCGTTAAATGTCTAGACATACCTCAATTTTAAACCATACAAAAAGAATGCAACTCTTGTTGAATGTTGAGTCCGTCTGATCATGATGAGTTATGATAGGTAGGTAGTTATGATGATTGATGCTAGACCACATGCTTTTAAAACTCTTTTTTCAGGCTAATAGCGAGATATTATCTCTGCTCCTTGACCAAGATAAGATCTACGCTCTCTCCCAGACCTCCGTCACGATGATCCCTTCAGAATACGATTGTGGCAAACCTAAAACATGCCAGTAAGTGAAACACGTCCACCTAAGTGGCAGGGTAAAAGTGAGGAATTTACCGTGCCTTATGAACAATATCTCTTGTTATCGCTTCTAATATCTACTGATAACTTTAAAAAGTCTCCAAATTAATTACGATAATTCTCCTAAACTGTGGTCAGACCAAGATGTAATTACGGTGAATCGTGATTTCTTAGTAACTCCTCGAATAATTTGAAACAAAATTAATGTATACGTCGGCTGTCTATTTACTTGAATTATGTCCATTCAGACTAATTTATGATGACATTTTGGTAATTGTTTTAATTTTGTAGGGGTTGGACATCATTTTATATATAGAAGTTAACCCTGCCATACTATGTAGATAAGTTTGAAAGCAGTTGAAAGAGGTTTCCCGTGCCAGCAGCCATGTACATAATATGCAGTAATTATCAGCTAACCATGTTTATTGCATCCAATCTGTTTATTGTTAAAGTACAGTTAGAAAGGCATTGAAGTGTGTAAAGGCAAGGGCTCTGTGTGGGGAATTGCTTGATTTGCCAGTTCTCATTTGTCGCCCACTTATATGCGACTGTATGGAACGCGCAAGTCCAGATCTTTTGTTATCCACTCCACGTGTGCGCGGCTTAATATAATATAGCTAGCTGGCGCGCTAGCTATAGCTGCATGAGCCCGGCCGCTCCGATCCCTGCGATAGCCAGCTCTAACTAGCCTGGCTACATAGTGCCGCTCTAGCTGCTCTATTAACAATTTAGCTAGCTTTAATATCAAATTGCAAGATATACGCTAACAAGAAAAAGCGTTTCAATCGATCTTTATCGGCTAGATCAAAAGTTATCAAGTAATGTGTATTTTGTACTATTAATCGTCGATCCAGTCCATTCCATCGCTGACCAAGCACATGCGTCGCATGCTCGGCCAGGCCCGACTGCACAAAAATTCTTGCTTGGTAGATTGGTGACAAGAATTTAATCAACATAATATTACGAAATGACACAAGTTATTAAAAATAAACGATGTCGTGACCCTTACTTGCGAAAGTTCAACATAATATCCTTAAATTTGATTATAAAGTCTTGACACAAGTTGGCATTTGTAATATTATGTACTAGGTGTGTTACAGTAAAAGTTGACTTTATCGATTATAGTTAGATTATCGTCGACCCATTTGTTCGGTCAATATTATGTTGAATTTAACAGAATGCACACGAAACTTTATTTATAGATGCCTGTAATCTTCATTTGCCTTAACAATGTAACCAATAGATATTGAGCAACCAATCTTAATCGCAATAATCTAAAGACGATTTAATTGTCCTCTGTACATCCTGTCGTCTCATATCCTCGAATACCTAAATCCAGAGCAAGGTTTGCCAAATTTACCTGTGTTTGTGACGTGGGCTTTTTCGAATTTGCAGCTCCTTTTAAGGTACTTGATGGCTAGCAGTTATGAGAAGCTACACATCCAGCGGTTCAAACAAATGTCTTAAGAATTTCTAAATTTGTTGGTAATAATTACAACCGATTATAGAATATAGATATGTTACATTTTCTGGCGGGCCGTTGCTAAGTCAGTCAACTGCGTCCAGTGCATCATTAGAGCTTCTTAGAAAACTATAATCCTTATCGCCCGTCCTGGAGCCAAACTCATTACCTCAATAGCCGTAAAACGTCATTCATTGAGCCGATGTGGTCAAATTACAAACAGAAGAAAGTCAATAATACTCTTATACTCTTATAGCCAGAAGTTTTAACAATTAATATTTCGATTAGACGTAGACCAATTTCAACCTTCAAACATTTACGAGAATAAGTATTAAAACGCCGTCTTACTATGTGAACAGCGCCCCTAACCTCAGTGCTCCCTCAGATCTTGTATATCCCACCCCTAACCCCAGTGCTCCCCTCAGATCTTGTATATCCCACCCCTAACCCCAGTGCCCCTCTCAGATCTTGTATATTTAAAGTCACTATTGTGACGGTGGGGGGGAACCAACGGGCATTAATGGCAGTATTTTAAAATTTTGTTCAGACTGCCACTGCCATTAATGCCCATTAATGCCCATTAATGCCCATTAATGCCCATATTTAATAGAAAAATCGAAACCATGAGACACGTGCTTTCTCGACAGTAGTAGTTCTCTATCTCAGATGGCATCTAATACGCAGACCACATGAGCACCAGCTTTCAATCGGTACTAGAGCACTGAGGCGAGATCCTTCCGGGATGTATGATCCTTCTTCGTCTGTATCAGTATCGCATGACCCATAGCCTTGCTGGCTAAGCTCGGGTGGGCGACAATTGACCCCCCGACAATTGACCCTAACCCTGACCCTAACCCTAAGTCCTAACCCTAACCCTAACCCTAACCCTAACCCTAACCCTAACCCTAACCCTAACCCTAACCCTGACCCTGACCCTGACCCTGACCCTGACCCTGACCCTGACCCTGACCCAGGACCCTGACCCTGACCCTGACCCAGGACCCTGACCCTGACCCTGACCCTGACCCTGACCCTGACCCTGACCCTGACCCTGACCCTGACCCAGGACCCTGACCCTGACCCTGACCCTGACCCAGGACCCTGACCCTGACCCTGACCCTGACCCTGACCCTGACCCTGACCCAGGACCCTGACCCTGACCCTGACCCTGACCCTGACCCAGGACCCTGACCCTAACCTTTATCCTGACCCTGACCCTGACCCTGACCCTGACCCTGACCCTGACCCTGACCCTGACCCTGACCCTGACCCTAACCCTGACCCTAACCATAACCCTGACCCTGACCCTAGGACCCAGGACCCTGACCCAGGACCCTGACCGTACCCTGACCCAGGACCCTGACCCTGACCCTGACCCTGACCCTGACCCTGACCCTGACCCTGACCCTGACCCTGACCCTGACCCTGACCCCGACCCTGACCCTGACCCTGACCCTGACCCTGACCCAGGACCCTGACCCTGACCCTGACCCTGACCCTGACCCTGACCCTGACCCAGGACCCTGACCCTGACCCTGACCCTGACCCTGACCCTGACCCAGGACCCTGACCCAGGACCCTGACCCTAACCTTTATCCTGACCCTAACCTTTATCCTGACCCTGACCCTGACCCTGACCCTGACCCTAACCCTGACCCTGACCCTGACCCTGACCCTGACCCTGACCCTGACCCTGACCCTGACCCTGACCCTGACCCTGACCCTGACCCTGACCCTGACCCTGACCCTAACCCTGACCCTAACCATAACCCTGACCCTGACCCTAGGACCCTGACCCAGGACCCTGACCGTACCCTGACCCAGGACCCTGACCCTGACCCTGACCCTGACCCTGACCCTGACCCTGACCCTGACCCTGACCCTGACCCTGACCCTGACCCTGACCCTGACCCTGACCCTGACCCTGACCCTGACCCTGACCCTGACCCTGACCCTGACCCTGACCCAGGACCCTGACCCTGACCCTGACCCTGACCCTGACCCTGACCCTGACCCTGACCCTGATCCTGACCCTGACCCTGACCCTGACCCTGACCCTGACCCTAACCCAGGACCCTGACCCAGGACCCTGACCCTGACCCTGACCCTAACCCTAACCCAGGACCCTGACCGTACCCAGGACCCTGACCTAGGACCCTGACCTAGGACCCTGACCTAGGATCCTGACCCTAACTCGATCAATTGACCCAAGTGTAATTACATGGTGGGTCAATTGTCGGGGGTCAATTGTCGTACTAAGCCCTTGATTTCGCGACAATTGACCCCAGCGTAATTACATAGGGGGTAAATTGTCGGGGGGTCAATTGTCGTACTAAACCCTAGATTTCGCGACAATTGACCCCAGTGTAATTATATAAGGGGTCAATTGTCGGGGGGCCGTCAATTGTCGGGGGGTCAATTGTCGGGGGGTCAATTGTCGGGGGGTCAATTGTCGGGGGGTCAATTTTCGTACTAAACCCTAGATTTTGCGACAATTGACCCCAGTGTAATTACATAAGGGATCAATTGTCGGGGGGTCAATTGTCGGGGGGTCAATTGTCGCGCTACCCTAAGCTCTTGGTCACCTGGAGAGGGGGCAACCTAATTTATGTCAGAAACAACAGAAACAACCTTATTATAGCTGTAGGAGCAGTGTTATTTTAACCAAGCAAGGTGGGCACAAACGTGACGTCACAAGCTCGGTGGGGAGCATAATTAGATCTCCCAATATCTCGGGATAGGAAGCAGATAAAAAGGTCCGGTTTTGACTAATCTTAGTTATATGTTACATAACAACAATATATTAAAATATAAGGGTGGGTTATTTTTGGGCGTCATGAACCTTTAATATGGTCTGTAGACAGGATATTTATTGTAGGTATGAAATAGACGTGACCTGAAAGTTTCAAAAGCGAATAAAAAAGTATGGGCATTAATGGCAGTATTTTAAAATTTTGCACAGACTGCCACTGCCATTAATGCCCATTAATGCCCATTAATGCCCATAAATGCCCATTAATGCCCATTAATGCCCGTTGGTTCCCCCCGTGACGGTACATTCGAACTAGACAGAAACAAAGTGCCCCTCTCAGATCTTGTATATCCCACCCCTAACCCCAGTGCCCCCTCAGATCTTGTATATCCCACCCCTAACCCCAGTGCCCCTCTCAGATCTTGTATATCCCACCCCTAACCCCAGTGCTCCCCTCAGATCTTGTATATCCCACCCCTAACCCCAGTGCCCCTCTCAGATCTTGTATATCCCACCCCTAACCCCAGTGCTCCCCTCAGATCTTGTATATCCCACCCCTAACCCCAGTGCCCCTCTCAGCTCTTGTATATCCCACCACTACCCTATGTGTGGGTGGTGTTACGGACAAGGCACCTGGTCCTGCACTGAGTCCCACACTTGTACTACCTCCTGGATATCTCCTTTATCACAGTGCGAGGACCCTCCCACGTAAGTTTGCAATGTTGAATCTTACATTCTGATGAATACTCACTGACATTTTAGGATTTTGTGCTATTGATAAATGATGCGACCATTCTCAGAACAGAGACTGAGAGACAGCTCATATCTTTCGAACTTTGCTACATGCTTATTGAAATCTAACTAACAACAGGTTTAAGTCTGTACCAAAGAATGAGACCTTCCGAGAGGGTGAAACAGCAATACTTGTCTGTTCTGCCAGGGACAGCCATCCTTTCTTCTGGACAAAACCAGGTTAGTTAAGCTGTGAGTATAACTGTAAGCACACTAAATTTTAGTGATCATTCTTTTAGAAGATATTGATATGGTAATTTATTTTCACGTCCGTCTTGAACACCACTCTCTGTCAGGAGGAGTAATTCCCCGGAAGAGCAAGACAATGGATAACGGTCACCTGCTGATACCTCTCCTCCGGGCTGAAGATGAGGGCTGCTACCGGTGTAATATGAACAACACAAGCGGAGCTGTATTCGCGGAGGCCTGCCTGTCCGTCCTCGGTTTGTTTGATTTTTGTACTGATTTTCCGATGTTTTCCAATTTAAAAAAATAAAATTTGCCTGTTTTAGGTTGTTGTCTGGTAACTTTCAGGTGATTTACAAATGAAAGTCCATTGTTTCAGTTTTAAATAAGGTTGTAACATAAAATATTCATTTCGTCATTTGAAAACTTAAATTTGAAAAGGTTAAAAATCTACGTTGTTGACAAGAAAGGGTGGTTTGCTATCATGCTTTCCGTACAACTATGTTGTTACTACATAATATCATAAATTGTCTTTAGCTAAATCTAGAGTCCTGGGTTTCTATAAAATAGAATTGGTCCATTTAAACGTCTCTCACGAAGGTGTTTACACCAAGTATCTTTAAAGTTGAGTTGTGGGACCCTTGTAGGAAGCCCCCTCACCTGAAGGTATTTCATTCAAACTCTTTGCACTCAACGGTCGTGATGAGTCTGTTTTTCTGAAGTTGGGGTTCCTGATGGATGCCATGGAGATGTTGGTCACGTTGTTTTGCGCAGTGGTGCTGAACCTCTGTAGTTTCCTCTTGAGGAACCCTGACAATGCCTGACCCCTCATTATGAGGATCACTGGATTTAGTGCTGCATTAATGAACGGACACATCACCCCTGTCAGATAAGAAATCATGCTCACGGTTCTTTGGCTGCTTTTGTCAAATTTTTTCTCTAAAATTCCATATGCTTTGAGACAATAATTTATAGGGTAATACACGTAGGCCGTATTGCAAAAGAAGAATAAGACTGTAAGCATGAAAATGGTGATGGTTATTTGCCGTTGTGTTTGCGTGTTAGCGGTTCTGTCAGGTCGCTGCTTGAGAATGGTCCGTATTTGAACTGCCATGCAGACAAGGACTATACAAGAGGGAATTAGGTAGGGTATACTTATGAATAAGGCTACATTGCGGCACTCGCCCTTATCTCCAGTGCCGCTGATATAAAGAACTTGATATTGACCAGGAGAGTACACATAAGTATTTAAAAGAGAGTGGTGTGGATCCCAGCTGGTCAACTGCCAGATTGTGAATGCAAGCAACCCGCAGGAGTAGGTAGCTGTCGCTACACCAATCCCTGTAATCCGCATCCTGTAGAAAGGTAGCAGAATGTTGATGGTGCGGACGATGGCGATGGCAAGGTTCAAGAAGACTGAAACCTTGAAGGTGATTGAGTAGATTGCGTATGCCACTGGGACAATATGCAGGGCAGCCTTGTAGGTATCTGTTTCTAGCAAGAAGAACATTATGGCCGTGAGGATGGCACCAATACCTGTGATTGAATCACAAGCCGCCATTAGCAAATACATGAATGGAACGACTTTTTTGTAAGAAGGGAAGTAGAATGATATAACCAGAGCGTTCGCTATGATAGCTTGCAGTCCTAACAATAAGTCTGCAGTTCCGACTATGTGATTAAAAACGCTTCCCAGGTAGCTGGTAGTTTTAATCCATTCTGTCGGTGCGCCGGTGCCTCCGGTTGAATAGAAGTTTGCTACCATCTAAAAAAGGTTTTTGTTACTTTTTTGCAGATAACTTGAAGGAAAACGCTAATGTTGATTTATCGAATACTTTTTCTCAAACATAGGAAAATTTGAAGTTTACTTAATTCGAATAAAATATTGTAACATGACAAACAGAAAAAGGATGATTTCAACTCTTATATTGACTATATGGAATGACGGAAAAATTGAGTGACTTAAAAAAATGTAGAGCTGGAAGCGAAGGTCAGTCCACTGTGCCACATTATGAGCCCTGCGATATTGTGGAGTAGAGGCGGCATGTCGGGGGGGGGGGGGGGGGGGGGCAGCATGTCAAAGCAGTCCACGGAGGACGGACAGTGCTTGATTATTGGACATGCTAGAGACAGCTGTAGATTATGGTATACTCCTCTATCAGTAATACTAAGGGTTCACAGCTGCCTAGTACTAGTAGTAGTAGTAGCTGCCTAGTATACTTTATAAACAAGTTTTACTCATTCATATCAACGAATGGACACTGTGTGACACTGATAGTGGCGTACTGGAGAAAGGTCAGTAATATCCATAACCTTAATATAAGGCTCTTAAATACAGCTCTCCAACTACCAGCAACATTCCATACAAGCTAACGTGCTGGATGTTTTCAATGAGAAAGTCTTCCAAATGCCTTAGTTGAGCTTGATGGAGCGCCTATTTGAGACTACTGACCAATCTACCGACGTGAACTCAGGAACTAACCAAGGATCCCTCTCCTGACAATAACCTTATCCTAGCTCATTAGGGAGCACAAAAAACCACCGCATTGGCTACTAAGGACATAAAGGATCTAGTGAGGGATGATAAAGGGCGGCTCTGTTTACCCCAGGTAAAGCATTATGACGGCTCTGACACCTGGCTCACGTCCTTATCTGACGCAGGGCGCCTGAAGGAATGAGTTACTTTTTGGTGTGGTCCCCGTCAGCCTTCTAATGGGCACTTAGCAGGGCTGATTTTAAACGCTGGCACTACCGGTCTATGAAATTCTACGAAAGCAGGAGAAAACAAGTCTGAAAATACGGCAAACACGTGTTTCTTTATGGTCTGCTACTTACCTAACGGAGATTTGAAAATCGAGAACATGTGAAATATGCGAGTAACAGATGAGTGTTACATTTGCTAGCTGGAGGTTTTTCGAATTAAATTTACAATTAGTCATGAGTTTTAGGTTGACGACATGGACTATGAAAATGGTCGTGTTAGACCACCTGTGAAAATGGTATATTACGCTTATCGCTTAAAATTACACGTAACGTGTTAAAAATACCGCAATTTGGCAGGTTTTTCAGTGTTTTGTATCACGCTCCGTAAACTTTTGTATCAACTAAAAATACTCTTACAAATATACTGCCAACAACTGTGATAGAAATGATTGATGGTTAGTAAAAAGTTCGGTGTTTGTCGTCGTCGCACATCTTGATGTGTATTTAACAAATATAAAATTACACTGTCTACAGGAACTTAAATTAGATTTGGGGATGTAAATTGTAAACATTGGTTGAACGAGATAACTTTATCAACTGTACAAATAACGTGACGTCACTGACGTCAAAACCAGTTATCTGCGTCATCAAAGCAGACTATCTGCCCATTAAATAATATTAATGGACGAGTTTGGAGACACAATGAAAACAACACATAAGAATCTCATCTTAACCTGTTTATTTCTCCACCACATGATGATCCAATTTCCCTGTATCCTACGGTTCAGGCTGCTCTCCTCTAATTCCTCCATTTAATTATTCCCTGTTCCCGATGATGATTGTGCTCAGCCGACAGGTGACTGGTGAGCGTAACGCTGCGCCGTGACTGATGAATTAGGGTCAAATTTTCAACTATTATCAGTATCCCGATTCGATTTGAGACATGGTCCATGTTTTGGGGGGCCAGCTGGTGCCCACCCCCTCCCCCCCAGATGTTAATGACTCCTCATTTCTCTCGCAGCAGCGGTGAAAGTGAATTTGTAGACGTTTGGAGGTAGATTGTGCTCGTTGCTCGGTTATAAACACTGAAATTAGATTTAATGTTATGTTTGGAGCTGTTAGTAGCTCTGGTTTGGCTGAGTAACTAAACATTACATTTTACCTTAGTTTACAAGTCCTCTGTTAGTTTACAAGTCCTCTCTTCAAAATTAGATGGTAGATGTAAATCAGAACTTGAAATCTTCTTAGATTCTTAGTGGGATTATTTCAGACAATTTATTTCGCTCTATTTTTACTTAACCTTTAATAAATACACTAGGGCTAATTGTACTATATTATGCTAATTGTACTGTTATATGCTAATTGTACTCATATGTAAGGTATGAACTAAAAGAAAGTAAGAGAATTTTAAAATCATTTATCCCTCTCCTCAGTGCTAGTCCCCGATGGTCCTTATCGTGTTGTTTAGTGGCTTTAAGCTTTGGGGTTGTGAAATAATTCTGACAATAGTCAAGCTAATGCTATAACTGGTGCAATACGAGCACGATTCAGTTTTAAAAAACGTACAAATTCCTTTCTGTAGATAACAGTACAAACAACTTTTCGAGTTTTTAAGATTAGATGTAAGATATAATAATTTCTCAAAAATTCACGGCAATATTGGAAGAATATTTTAATTATAAATTTAATCAACCTAACTACATCAATAATCTTTAATGGAATCTATTCTACTCCAAACAGAGAATTTAAAACAATCAGATAAAGGACCCAAAACCGCCAAAATCCCACTTAAACAACTGATAAAATGCCAATGTTAAAGTTGAGAAACAGTATATCTGGTTTGCCGAGCACTAGATACAGGTGAGGTTATGAGGGAGAGTGCAGATTCTCTGATCGGCCTGATCACCACAGCACTTATCTTCTTCTTAACAGATCCTCTGATCTCCTTACCACGCCAGATCAGGATGGCTGGGTTGAAAGCAGCGTTGATGTAAGGACACAGCACTCCCAGGCAATACTGTAATCTCAGCTGTTCTATGTAGCCTAGACCCAGCGAGGTTTGCCTGTGTAAGTCGGGGTTTTTGATGAATCTATCGTAGTAAAGGATGGGGTAGACGATGTAGAGAGTGTTGCAGAAGAAGAAGAGAAGTGTTAACATCAGGATTGTTTTAGTAATTTCTTTATTCTTGTCGGACTCGGAGCTCCGGGAGGGGTTTGGCTTTAAGACCGCTCGAATTTGTATAGCCATGCATATTACGGCTACGACTGAAGGGAGGACGAATGGTACTGTAATAAATAGAGTAGCATTCCTGAATTCTTCTGTCTCAGATATGCCAGAGTATCCCAATATTTGGTATCCTGAAGGTTTATACAAGAGCTTCTCCAACTCCTTTCTGTCCGGTCTCAACAATTCAACCTTCCTTTTGATGAGGAGAGCCACCGATAAGAAGACGGAAGCTGCACTGTACAATGTGACAGCAACACCAATAGTAACTCTCTTCATTCTGTAGAAGGGGCGGGTTATGTTGATGGTTCTGACGATGCTGATGATAAGATTGAGGAAGACTGAGACCCTGAAGGTTATGGAGAAGATGAAGTAGGTTGGGACCAGGAGGTAGTTGCCGGGATTACCTTTAGGTTCAGGGTGGTATTCCAGGATCAGGAACATTAGACCGTTCAGAAGTGCTGCCACACCAGTCATTGAGTCAGTCACTGACAGCAGGATGTACATGAACGGAACCATTTTCTTGACAATGTTTTTGTAGTAAGCTGTGACGATGAGATTGAGCACCAACGTTTGAACAGCTAGCCCCAACTCCGTTACTCCAATACACGTGTTGAACCACTTCCCAAGGTACTCACTTGATGAATTGAAGGGAGATGATGTACTGGAAGTGGATGTCATTGTTTGCTGCCTATCTGATGTATAAGGTTGTTAAGTTTTTACTAGTGATTCAAACAAAGATATCAAAGTAATTCACGATAACATGTTGTCTGAACAAACTAACTATACCATGGGTTGCGCTAGGTTCTAATATAATCGGAAATTTCTGGACACCTGGTTAACCTGAAAAACGATAGTTTCTATAAAAGGCCTGGGTTCACGACTAACTAGGTCAATAACATGCCAACTTCTTAAAAAGGCCCTTTAAAAACTCAGGATATTATTCCTTGTTATCATATTAGTTGTTATAAATGATACGAACGATTTGCCTTGAACTTTGGAGTTTGGTCAACCGTGCAACGATTATCCTAGGTTACCAAGAATTATGTTTGAACCTAGCGTCTCATCTTAACCATCTGAACTTTCAGTTGCACCAGCGTTCACAGATAAAGGGAAGCCACAAGACACTTCAATACAAGTTGGATACTCCAACTTGCTGCTGCCCTGCGTCGGGACTGGGAGCCCTAAACCTGCTGCCACCTGGGAGCGGATAGGACCTAAACTACCTGAGGTTAGTTTAAACTTGGTCTCATGGTGTTTGTTTGATACTTCTTGATATTTTGTTATGTTAATATTTGGAAATTGTGGACTGCAACGATGACACCATTGTCCACTTTGCTGCCGCCATGACGACTAAATTTGGGCTGTAGAGTGTAGAAGCTGTAGTAGTATTGTAAATGAAATTACAGAAATTTCTAAAATAACATGGATCATTTAGAAACATTCTGGCGTTATAAAAGTCAAACTATTGAAACACATCTGAACTAAAGCTTTGCTCAAGAGTATGAAAATCCAGTTTTAAGTAGCTAAAAGATGGAGGTTTTGCCACCTATTTCTTGCATACATCTTCCATCATCTCTTTTTAAGTGAGATGTCAGCATGTATTCCAGCTGGTGCCAGATATCTCTGGGGTCTAAATGATTTGTTGATACGAATGCGGAATGAGACGTTCGGTTTTTGACAGAAACTCGAGACTAACGACTTGAAAATTATTGTATGACCATTTAAAGGCTATTTAAGTATTTATCAGGATAGTTCTAAACTTGTTGCTCTATAACTGGTCCGGTTACGAAAGTAATTGCCACACGTCAAATCAACATGTCAAGAGTCGCTTGTCAGAATAAACCAAAATAACCATAATATATTATCAAAAACCAAATGTTGTCAACTTCCAGGTACACCTAAATCATTTCCGAGGCCCAGTACACTCCCTACATCCCTACTGATATCACCCTAACTTAACTTTTATATCCAATCTTACGCTGACGAGTTATATTAGTGCTTTTCAATACAAATTAAAACGAGGCCTTCATGTTATGAAGCCAGGGTTTGGACTGGCTTTTACCCGCTTAAAACGTTTTCATCACGTGACACGTTACTCAATAAATGTAATAGATTTGTAATTAGTTTGGTTTTTCGCAGGGCTCAGTAGTCCTGGAGGACGGGTCTCTGAAACTGATCAGAGTGATGACTATAGATGCTGGTCAGTACAAGTGTACGTTGGAGAACCAGGAGGGTACAGTTCACCAGTTCATCAACCTCCGGGTCGACAGTCCTACAGGTAAATATCTTAATAATCAGTTAATTTATTAATTGATCGCCTTAATTCTCTTAAGTATGATTAAGTGGTTTATATTTTCTATTTAGTGTTATGCCTTGTTGGGGCAGCTGGTGCTTTTACACGATGGGCATTGTTTGGTGCTGATAACTGCTGCGCTCAAGATGAATTGTACCAATTGACCAAATATGATAATTGTATAATATTATGACTTAAATTGCGGGTAACCACCGTGGCCGGCCAGGGTTCATGAGAATTTCCAGACATCTTGACCAAGCCGCGACAAAGATTTTAGTAGTAATGGCCCGGTCTTCACATCTGGCAGCTGGTATCCAAGCTCACATGCTCGCTTATCTAATGTCACGCCAAATCATCATTTATTGTTGACTCGTGTTAATCTATACAGTTGGCACTCCTGCTAAGGCAATGATTTGGCACGTGATTTAAATAGTCGAGACTGAGAGGCTGTTGTTACAATACTGATATAATAATAGAGGGAGGGGGGTAATAATAAATGTCGTGGTTAGGAAACTTAACTTATATCCTATTGGAGTATTTTTAGGGGAATACAACTAATAAACAACTATTTGGTATTGGTCACATATCGCGAAAGTCCTCTTTTTGAAAGTAAAGGGGGATGAGTGGGGTGTCGAGATCCTACTTAAGGGGGCCGGGGGTCTTCAATCGCTCGCGCAATACAATTACACATAAGCGCTGACCTCAGACCACCGGCGATAATTTCGGCTAGGAAAAATATTTTTCCATAGAACCAAAAGCAGCTGGTAGATATCACTCCCCTCTATCAGAAACAACTATAAAGTCAATTTCGAGAGAATTTTGATGAAGACCCCCGGCCCCCTTAAGGAATACATTTTCAAACAACCTTTCATATTACCTCACAAATAATTAATCGATGAACACATTAAATTACGAAAGGGCAAATAATAAAAAATCGAGTAATGAGTAATGACCAGCTGAAATTGACTAAAAGGTATCGAAAAATTCATGATTTTGATCATTTATTTGACTGAGGCCTCGACAACCTTCCTTTAAGAGGCCCTGCTATAAATTATAAAATGGTTAACTCCTGCATCGATTCTCAGAAACCACCTCCCCTAAAATGAGAGGCAATATAGATTATATACTAGTGAATATATTATATATACAGGGTGGGCCAAAAGTCAGTGGGCATACGTTGGCCTTAATAGCTCCGCTGTGTTTTATATTTGAGAGCTGTTGCTTTGCAGATGGCATACTGTACTTACTGGTTCGAGGATTTCGTCGTCAAAATTTGAAAATTCGAATATTTTAGACCACGTCCATTCAATATTAAAACACCTAGATATTGTTTTCTCTGAACATGTTGAACGCCTATTTTTTTCAGAGACGGTAGATTATGAAATGTCGCATATGATCTGAAAACATGAGGCAAAACAGATTAGAAATGACGAAGTTATCAAGCATTTTCTGTATCGCGTTAACAACATTGACTGGGTGATTATGTGGCACCGTGACACGACACCTTAATTGGGCACCCTTAACAATTCCCATAATGTTTAACGGGGTGGTTAACGGGGTCACCTAATCACGTGATTAGGTAAACCAATCACCTGATCACACGTAATCAATAAACTCGTTATGCTTCATATCTCTGTCATCTGAGAAGCTGCAGTTCTAATTTTTTTCTTGGAGGACTTCGCCGCGCCGCGCGAACTAGCATTCTTGCATCGCATCGTCGATCGTTGCTCTGCTTCGCAGAGCAACGATCTCGATGGGTTGACATCGTCAATCAAATTTTTTCAGGACAAGCGTAATTCGAATGGTCAAACACAATTCAATAAAATTGAGCTCGATTCGATTATCAAAACTATCAAATAAATGCAAAAATGAACCTTCATTTGAAAAAAACGAACTCTAATATTTATCGATTCGACAAATTCCTCGAACCAGTGGTGGTAGTAAGTCATACCAGAAAGAATTATTTCAATTGGGCACTCAGTGACTGAGCTATTAAGGCCAACGTATGCCCACTGACTTTTGGCCCACCCTGTATATTACTAGTGAACTATAGTAAACCCCTGCATTACTGCTCGATTCTGAGAATTTCGATTTGTTCACAGATGTCGATAATTTTTCAGTATGTGGTCCTGGCCGGCATAGCTTAGAATTGCAGACCGTGATGGAAAACGGAGAAAAGTTGAGAAAATAAACGAAAAGTAAACGATTTGTAAAAATTAAAACTTAATGGGTGAACATCTGTTATCTGACTTGGTAATAGCATGTGTTAAAGTAGTAATGGAAAATATGATCGAGAAACAGATCTAGGTAGAGTAATGACCACTGACCAGCCAAGACCACAATCTGCACAGCTGTGGTCCTCCAGTAAAGTTTAGTTTCATCTAAAAACTGTTTTTATAGCGAAGTCGCGCCGGTTTTAGTACATTTAACATTAATGGCAAATGATCTAAGGTCCGCACTTACAGATGAGGAAAACTGAATTTAAATAACAAATTCTAAAGTTCTAAATTTGAATTTACATTTAAGTCTAAATTTAAAATCCAATATTCGATAGACATTAAACAAAACTAACACAATTTCTCTCCATATCAGACGCGATCACTAACGGAACAGAAGAGCAACAATATGGTAACCAGATGAACAAGCGGACGATAATAACTCTAATAATATGTGTGCTAGTTGTGGTGCTCTGCTTTGTAACCGGATTTGTGGCCTTCACGTTTAGGAGACGACAAAGGAAACGCCGTAATAATAGACACGAGGTAAGTCGTGCGATGCTATTTTGGAGTTAACTTATATGCTCAGAACATCTGGAGTTTTTATTCAAGTTTTTATTCAAGCGTTATACTATATAATAATGCCCTATATAATATAGTATACTATATAGTATAGTATATAATATATATACTATATGGTATATTATAATTCTGTTGGTCAAATAAACGTCTCTGTCCATCTATTTTACGACTGCACAGTGCACCTGTTATAATACCGCATCCTCTTATAACCCTAACACATTAACTTTCTCAGTACCTAGAGAATGATAATCCCCTCGCAATGGACTCTCCTCTTCCCATTGCTAACACTCCTTTACAAGCTTTACACAATCACTGGTCCAACATGGTACGTGACTTTCCATGTTTACCCTTCAAATAAGGGTCCTTCACATATTATTACGTAATCACTTTTTGGACAATTTTTAACCCCCCCCCTCCTCCCCCTCCGTAATCACTTTACACATTGTGCTATTGTGTCCAAATTACACTAGCGTAATCATTTGGAAACCCCCGCCCCCCCCCCCCCCCCATCGACTGATTACGTAAGATGTGAACGACCCCTAATGGTCGGTGGATAGTTGAGCAACTTGGATGCTGAATATTAACCATTTATATAAATTCCATTTCATTATATTATATTAAGTTATAGGTACTATAATTGTACTCGTTTCAGGCGGAAGAGGTACCACAGACCCCTCTAGCAGGTGCAGCCGGTCTTCACGGCCTTGTAACCCTACCTGAGGTGGAGGGTAAGTGCAGCTCATTTATATAGATCTCATTGTTGGAGTTTTAATCTAAGTGTAATGTGTTAAGTTGAAGGGAAGACAAGCTGAGCTCTTTTTAGTGTTGATCTAAACCCTAATTTGTATAACCATGTTTGATTCCACTTTGTTAGTTAGAGCTTTTATATAAATATCTGTATTTCAGATGAAGCACCCCAGCGTACACATTATAAATATCTGTATTTCAGATGAAGCTCCCCCAGCGTACACATTATAAACATCTGTATTTCAGATGAAGCTCCCCCAGCGTACACATTATAAATATCTGTATTTCAGATGAAGCTCCCCCGGCGTACACATTATAAATATCTGTATTTCAGATGAAGCTCCCCTAGCGTACACATTATAAATATCTGTATTTCAGATGAAGCTCCCCCGGCGTACACATTATAAATATCTGTATTTCAGATGAAGCTCCCCCGGCGTACACATTATAAATATCAGTATTTCAGATGAAGCTCCCCCAGCGTACACATTATAAATATCTGTATTTCAGATGAAGCTCCCCCGGCGTACACATATAAATATCTGTATTTCAGATGAAGCTCCCCAGCGTACACATTATAAATATCTGTATTTCAGATGAAGCTCCCCCAGCGTACACATTATAAATATCTGTATTTCAGATGAAGCTCCCCCAGCGTACACATTATAAATATCTGTATTTCAGATGAAGCTCCCCTAGCGTACACATTATAAATATCAGTATTTCAGATGAAGCTCCCCAGCGTACACATTATAAATATCTGTGTTTCAGATGAAGCTCCCCCAGCGTACACAGAGCACCCTCACATCCTCCGTGACCTGTCCTCAGACTACCATCTCCTCTCCTTCCCCACCCAATCCAACCCCTCTCCCGTCCTCTACCAGCCGCTAGCGCAGCACGAGTGCGGCGGCCGTCACCAAGACTGCAACTCCAGACCTCACGAGTGCAGCTCGAACGGGCCATCAGGTCCGCGCTTCATCACTTCTCTCCCAGATAGCTCTCCTAGCTTCTTATCAACTCTACCAGTTAGCAGAGAATCAGATGAACAGTATGACGTCATGCCCTCTCAAGCTGGTTATAACGCCCATTCTAACGACCCCCCCGATTGAGGGGAGCGAGGGTTTATAAATTAGGGTTTTGATTGACTGTTTTGTTCGGGTTTAAGCGAAGTGAGGTTGATAGGTTCAGCTTTGTGGAACGGGTGTTTTTCATTGGGTTGATCGGCGATAATGTTTTTTACTTCGGTTCATCAGGTTAAACCTTGTCCCTTTCCTGGTCCGTCAATTTTTTGTGACCATCAATATGATTATTTCTGCTTATTGAGTTAGTTTGTACAGAGAATTTAAATTATTCACAGGAGTTAGTTTAAAGAAAGCTTATAGATGTAATGGAATAGTAAATGCAATGATATTCCTTACTTCTACGCCGTTACAATGTCAAAATGCCACCTGAAATTAAATAAGTAGCATGTTTTGATTTTGAAGAAAAAATATTTAAGTTTAATGTTTAAATCCCAGATTTTATTCCGACAAGATGAGAAAATTTCGCCAAATATCCATTATCCACAACACTAATATTTTATACCATAGTTAACTACAGTTTCCTTTACATATTGGATTGAAGCTAAGATTCAATTGCCTAGGTTGGGTTTCACAATCCATGCCACTGGATTGATTTAGGGGGACGGATAGGAGTTTTTTATGCTACTTTATCACTTTAAGAGCTCGAGTTGTTTAAATTAAATATTCTGTAAGTTACAACAATTGGAGTGTTCTTTTAATTTAAAAATGATAATGTGGGAACATGCATACCTTTCAGTGTTACTAACCGAGGCGTGCACTTTGAACACTAGTACTTGGTAAAAAGCTTTGTGCCGATAGGATTTGCCTTGAACTGTAGAATAACATCACACCTACCAATAATATTGATAGTAACTGTTATATTGCTCATTTGCGAGAAAGATTTTTAGGAAATATGCGAGTTGGTTGATTACCATCAGTGCGATATTTTCTGTGAAAATTGGTTAATTTACTCACCACTAAATTTTGATATTTAAACATTTTAATTAATTATTATTTTATGCTGTTTTGTCAAAAATTCTTACAGTGTAATATATTTATAGCATTTTTCTTGTTTGCTGGTTTGAATTACACAAACATGACCGACAATTGATTGTTTGATTTGTTTGCCACGGCAGTCATATGTCAAATTCTACACAATGGGACATGCATGATATAGAGATGGAGCTAATCACATAAAAATGTCAAAATACAACTGCATTTTTTCAATAATCGGCAGGGTAACACCCAGGAGTCATCTTGCATCTCCAACAAAAACTTGTATAAACGCTGCAATGCTAAACCATTGCCAGAAAACGTGGCCCGTGCCCCGTAGTCGGTGGAGATTGTACAATGTTAGGACATGTTTTGCGGGGTCCATGTTTTGTTGACGAACCAGCGTTTTCTTTCCTCATTTTTGCCATCAATACACTGGACTTACCAGGGAGAAAAGGAAAACCCCAAAGCAATTTATGTTAAAGAAATCTTCGTATGAATTATATTTTTGATTTGCATTATCACGATCCGTAATTTATAATTAAAATTTAGCTTATGATAATTTGTGGGAATATTTGACGGATGTTACTCGTCTAAATTTCTTCGAAGTAGCGCGCGCCGCTTTCTTCTCGACGGCAAGTGCTACGAAGTAGCGCGCGCCGGGCCAGATCATTAACAATGGTCAATGGGAATATTTACAGGGATGCTGATCATACAGGAAGACCTTTTGGTAGTTGCTGTGACCAACTTCATAGTCAAGTTCTTGCATGTGATCAGCAACATGTCAATTTGGTACATTTTCCTCGATAAAGAGTACTTTGGGGAGAACAAATATGCTTTTGCTACACGTTGTATACCTCTCTCGTGCACTCCGGCCGGCCGGCCACCGCGCGCGATCAAAAGGGGTTGCAGCGTGTGTCAATTTCGCTTCCAGTGTTGCCTGCGCTATAATAAGCTTAGCTGGAGGAGTAGCTGTAGTCTAACGAGCGTGCTAAATCACTTTACAGTTGATCTTCAAGATTGTTCTAAAAGGGCCCCCGACAGTTGAAACCAGCTCGAATCGATGTATTTTCAGACGCTGATTCAGAATCCCCCCAATGACATTGAACATAAGGTTAAAATGCTCCCCTGCCGAGATACTGGCGAAAAACTGTCTTGATCACGTGATATGACCGTATAAGGGAGTTGGTCGAATTTCTCGTTAGGGTTAGGATTTCAGCATATGCTTTTGTTAGGGATTGGGTTAGGGTTAGGGTTGGGATCAGATATATAAGAGGGTTAGGGTTTCGAAAAGTCTTTCAGGGCCATACCAGCCTAGAGAACGGGTTGAAAAAGTCACGTGACAGTCGAGTGTAGAGTGATTAATCATCATCCGTAGTCTAACTCTATGTAATAAGCGCCATGAGCTGGCACAGAATTTTTTGTCTCTGATTTTGATAAATTTGGTACCAAAAGTTGCCTCTAACTGTGAATAATGAAAATTCACCGTGTAGCACTGAGCACGATAACGTCGAGCTGTATGTGGGCCTCCTGTGCATTGCAAGAGTGTACAAAGGACGAAAAATCGGTAATTTATTGCTTAAAATGCCTATAACTCCTAAAATATTGAATATTTTAAAATAATTCTTACAGGATCGTAATGTAAATGAGCTTAGTCAGACACAACTTTTGGTACCAAAATTATAATATTTGAAGCACCAAATTTTTCAAAATATGGACCCTTGTGTTCATATTTTAAAATTTTGAAAATAATTTTCCTTTAAATCTTAAAATATTAGTACTAAAAGTTTCGTCTTGATGAGCTGATTTAGATTACGATGCCATAATAATTATGTGATAATAACTGAAAATGTGAAAGTTATAGTGTGTGTAGTGTGTGTAGCTTACGTTGCAATTATCGAGCTCCCTTATCTTTTGTAACTTAGCGATAAGTTCAGTTTGCTGCTACCGCGTAGTTAGCCTTTGCGTGTGTAATTGTACATTATTATACAAGTACACCATGGAGGATGATCTGAATTTGACCCGATCTCAGAAGAAAATCAAGGATTTCAACTACGAAGAAAAGGAAGATGTAGAGGGCTGTGCTGAAAGATGGTTCACTTCGATGGCAAGAGAACTGAAATTAGAAATCTTCGAAATTCGTGGAAATATGGACCAGGAAATACTCATGTCTCCGTCTATCTATAAAAGGTATATGGCAAACTGGGTTATGCAAGCAGCAGACCTCGTACGACGGCAGAGTAGTCAGATGAGCGCTATGATGGAAATCGTTGAGTGCCTCAAGACGGAAGCACTAGCAGACAAGGAAAAGATGGTCAGGTTGCAGGACCAGTTGCTAGTGCAGAAGGACGAACAACTACAGTTGTTTAAGACGTCAGTTGAAGAGACAGTACAAACAACGATGGAGACAGGGATTAAGAGCTACAGTGCAGCTGTACAAAAGAACAGCACAAGTGGCGCGGTCTGCAACAGTAAAATTCTGAAGAATGTAATGAAGAGTGTGGCTGCAGAGGAGGACAGGAGCAAGAATCTGATAGTGTTTGGTCTGAAAGAAGAGGATGAAGAACAGCTACCAGCTCTGGTAACCGCACTATTGGAGGAGATCGGGGAGAAACCTCATTTTGAAGCGACTAGAGTCGGCTGGAAGAGGCCAGGTACGGCTATCCGACCAGTCAAGATCACCGTCCCAAGCTCAACAGCAGTTCATCAGATTCTGATGAAAACAGGGAGACTGAAGATGGCTGATGCACACAAAAATGTATGGATCTGTCCTGATAGATCCAGTGAAGAGCGTGCAGCAAGGAAGAACGTGGTAACTGACCTGAAGAAGAAGAGGGCTGAACAGACTCATCTCGACCACTACATCCGTAACGGGAAGGTCTGTAGCCGGGTTAAGAAGACACCATGATGACGTAATTCATGTTTCTCGGAAACCACCGATCAGTATAATATGTACTTGTAGGGGTATTTTAAGAGTTAACGGACGTTATCTGTATTTGAGAGACAATTATATTATATACATACATTATTATTTGATTGTTTCACACTTTTCACATTTCATAATTTTATTACTAGGTGGAGGTGATGTTATTGAGACTTTGGGAGGCCAAAAAACTCTTGTTCTGAAAGTTGTCCTCTGTACTTGTTTCACTGACCCACGCTTTTTAGCATTTATACATTTCGGCCCATTTTATATGTTTGTTCGAATTGCTGTACATTTGTATACTTGCTATTTTGTAAAAGTTTCAAATCATAGGCCAAAAACTAAATATTTGCGCGAAAAAAGCACGCGCGGCGAACAAGCGCCGTGTAGCATTTTTAGCGAAAATTGCTACACGGTAGATTTATTTTATTCACATTTTTAGACAACTTTTGGTACCAAATTTATCGAAATCGGAGCAAAAAAGTTCTGTGCTCGCGCTTGGCGCTTATTACACTGACTACTGGGCCCGCCTTAGTCGCTTGTGCACTAAGGCACTAAGGCATCACAAGTACACCGACATCACAAGTTACAGTGACACTGACTGCAATAGTGGTCAGTGCACTACAGATCCTAATAGTGGTCTCCATGACAGAGCACAGAGTATGGTACGAAGTCAACCCCAATAGACACATGCGACATGCTAGGCTGGTACAGTGGTAGTAGTTCGCAATATTGACAATGGCATTCTTTGATTTATAAACTTTAGTACTTAGTAGTGAGTAGATTTTAAAATTTACTACGATTAGAGACGTCGTTTTACTTTGAAAACAGCGATTGTGTCGGAATGTGAACCAAGCATACGTTTCACTATGTAAAAGCAAATAAACAAGATTCATTACACAAACTTTAAAACGATAAAACGTTATATTTACAATTCACGTCATTAATATGCCGACCTACACGTACTGCAGAGCTGTTTGTAGATAATAAAGCCAGGGAGAAAACCTGAACTTTTTATGGATAGTAGTTCTCATGGTTATACTACTTTCAAATTGAATACAATTTGTTGACTTTATTTCATTGAATTCGACGCCAAACTTAGTGTTGCATCGCAGGAAATAAGCGTGTCCTGTGTTTTTAACCACATTTCTAGACATGCGATTTGAGGGGAGAATTTGTTGACTTCTTGGTAAATTTGCTAAAAATTCCGTAAACACGTACTCTAAAATCTAAAAATCGTACTTTGATTTTAAACGAAATAAATCTGTACCATTCAACAATGAGGTGAAAGTAACATGACGTCACGGTACTGTCTACTAGACAGTGTCTAGTAGTAGCCTATCTATTCTCTACTCTATCAAGCTTTCATCCTTATACAATATACATAGCAAATTCAATTTGATATATTATGTATATATAATATATAATATATGTATTTATATATTATCATTAACCAACAATTGGTGAAACAAGTATCACAAAGCAGCAACGAATTAAGATGATGACGTGAAACCTTCCCTTGTCTCCATATACAGCACTTTGAAACTCATTAAAAATCTCAACAGTATAAAGCTTTCTGAAAACATCTGAATCTAAATAATTGTACAGCTCTTATTTGTTATTCCCATACTTGAAGCAAAGCAAAAAATCAATCGATAATGTTGGGCTCTGTTTATAATTAGCGTTGAATCATTACATTTTGGCATCGACTGAATTAGGACCGCACTAGATTATTTAACTCCTACATTTTTGACAGATTATGATAAACTTCGCGATGTTGAAGCTAACCTATAAAATATATAACTTTGCTTATTACAATTAAAAAAGTTCAAAAACATCACAACAATAAAAAATTTTCTATATAGAGCTTCAGCTGTTCTTTGCGCACTGCGTGCCAGATAAATGTTAATCAAATTTCAGCAAATTCTTAAATCAGTTTTTCCATACAGTTCAATTAATTTCGATCCTTGCAGTCCTGATCAGAATATTTCGTTACCAGATCGAGTGTTACTAAGGCTAATTTCATCCTCTCTTCAGATGATTCAGGTAGATTACATGGCGGGCCGTCGTTCCGTCTAAACGTTTTCCCTGTTATCTATCATCTTCCTCATTCGCTATTTTCCTAGCGGCGGCGATATCTGCTGCTGTTATTGATCCCTGTGTCCGTCCGTCCCGGCTCCTTCTCCTGTCCTTCTTGCGTTTACCTTCCCTGCCGCCGCCTCGTTCAGATGATGGTGGTGTTCCCCCGTTTCGAACTTGTCGAGGAGAGGAGTCCCGAGAGCTGGTGTTGCGGAGAGGAGAGGAGGACACACGGGAGCTAGCATTCCGGAGAGGGGAGTGGGAGAAGAGACTGTCGCGCGACGGTCTCGTGTCCAGCGCCTTTCTGCCCCGTCTACCCGTATCTGATGGAAAGGTGAAAAATTGAATTAAATGAAATAACCAAATTTATGCCTCACAAATGTGTGCTACACCTTTTGTTGTAAACAATAAACAATCATTGACACCAGCAATTTTAACATATTCTCTCATAGTTCTCAAGAATAGAGCAAATGGTGAATTTTAAAAAATGAATGCAAAACTATAATTTTCTGCTTGCGGGCTACTATCTAAGTCACTTAACACCCGGATCAATTATATGCAGTGATAACGTTCTGATTGATCTCAAGTGATCACCTTGAAGTTTTAACAAATCAAAACAGCGAATTGTTACAGTGATTTTATTTCAACACTTAAATCTATGATCACTCTTTTACCTCCTTTTGTTGGGAAATATGAACTCAGGACTGTGCTGCAGTTTGTATAATTTAGAAACTCATTACAGTTACCAAGGTCACCAAGGTCACCAAGGTTACTAAGGTTACTCAAGCAGATTACATAAATCGGATCTGACCGAGATTTTGAAAATGCCTCCATCACGTTATATTCTAGATTTATTGTGAAGATGCCTTGTACTGAAGTAGTAGGTTGAGAGAAAGAAAGATTTAAGAAAAGTACTTCTTTCATCTCACTTTGGAAGACTTCAGAATGGAATTTCTTACCTCGAACATCTAACTCGATATCCTCGTCATCTAAGAGATAATCGTCATCGTCATCGTCGAGGAAGTTATCGTCAATGTCGTCACTGAGAAGGTCGTCGTCCGACACGGCGTAGGACGACGTGTCCTTTGCGCGGCTCTCCGCCACCGTCAGACGATCCTTCAGACCCTTAACCTGCGCATCGTGGTGGTTACTATGGTGGTTACTCTGGTGGTTACTATGGTGGTTACTATGGTGGTTACTATGGTGGTTACTATGGTGGTTACTATGGTGGCTACTATGGTGGTTACTTGCTTATTATATATAAGTGATTCTGTGAAAAGTTTTACAGCAAGATGTCAAAAGCAGGCTCATCAGAAAAGAGCAGGGTAAATCACCTGATTCTGGAACTTGTCTCTCTCGTAAGTTAGTTCTTCTATTTGCTCGTCGTACTCTCTCTTCTTTCTGTTCCACTCGACTGAGGAAGTTACAGATTGTTACTTTGTTTTTGTCAGAAGATATAAAATTAAAATATACGTAGGTCGTAGGTCGTGGTTCCAGATAAAATACAGCTGATAACGGCACCGCTATAAAGCTATAAATAGAATTGACGGCCCTGCCAGCCCTTCGAATAACTTCTAGTCTGGTACTTATCAAAACAAAGGACACCTCGACAAATGAGTTTTCCGGCAGCGAACAATATTGTCATGGTAAAATCTCAACGATTCGCCTGAATAAGAATAAATCCCTACCATCTTTAGTCTCTGTGTCGTTAGCAGCATCGCTGGCTTCCCGTAGCTGGCGCTGGAGTCGCCTCAGCTCATTCTGGATCGAGATTTCGTTACTCTTCTTGGTTTCCACTTCGTCCATTGCCTGTCATTAAGTAGATGTTACCATATCATAGCCACAGCCTATAAGTTAGGGTCACGCATCTGTTAACAATTACAGTAAATCTTGGGTCACGAAATCTTAGATAAATCTTAATATAGTTTGTATACCTCTAGACCAAAAAGTAGTCTATATTGTATGTATTGTGTTGTCCGAAATGGTTAAATCGATCTTACATCAGCAAGAGAATCCTTGAGTTTCTTGATTGTTCTCTCGGATCTAGTTTTCTGGGACTGTTCCATTTCCACCTCGAGTCCCAGTTCCCGGATCTTGTTTTCCAGGGATACCACCTTGTCTTTATCAGCTGTATCGCGTTGAACCCTGAAAATATTCTTAAGTTACACTTCAAGGGTAAACACATAGTATCAAACGGGACTTCACATCCGAATGATGTGGGTTCATCAGGTCATGTAAAACAGGGGAAATTAAAGCTTACAAATGCAAATGAAGCTGAGCACAGAGATACTATTACTCGAACTAACAATCTGTACCTATCTAAAGAAGCTTGCAGGTCTGTGATCTGTCGCTCCAGCTCTCCCACTCTCAGTCTGTTTTTGTCACACTTTGTTTGGCTGCCAGCCAACTCAAGCTTCACCGCGCTCAACTCAGACATGTGCAGTCGGTTCTTCTTTTCTGCTTCTTCTATTTCTTCCTCCATTTCTTCTACTCGGCTCTGCGCTTCTGACACCTAATATCGGAATGTTTCAAAAATGACTTTATCTCATTCATATTCACTATCCCCACTCCAAACGCTTACTTTTATACAGGATGTTACAAATGACTTCACAGACCTGTTTCTGCAGGGTTGATATTCTGTTTTCAGCGTCCATCTTAGCAATTCCAACAGATTGAAGCTGGTCAGTCACTTCTGACAATTCACTGTCAGCTGAGCGTTTGGCACGTTGAGCGGCACTCAGTGCATCTTGTAAATCCTCAACCTGTAATGGAAACATTGGTATACTACCTATATATATATATACTACCTATATATATATATACCTTCTGTACACTGATATAGTATCTTAAAAAGTCTTACTTGTGAAGATTGGGTTCAAAAACTAAAAAAACATGAATAAGAAGATCGAAATTCTAAATTTTACAGAACTTTAAAGACGGGAGTAAAGTAAACCTGTGCTTTGAGGTTGTTGAGTTGTGATTTGTTGACGGAAGATGACTGTCTAGATTCTAACTGGCTCTGAGACTCTCTGTATAGCGCTTTAACCTTAGCCAGCTGCTTCTTAACTCTTCTTATTTCTTCTTCCCCGACACTTGAGTCCTGGACATCAGCTAACCGTCTCTCTAACTCCCTCTTTTGCTGAAAAATAAAACCTTGTTTTTACGCTGTCGAATGATCTTAATATGTTAAACCCGTGAAAATCAAATCTTCAAAGTACACAGTAAAATCAAATCTTCAAAATGCACTAAGTACACAGTAAAATAAAAGAGAAATACAGTTAAAATTAATGGTAGTTACCTTGAGAGCGGTTTTGCTGGTGGTGTACTCTTCCTCCAGCTGGTCTTGAAGAGAGTTGATCCTCTTGTTTAGGGTGTCTCTCAAGGTGGAGATCTCCTCCTCCTTAGCGTCGTTATCGTGAGTCAGCTGAGCTCTCAGTGAGCCAGCTTCCATCTCCCACTGTGGAATTATAAGTTTACTTATAGTCCTGTTTTCTCTAAAACGCGCACTTCCCAATCTTAAAACTTGTTAAAACACACAATAAAACAGGTTATCTCCTCCTCCCAGAGCTGACCTTTGTTTTAGCTGATTGAAGAGAGGAGACTTGGCATGTGACCTCCTCTAATTCCTCTTCCAACTCGTCCACTTTCTGCTCTGAGTCTCGTTTAGCTTTCTTCAGCTGGGCGACCTGTTGTGGAGCATTGTTGTCAGAACTAGCCGTTCATTAGTTCGTTCCTTCAAGTAAATCAGAAACGCACGAACTTTAGACATATTAAAATTAAATATATTATTACTGCCCATATTCTCGGATAAATAAAGATAATACGACAATAAGAAAGACAGTATATATATAAAATGCCCTCACATCAGTAGTATCGAGCCCCTGAGCTGTCAGGTCAACTAATTGAGACTCAGCGTTTGTCAGTTTTCTCTTTGTCTCCTCTGCTGAAGCATTGGACTCTCGTAGCCTATCCTTGAGGGAGATGAGCTCGGTTTGCAGGGCTTCTTTCTCCTTGCCCAGCTTCTCCTTACTGCTTACTTCGTTCTTCAGAGTGTGGTTCACTTTAGCTACTTCCTAGACAGTATAACAGTTAGCTTGAGATATTCTCTTTCAATTTGAACTAGAACATATTGTTATTGTATATCAATGGATCAGTGGTAACTCGGTTCACCCTCTCCTGCATTTTAAACTCTGAGATATTTCTGCCGAAATTAAATTTCTTAATATTGTTTACTATTTTCATGAGGTTTAAAACATTAGGTCACCTGATCAAATCGTTTCTGTTTTCGCTCGAGCTCGCTGTTTCTGGACTGTATGTGCTCTAGGTTGACCTTCAAGTCAGCTATCTCCTCAGCTTGCTTCTGTTGTGCCCGCTTGTAGTTGTTAGCCAACGTTTCTTGATGTTCTTTCTCATCCTCAACTTCCTGTAATACAACCAATTTTAGATATTGAATAATTCAGAAGACATACTGTATTTCATAACTTTCATAGGATGATCTCATATTAGTAAGCCTCCTGATAGTGAACCATGGAAATTTCATCTGATCATTTCCCGGATATAGAGAATATTCCAGTAGAAAACGCGACCCTAATGTCATTCTCCTATAGTCAATGACATTAGGCTCCGCATCTATGGAGATTATTCACAGTCTAAAGATGATTTTTAGTCCCCATTAGTCCCGAAAAGTCTCCATTAGTCCCCATTTAGATTTATCCTACTCTTATCTTGGACAAAACATCTCGATCGTATCGTTATTAAACTAACTTGAAAACCATAAATAACTGTCAAAAATTCTGGGGACTTATGGGGACAAATGGTGAATTACGTCAACGAGTTGACCTCTAGTCCCAACGATTTTTAGTCCCCATTAGTCCCCAAAAGTCTCCATTGGTAGTCATTACCCCCCCCCCCCCCCCCGTCTAGTCGTTAGGACCCTAGGCTAACAACATATAATCCAAGCAGCTCGGCTACGATCAGTGCGAGCTATTTACATCCCGACAAGTTTTAACAATATCATTAGCCTAACAGAAGTATTGCCGTGAGCCCGCCTGACATCATTATTCTAAGCTTCATTAAGAGTTGAGTTTTACGAGTGCAGCTTCAGATTTATTTTGATCTCTCTGATAATTAGGATATTTCTGTGAGGAAGATTTAAGGAAATACTTGGGACGTGCAAGGTATCATGATATAACGTGCACGTGCAAAGATTATTGAATAAAATAAGATCTGGTTTGTGGTGATAACGTTGTGTTCAGTGGGCATCATATTTTAATCGGCTATATTATCTCGGCTATATTATCTCGGCTATGCCTATATTATTTTCTGTTTTCCGAGGGAAATCTATTGGCCATTAATTGTGTCTTGATTCATTTGAAATGATCTCGTAAAATACGTTGCTTTCTTGTGACAACTAAAACCCAACCGTGATTTCTAGTAACAGTTACAATACTTCTCTTATCATGGTCTGTAATTATTTCCCAGTCTACGATTGCAAATCAGTTTGTAACAGTCCCACTATCAGGATGTATGTCTACTAGCAGTAACCATGGTAACAAACACTGTAACCATGGTAGTGCTCTACCTCCTAATACCACTATATGCTGAAGAGTGGCTGATGGTGGAGAGGAATACAGATATATCTCACAATCTGGATACCACCCCACTACAGATACAAACAGATTCTCAGCTTGGAAGCGGGGAAACGTTGCTTCTACAGTTTCATGATGACCAAAGGAAGATGGAAATACAGTTCCTCAATAACGTCTTTGTGACGGTGACAGATTGTGTAGTGCGAAGAAAGGTACCTCTCCCAAAAGAACAACCGGTGATCTGGACGATAGTTCGAAATACGACGGAACACCTCATGATGATATTGCAAAATGGGCAAGAGGTTCTAGTCTTTGATTATTCGAGGAATGGAGATTGCGACGATCAGTATATCTGGAACGATGGAAACGATATCACAAATTTCAAGTTCCTAGTTATGCCTACGAGATTTGATGATGCCTCTGATGCCTTTAGAGCGATGCCAACAGGTACTTTTATTGAAGTAAAATCACCCAAATGAAGGTTTAAAATCTTTTGTTACGCATGTGCTATTTTGTCCTATTCCGATCCAAAATATACTTAGACTTTCACCATATTCTACCCCAGCCTGCGGCGCACTGCCGGAGACCTGGCGAGGGGTATCCACAAACGCCCAGTTTCCGGTGCTGCACGGTACCGTAGTGACTGTGTCCTGTCAAGAGGGCACCAATATTGGCAGTGAAGTGGTGACATGTAATACTTATCTCCTCGGTGATTACCAGTATGTAGCTGCACCAGCTTGTGTCCAAGGTAAGATCGGGAGTGTTTTTAGACCAGACTTTGATTGAAATAAAGGCACAAGTCGGGGGGGGGGGACAAGTCTGGGGGCCGGGGGGGGGCACAAGTCGGGGGGCCGGGGGGAAGGCACATGTCGGTGGGGGGGGGGGGGGGAAGCACAAGTCGCACTCCTCCAAAACAATCAAATAATTGAACAGCCAAAGACAAATTAGTCTCATCTATATAATGAATTACCGTCTTTCTTGTTACCATATATATAATACTGTTACTACTATTCTCAGGTTGGGTGACTTCGGGGAAGCGGAACACTATCATTGAATGGGACCTGGAGACAACGCCTATCCAAATAATCACATCCTCAGAGGCAGGGAGTGGAGACTGGTTGTGGGTCCACTTCAAACCTTTGCATCCTGTAAATTTTGATAATGTCGGAGTAGGAATCAAAATAATCTTTTCCGACCCTCCTGAATTCTACCTGAACTACTGCCAGGACGGCGAACTGTTTGAAATGCCAGCGGCGGAGGTGCATGTTTGGACATTTGCCAGGACTGACTGTTGTGTGGTTCTGCACTGCAATGGAGTTTTAATAGTGAACTACAATATTGTGTCATCAGGCTGGGCAAAGTGCACTGAGAAATGGGGCTCGGACATGACTGTATTCAAGTTTGTTTCTAAAAATAGCGAGGAAAATGACAATGCTTCGGAGTTCTACAGACCCAAACCTAAAGGTAAACTTATATTTCTAACAACACATCACCCAAATATGATCATCCAACGTTTAAAAGATAAATCATTGAACATAACCCAATTCAAATTGTCTCATTCCACAGTTTGTTCGAAGTTGCCGCTGGACAACATGGAAACAACTACACAACTGCCAGTAACGCATGGGAGTAAAGTGGATGTTATATGTAACGGACAGTCCACCCAACTGTTATGCAACACCTACCTGCTGGACTACTTCGGGACCAGTACTTGCACCCAAGAATCAGGTATAATATGCGTGAGTTAAGTAGCTTAAACTAGTTTTTAGGGGCTTAAGATTGATGTTTATAACTGCTGTTCAATACAATATATAATTGTCTCGCTCCTTCCTCTTTTAGTTTGATTTCCCTTATTTATCTGACAATGAAACAGCTCTTGATTGGCAACTACTGGATCCTCAGTAGATGGAGGTTGGGGTGACTACACAGACTGGACGGAATGTTCAGCTGGATGTGGGGGAGGTATCCGGTCCAGAACCCGACTCTGCAACAACCCTGCTCCTCAGAATAACGGTGTACAGTGTGTTGGTAATGGTACAGAGACAATAGAGTGCAATCCCTCCCCTTGCTCAGGTCCTAACATTTTTATTTCTAGTGCGTTTTCAGCGCCCATTCCTTTAGCACACGGAAAAAAAGGTTGTAGAAGCTATGACAAGACACAATTTTAGAACATTTCAATAGCCCAATTTAATGTTTAAAGAAAATAAAATCCTTAATTCATAGGAACGTGCACGACGTTGCCGATAGGAGAACATCTGACAACAGACACGGTACTCCCGGTGAATACGGGAGGTGAAGTGCTGGTGAAGTGTGTTGAGGGGTTCACCCTGACATCAGGAGACAGAGTGATAACCTGCGTGCATGAAGCTGAATACACATCACCAAGGGAGCTGCCGGCTTGTACTGTTGGTAGGTTTTAGGTTAATACAACTCTTTAGTGTCTTTAATTATACTATTCAAAACCTGCATAACTATGCATTTTTATTAGTTATTACAGCCGGTCAACCCAAAGCAGGATTCATCAATTTCACAAAGTTGGTCACAGCAAGCCAGATGAATATATATTATATATAATAAATATATATAATAGCACAATTTTGTATATTTTCAGACGAGTGTAGCGCACTACCAGCTGATATATTCAACCTGCTGCAGACAGATGCCTCACTACCCGTGGAGCATGGAACAAGTGTGGAAGTGGGCTGTATCTCAGGATACAGTCTGTTAGGGAGCAGTCTTATAACCTGTAACAAGGACACCTCCTGGTTCTCTGACCAGGCTCCTACCTGCACTCTAGGTGAGTTGAAAACTATATCGTTCTGAACACTTTCACTGACAGAGGATAGAAAGTTGTCAGTATTAAATCAGTATTACTCACTATCTCCCACAGAAACGTGCACAGATCTGCCAGTCTCGCTATCAGACATGACAACCACCACCTCCTTCCCCGTCATAGTAGGAACTGTGGTGGAAGTGAACTGTAGACCGGGACACACTCTCACTGGAGACAATGCTATAACTTGTATCAGGGACCTTTCGTATACTATCGGTGATCTCCCAAGTTGCGCTATAGGTTTGATGATCTTTGAATGTACAACTTTTCATTTTCACTGTAGTAACATAAGTACAAAGAAAGCTCAGCAGTTAAATTATCGTTTACTACAACAAATACTGTCCAGACTCCAGTCAGTCGATTATGTATATTGATGCATGTTGTCACACTTTTGTCACTCTGCTGTTTTCACAAACTTGAACTATTTAGATCACTGCACCGGGATGATGACAGAGAACCACCTCTCGACTGAAGCAACATTTCCTATCCCTTACGGAACTGCTATCACACTAGCCTGTGATCCTCAGTACTTGCTGATGGGTAGTAGAGTGATAACATGTGAGAAAGGGATCGTATTCTCTCACCAGTACTCAAGACCCAAGTGTCTCGACCAAGAGGATCCAGGTAAGAACTCTTTTACTTGAGTTTTACTTGAGTTTTACTTAATTCTGTTCAACAATTATAACTCACTTCAATTTGAAAAGCGCACAAGGTTGACTAAAAGGATTCATACTAAATATGTGCTGTTTCATTCGTTAGTTCACTAAGCCCTAAGGCAGGTGTTGCTGTACAATGCATGTACAGATGTATGTTGTTGTACGTGGATGCATGTATGTAATTATTAACTAACTGTTCCACTGTCAGCAGCTATATCCTGTCATATCTTATATCCTATATCTTCACAGACGTGTAGATAAAGGATATTCTTAAACTAGTTCTGTATCGTACATGTGTGATACCTTCACAACATAATGAGCATACAAAATGTCATTAATTGTTCAAGGTAAGTAATGTCATATATTCTGTTAGAAGGTTTAATGTCAGGTTTATTGCAGTTTCAAAATTTACTAACCTACATGTTAAGTTGCTAACCTCCTTGTTAATTTGATAATATCCTTACCAACAGATATGTTTAAACTTCATCAGGAATATCAAATGATATAAAGAAAATTCAAAAATCACAAGTAATAATATCACCAAAGTGCATCTTCCTAAAACGTACCTGCAGTTTTCGCTCCAGCTGTTTGACAGATTGCTTGACAGCATCCCCCGCGAACAAAGCTTCAGTTTCAAAACTCTTCTTAGCAGATTCCAGATCTGCTGTGGCTTGTATGTACTTCTGCTTCCAGAACTCTGGGATAAATATCACGGTAAGCGAAGACAATAATCTGCAGATAGAGCACGAGAATGAATTTGATATTTTTATAACATTTTATAAATTTCCATTTTTGTACAATTTCATTCATATTGTGTATTTTAATATCTTATATTATGTCCAGTGTAGCAACAATAATATTTTCTAATAAACTCACGAGCAGTGTTCTCCTGCTCGTCATCCTCCGACCCGAGTCCGGAACTCGGAGCCAGGGACTCGTTACTCCGGATATGGGTCGTCTTCGTCTCCTCTATCTCGAGTCTCAACTTCTCGTTATCTCGTAGTAACGTCTCGTACTTCTCCTGATAGAAGTAGATACGTGTTAGTCCGATAGATGCATGCTTAGTAAAGTCGTTCAACTGCATGACCTTAAAAATAAAGTTTAGTCATCCGCTTGAAACTGTATTTCCAAGATAACAAACGGATTTATTAATAACATTTATTTGCTACGAACTTTGAATTCAGCGAGGCTGTTCTCATGAGTTCTCCTGTCCACCAACTCGGTCTGGTACATATTAGCCGCCTGAGAGACACAATACATTACTTAAATATTAACAACCAGACAGATTCACTAACAATAATCATAACAATGATCAGTACAATGATAATTGGCGGAGTAAATACAGTGTTGTCAGGTGAAGTTGGCGATTACTCGTACGTCAAACTACAACCTCTCCTCAATGCTTGTTTAGATTGCAACAATGAAGCAAGCTCTATTATAGGCGCCATTTCACAATACTCTGATCGTAAGTCTGTTTGTTGTGTTTGACTGCTAATGTGAGCGGTTTCAACATATCCACACAACAAGTTTACAGATATAAACGGGGATTTACACACAGAAAAACAGATAAACGTGATTAACCATGTGTTAACGACCTATTGTTATCATCACTTAGCAATCTGCCGTTTAAAACAAAATTCAACATCTGTAACAACATAGCAAATCTTAAGTATGAACAACCACCAAATGTTGACTGATCCACAATAATAACATTAACTGTAATTCAGGGAAACAAACTAGTAAATAAAACTAAAAGTTCATATTATATGTAGTGCGGTATTGCATTGTTTACTAAGTTACTAACGTGACATAAACAATAAAAGAGATGATTCAAATAAAACGCTACCAGTTAGGACTGCCGGTGACCTCATAATTTACTACTACTATACTTAATACGTACTACATATTTCCTAATACTTATTGAACTTTTCAACAAAAATTGAACGTCAGCGGCCCTACCCCAATCGCCTATTAAATCTAATCTCCTCCCAATTAGTATAGTATAGCGCCGGAATAAGAATAGAAAATGTGTAGAACATTTGTCGGACTGGATGTTAACTAGTATTAACTAGTATGTTAACTATACTAATGTTAAAAGACACTAATCTACATGTTGACACGGCATTAGGTAATCTATATATAATTAAGTACTCTAATAATAAGTACTCGAACTTGACGTTCACAAGTTGAAGCAGGTGATAGACTGTAATCGGTCTGTGTTTCGTCAACAAATTTTGTAGTTTTGTTTAAGTTTTCCGTGTTTTCAACTACAAAGTACAAAGCAAGGAAAAAGTGAGCTACACAATTAAACATACAACGCGACAAACACTACAAACAAAAAGGAAGGTCCGAGAAAACGAGAAAGTGCACAGTAAATCGCACAGAAGTTTCGAGAAAATATAAAAACCAACCTGGGCGCTGTTTTCCCGCTCCTCCTGAAGGTGGACCTCCAAATCTTCTGTTTTAGCGGTGAGTTGAGCGTTCTGTTCCGTCAGAGAGTTAGTCTCCTCCTCCAACTTAGATACCTTGGTTCGTAACACAACTAACTCTTGCTGTGGAAGAGACGCAGGCTCAGTGAACAATGAACAGTAATCAGTGTTATTTATAGAAATTCTTTAAAGCTAAACCACTATTAAAACATTGCTTGGCGTGAAAATTTTAACTTAACTATTTTCTAGAACAGAGTTAGTGATATTGAATGTCAGTAAAGGCTGCCACTAAAGTTATTTTCTACTGAATTAAGAATATCTGTAGCCGGCAACTGTCAAAATGCATAAATAATTTCGACTCAATAAATAAAAATAATAAAAGCTCAGGTAACAGTGTAACACATGGTCCTATGACTAAAATACACTGCCTCAACTCTCAAACGAACAAAAAGACATGAAATGTATAAAGTGACGGTGGAAGAGGTATAATTAATCGCTGTAAGTATTAAAAGGGTCGTGACCAAGGGCAACAGCCACAGATCCCAGTAAATGCTCTTCACAATAAATTAATCGAATGACTTTTTACGGGATTATACGCTGCTTGATGCTTACACACAGTACATGTGTGGTGAGGGGTAGGGTTTTAAAATGACACATCTCACTGTCGTGGGGCCTTGTCAGACCCATCAGGACGCAGACAGGGTTTAAACATGTTGGATCTTCTGGTAATAGCAAAAGAAAAGGTGGAGCTAGACGTTTTGTAAACCTACCTCTTTACGCTCGATATCTTTAGCTGAGTGCACCTTGATGAGAGGCTTGACCCGAGTAAACAGCTTCCACCAACCCCAGGATTGGAGCTCAGCGTGGATCAGGGCATTCCTCTGTATGACCGATACTGCACTGTGTTTCATCTGAAATAGGGGTGTTATTATCAGAGTTATTGTGGGGTAGATGGTGTTATAGACATGAAAACAGTGGAAATGTGGAATAACGCTTTCAACAAGTTCGAACCAGTGAAATGAAGATATAAGTGACCAATGAAATAGTGACAACACTGTATCAATACTATCAGTATCATAGCCTCCACCATAACCACTGACTCACAATGTCCGCAGATTCAGTCTGGGTAACGAAGGGAGTTTTCCTGCGAGTTGGTATGCTAGACTTATTGGCAGAGGATGGTCCTCCCCTTTTAGCCTGCAGCCTCTTCTTCATATCTATATTCCAATACGAATAATCAAAAGACCAGTAAACTTTGTGTATAGCTCACAACAGAGCAAGAGAAATAAGGGTTTCAGACAAACGACAAACGACTAAAGACAAACGACAAAAGACAACAGTTTCAAGACGGCTCATGACCCGACTGGGACCCACTTCAAGAGATGCCCACAACAGCTGCTCACAATTTCAATGCCCCTGGAAAGGCAAATATATAGAAAGTGTACACATATAATATGAAATGAATTGAGTTGATACTGGATCAGTTGGGCTAGTAAAGCTAGGCACATGTAAACTCAATAGACTATTGTTATGACGGGTTCTGGGCGGGACATGTTTACTATAACTAGTGATATAAACTCATCGTTACTAATTGACATGTTCTATTGTGCAAGTGCTATTTCAATAGCATTTGTGGTAATTGGTAATGCACAAAGCACTTTTAATTACATTGCTTCATAATTGGTTCTGATAAATACAGGAAAACAATAAGAGGCAAGCTGCCAGAATGAGAACAAGTGCGGTAGTGAACGTGCAGGTGCCATCTGAGTGCAACTGTGTTTCAGTCAAATAGCACATCAAGATCAAAGTGGAACTGGAAAGTTAATTAATGCACCAGAAGATTGAATGTGGATCAAGTAAGCAGCGGGTAACACCTGCATCATCCCCGCTCACACATACAGAGTTAAAAAATGTAATTCAATAGTTTCGGTCATTAATGGAACCTCTGGAAAATTGATTTAATGTCCTACACTCCCGTATATTTAGAATGTTTTAACGCATCACAAGTTCCAAACGTGGCAGAGGATTCAATTACGACGCCAATTCATTTTAACCAATTTGTTTAACTACTAGTCTATATCAAATCAAGGGATTTAATTGACAATTAAACCGCTTTTGTGGTCAAATAACTGATACAAAATAACCACATTACAAATGGGAGGGCGGAATAACGAGGAGGGATGGCAACGAGAGGATAAAGAAATAGTACGTGCCAGGGAGATAAAAGATGCGTCTGGGACCATCTGTGAAAGACTACAACATGATCGTTTCATAGCATTGGTAGGTTCTATAAGGTATAACCAGCAAACATTTCGTTCCATCGACAGGCATAACCATCTAGAGCAAGCTAAAAATGGCTATCTAGAATGGCGAGTAAGGGTTCATTTAAATTGTACGTCAGAAGCGCCATTTTGATAAACTTGAAATAATCACATTATTGGGGACAAATGATGGCTTGAAATCGGGTAATTTTTTACATTTTCGGGAGGGAAATTGCTACGAGGATAGCCGACAAGAGGATACCTAAAATGCTTTGAATATATATAATAAGTTGAATGGGGAATTCAGGATGTAAGGGGTTAACAAGATGTACGTAATGGGGAACGTAAACAACTTGACATAAGCTGAAAAGTATGTGAACTAATTGTAATGGGGAAAGTAAACAACTTGACATAAGCTGAAAAGTATGTGAACTAATTGTAAAACCCACTAACCATGAGACCGTCTACTCTCTTCCGAGCTATAGCTCCTCTACACACACTCTGGAGAGCTATAACGAAGTTGTTGAGCTTCTGTTCCTTCTCCAGCTGCAAGTCTGCCAGCACTCCCGGCTTGAAGAAGACCTGGAGAGAGAGGGTTACTGGGTTAGTGGGTGGGTCAGATCATCATCTTGTGGTGGAAACAATTAGAGATACTTAGAGATCTACTGGTGGGAGGTTAGATCATCTTTATTAACGTGTTCTTTATTACATAATACTTGTAGTAGTCAAATGTAAATATCGTTAGTAAGTTTATTATCATGAGCACAGTCATTATCATAGAGTGCAGTTTTTAAATATTTATGCAGTGAAGATCGTCTGAACCAGCTGCATTGTGGTATGACGTCATAAAATAGGGCCTGCCATCCACCTGACCCACGTACTGCATAAAGTATAACCACCAGGTCTTTAGCTTTAAAATTGAATTGGCTAAACACTTGCATTTTCATTAACCCATAATTCGTCTAATTCGAAAATGTACTAGAAAAATGGTTTTTGTCTGTATTTTGCAGGGTGGAATAAATAAAGGGACCGTTCAAAAATAACGAATAAGGAGATAATTACATATTTAAGACCCCCCTCCAACCTCTCAGCAAGTTTACACATAGCTATTGTGTGGAAATAACATTTGCGTCAGCATTTCGGCCAATTTCGAAAACCCCCTCCCTCCTAAAATATCTGAACCCGAGTGGAATGGCAAAAAATAACGTAAGCTGGTATGAGTTGAATGACTGAAACTTACCTTGCTAATGCCTGTTCGGTATCTCGAGTCGTCTAGTTCACAATCCTCCAAGATTGTAATAACAGCCTGAAACAACAACAACAAATTTAAAACATTACCAACTGAGACAGATATCAAAAGACAAAATATGTGAGAGTTGAATTGTCTTTAGTCTGTCGATTGTACAATGTACATGGTCAGTGTACTAAATACTGATGTGCTAGTGTAACTACTAGTGTTACATACTCACTTTCTTTAGGTCTGTCACTATATTGTCATGAACTGTGTACCGTTTCATATTGTAAACCTGAGGTGTACGCACACTCATTTATCTTCATGTAATCGTCAGTCAGTCAAGGAAACATATCGTAATCATACAATTATAATATCGACCATCGCGTCACTAGTGTGTGAATGCAAAAATTTGCAATTAAACTGACCTCTCGCTCGTCGAAGACAGAATCTCCGCCGTCAGCGTCAGCGCCTTCAAACGGCGTTAACCTGAGCACTTCAAATTGCCGCCGAAAATCTGCGAAACTCAGACAGTCCGGATATCCTGTTTAACAATAAGTTAGAACGAGAAAAACAAGTTGTGAAGGTGACAACTCGGCAACTGAACCTTAAGTAGGTAATCACATTTCACCGTTGGAATGCTGAACGTCACTGGTTTAACTAGTGCGAACAATATATAAATGTCTCGACACAGTTTGACTAGAACATCTTACCTTCTCTATAAAGTCGGATGAATTGTAAGATTCCTGTGCTCCTTAGCTGGGATCGCACGTGCACAATCTCCATCACTGCTTCGTTTTGCCGGTGAGAGGACCGCGGGGTTACACAGTGTATAAAGTGAGGGTTTGTACGTTTCAGTGTGTCGAACACATAGTCCTGAGTAAAACGTGTTACACTGAAAAGTAGTTCGGACCCGCCATGTGTTTATTAGTAAAACAATTACTACTGTCCACGGAATTTCGTACTTCATTAGCACTAGGTCAGGAAATTCAGGGTCATACTTTATACTTACCAACTGGAATTTGTAGTTGAGACATCTGTTCTGGGGTTTGATACTATTAGAGGACAGAAGACTGTGGCCCTTCCTAGAGTTAGCTTGTCGCATGAAGGTTGACGTGCCGTCAGCTAATGCTTTGGGAGTAGGGCTTCCTTTGGTGATAGTGCTAGCTCCTTTCCCTTGGAACAGTTGTATAACTGGCTGTCTGAAAAAAGAACGCAGGAAATTAGATTTAATTACGTGGAATACAAAATTAATAAATTTAAAGTTATGGAGGGGAATTGGACGTGTCACCCATCACCTTGTAAACTCCGCACCAGAATTAAGTGAAATGTAATAAGTTTACTGGTAACTTGTTATTCAAAACTAAGATTTATAATAGTTGTCGCCATTCAATTCTATTGATGATGATGAGAGAAATTGTCATGTGGCGACGCGATGTTTAATTTATCAAAAGAATTGAAGCTAAGGTGCCACACGCGCGCGCGACGCGCATACTAAAGCACTACTGCAAGCTACACTATTGAATCAGTAAGCAGACTTTGCGCCTTCCAAAAAGTAACCGAGTAGAATATGACCGATGACTTCTCACAGGCAGCTCCGCAAAAGTCAGAAATGCGGCAATCAACAGCATTAAGGAATGATACCCTAGTGTCAACAGCAACAATGCAGTAGAATCTCCGAGATTCGAGAATTTTCCAGTTTCTACAAAAATGTATTGAACTGATAAGAGGTCTAATTGAGACGTGAGTCTCGCAAACACAGCAGTCGTTAAAAAACTCGCATACTTCACACCCTTTTTAAAACCACGAACAGTAAACTGCAGTGTCTAACAGCTCCATACCTGGTGGATTCCTGCACGATAGTTTTAGCAAATCTGGCCGCAGATGTATCCCTAGCTTGCTGCAACCAGCCAGTACAGTCGTACTCAACGTTTATCAGGTGGTTGCAGTGAGACAGGACGAACTTGCTGGGACCTGACTGGTGCAGGAGTCTGTAGCCACGGCCTCCTGAAACACAAGGAAATATCTTTTAAAAGTCTACTTCTTAGTGAGGAGTAAGCCTAGTTCGTGCGTCACTACAAGAAGGGATTGACCGGTAAATGTAATATTCAGAAGACCGTACTTTAACGTTGCACTACACTAGCAGTGCATACTTTGTATCCCACACTGACAAGAGAGATATTACTGATAATATTTTAACTTTCCCAAACCAACTACCTGAGTCTAGATGTCAAACATATGACTGTACATACTATAATATTATACGTATTCACATGGTCAAGACACATAGCTAATAACACACATGTATTGATTCTCTCTCAGTCGTCCAAGAAACATGTTTCTACAGAAAATACTGTGCCGACAGAAAAACATGCCTACTTGGCACAACCCCACAGGTCACTTATATTGAGTCAGTGATGGTCACAATTTAGGACGTCAGTTACAGTAGTCCTGAGTCACAAAGCCCAACAATCTGATCCGTAGTAAGACAGTTAACAACTAGTACACTGCGTGCTACAGTTAAATATTTTAGTCGATTATTTCATCGCTATAATACAATCCTGATGCATGTCAATACTTTGTAAGATGCTGTGTTAACCAGAGTGTGATCAGCACGATAAAGGACCTGGTTACGTCACTATCCTACACCTGGTTACGTCACTATCCTACACCTGGTTACGTCACTATCCTACACCTGGTTACGTCACTATCCTACACCTGGTTACGTCACTATCCTACACCTGGTTACGTCACTATCCTACACCTGGTTACGTCACTATCCTACACCTGGTTACGTCACTATCCTACACCTGGTTACGTCACTATCCTACACCTGGTTACGTCACTATCCTACACCTGGTTACGTCACTATCCTACACCTGGTTACGTCACTATCCTACACCTGGTTACGTCACTATCCTACACCTGGTTACGTCACTATCATACGCTACACCTGGTTACGTCACTATCCTACACCTGGTTACGTCCTACATCACAGTGAATATAAGCGTGAGAAGCTGTACTCAGTTACCAGAACATATTGTATTAACTTGTATCTTTTTATACATGTATTAATAATGTTGCACTCTTCTACTCGCCTAAATCTGGCAAGCACAAGTTTCACACAGATAACTCATTATAGTATTATGCTAATGACTAAATTTGTTTTACCTTAAATAATGGCAAGGTTTACCGTTTACCGATCAATTTGCCACATATTCACAATGTCATTATGTAGCCTGGTGTATCAATATTCAATATAGCAATATTCAATACTTTTAAAATAATGCTCAAATATCATCGGGGAGGTTGTGATGATCTAAATATAATAACATGTCACAAAATACTGGGCCACTTTTAAAACATCAAAGAACCCCACAAATCCCACCTACCAGCATCAGAGTGGTGCATGAGGACGCGCTCCAAGAACGTAATATCAGTAGCCCCCGGAAACATGGACTCTTCATCCAGTATCCAGTAGAGACCTTTAGTGTCGGTCGCTTCGTCGCTGCGTCCCTGTGAGTGCATGTCCAGGATGTCTAAAACAGGTTTGGGAGAGGCCGGCAGGTCAGTGTAGTTCATCTTTATCTCCTCCTGTGGGCGGGAAATTATTTTAAATCTATGAATTATTTAATCAATTCCATGTAAAATACTGTGAGATTCAAATATTTCTATTCAATGTGTGTCGAAAAGTCTCTTTCTGTTAATGCACCATAGCACCATCCATAGCGTTGTAAACATATTTATAAAAGTTAAAAATAGAACGGCCCCTGATAATTTGTTATGAAAGTATGTGACGCAAACAACACTTTTACTGAAAGTTACAGTTCGAATGTGATTAGAACATTTTGCAGTTCCCAAAGCTTGAGTTTAATATTCCCAACTTAAATAAGATTACAATTTCAGCCAGACAGTATCTGGTATTTAGTGTAAGATATTTAAGGAATGCTATAACAAGCGTCGAACACATTTCCAACACAGCAATAGTGGAGTATCAAAGAACCGCACCATTTAATCCTCATTAAGCGTGCATATCACATAACTCCTCAACTGAAGCTGTATAAAGGAATCACGTCAATCACAACGAGTTATTAGACATTTGAGAGCATTCCACATACTATTACACATATTCCACATACTATTACATACACATAACCTGGGAAGACTACACGCGAATACCACTGGAAATATTCCCCGATAATGTGTTGTTGATAGGTCTATATTAGCTACCCCGACCAGCATGAGCAGTGTGGTGATAACGGTATGCAAGGAACGCCCTTATCAGTACTCGTGAAATGTAAACAAGTTGACACTTGTAAAACAGCCTTCAATCATGATACAGGACTGAAATTAGGTGACATAATCACGGCAGCAGTCGGCACGGGCTGACGTCAGCCATATTGGACATTGGTATACAAGTAGACATATTGCATTTTAGGTTCCTCGCATGTGATACCGATATAGGGCATTCATATCATTTTTAACATGTTTCTATCAAATCATTCAAATGCAGCTGACATCGTCTGATATAAGGAATAATCATCAGTCCGTACATCAGCACAACGTTTTTGAGAGATATCTAATGGAAATATTAATATTACAATCATTCGGCTTTAAGGAGGGCGGGGGTCCAGCCTGAATTCGGCTTTAAGGGGGCCGGGGGCCGGGGTCCAGCCTGAATTCGGCTTTAAAGTTTAAGGGGGCCGGGGTCCAGCCTGAATTCGGCTTTAAAGTTTAAGGGGGCCGGGGGTCCAGCCTGAATTCGGCTTTAAGGGGACCGGAGGGTCCTTTAAGTTAAGACAAGTTTACTCGTTTATCCAAATAGCTTCATAGTTAATCTACAAGCTTAATGCTTAAAGTTATTTCCAGACGTTTCTCTGAATGGCGATAATTTAAATTTTACAAGACATTTTCCAGAAGATTTGTTTATTTTCAGCTGTGCATAAATGTAATAACAAGAACAATCTCTGTCGGAAAGACAGGAAAGCGTTTGTGTCAAAGTAAGAAAGTGTAAGATTTACTTTAGGTGTAAATAGTTTGGCTCCTAGCGCTGGTACACAGAACCCCTCCTAGCGCTGTTATGTATATTGTGGTCACTGCAAACCTGTTTAAAACAATAAATAGTGCGCGGTACTGTAGTTCTATTGTCTAAAAGATCCCCACTACACTGATGTATTATGTTACTCTGTTAATTGTTATAATATTATGTTACAATTAAACATAATACACAGGACACTATACATTGTGTATTGTATAGCTGTAGTGTGTAAAGCTGTATAATATGGACCTTATCTATTTTGATATACAGTACTGTGTGCGAGCGTATCATGTTTTTTATTTATTGAAATCCCGGATAAAAATAATTTATACGTAGCGTCGATATTCATATGCATACTATTCATATTATGTATACATAATGCAGACTAGATGGTTGTTAGATGAATATTTAATTTTCGTTCTATTCAAATACTTGAAATATTTCCTATGCCAGAGTACCTACGGGTAATAACTACTTGTGTCCATACCGTACTCACATATAACTTCATACCGTAAGATTTCTACGACATAATATGTCAAAAACTCCAAACTTCATTCATTTTGTACGGAAAACCGTGTCACACGCCTTTAAAAGTCTTCCATATTTTAGGCTTTGAAAGTATTGAAGTAGAGAATTTGAAAAATGTAGCTCGTCGGGTTACAAGTTACACATTGCGACTGGTCAGAGCTTCCGAATAACAGGCTCGAAACAAAATATTTCCTCTGAGATAATTGATTTGTCCGGTAGTGCGCGTTTAATCGGAATGACTAGGTAAATTATTCGGCATAATTCCGAGATACGCACATAATGCACATAATTAGATGCGTATAAAGAGTAAAGAGCGACTATAATCCTGTAATCTGGATCTCGTCTAAACAAAAGCGTACTGTGTACAGTATAATTAGATAATCACTCAATCAATTAGTCTGCCTTTGTAAGCCGGTTAGAGCTGAGCGTGGACAAAGCTTTCAAATGTGTCAGCCAAAGTTTATCTGATTTGTAGAAACCATCATAATTCTGTGGGATGAGATGAAGCAAGTCCAAGTTTATCTGATTTGTAGAAACCATCATAATTCTGTGGGATGAGATGAAGCAAGTCCAAGTTTATCTGATTTGTAGAAACCATCATAATTCTGTGGTCCAAGTTTATCTGATTTGTAGAAACCATCATAATTCTGTGGGATGAGATGAAGCAAGTCCAAGTTTATCTGATTTGTAGAAACCATCATAATTTTGTGTGAATGAGATGAAGCAAGTCAAAGTTCAGAAGACTGGTCCTGGTAATCTTAGTCATAATTTATGGCCTCTTCTTTTTAAACAATTAAATGAAATTCCCCTGATGCGGATCAACAATTTACAAGGAATCTAGAGTAAGGATATTAATACTGCACACATTTGATTTACTGAATCGAAAGTTAATTAATTTTTTCAGTCCCATGGACTGGTTTTTATTTTTGACAATGATGATATTCATTATATATAACCTGTAATACTATTCTGTATATATCTAATTTCGTTTTCCAAAAAAAAATTTACTGAAGGAGTTGATGAAGGAGTTGATGCAAAAGTTCCAATGATTTAGAATTTAACTCTTTCGAATCGAAAGTCAACTAATTTTTTCAGTCCCATGGACTGGGATTTATTTTTGCAATGATGATTTTCATAATATATAACCTGTAATACTATTCTGTATATATCTAATTTCGTTTTCCAAAAAAAAATTAAAGCCCTTTTTAAAGGGCTCTGCTAGTAAACAGGAGCCGCCAGTATTATCAACACCGGATAACCAGAACTAAGCACCGAAACTGGACGCTGCTTCTTTTAATTAATTTAAAAGAAGCTCATGGTTACACGATAAGCTGGTAACCATGGAAACTTTTTTTGTAATCCAAAGCCAAGGTTTAATTCCGTTTCAGGAGACTTTCATACACTTATTAAGATACTTCAGAATTGATCGTATTTAAGCTGGAAACTAGACGAATACATGGCCAGTGACTCTTCAGAGTTCACTGGGGGCTATCGTCCATCAACTCATCAAGAATTTACCAGTAAAATTAGTTCCAGTACAGAAAAATAATTTGAAAAATGTAACCAACCTGCTCATACAAATCCAGCACTTTGTTGAAAGTCTCATGCTGGAAGAAGGCCTGCAGTCTCTCGGAGGCGTAGTTCATGAGGAGGTGCTGCAAGGTGGCGGGGCGGGCGGGGTTCTGGAACCCCGGCATGTCTGTCAGGACCAGGGAGTAGGGTGACCTGCCCGGACCTGCCAGTGCTCTGGGAAGGAGGGGAGGTTACTGGACAGGATGTAAATTATAATAAATTAGATCCTATCTCGGTACGTAATATTCAGATGTACACGAGTTATACCTGGTTTAATTAACTTGTACTAGTAACATGATGCTCTGTGAGCCTGGGGAAGAAACAGTGCCGGAACATTAAATAGTGCCGGAAAACTACACAGTGCCGGAACATTAAATAGTGCCGGAAAACTACACAGTGCCAGAACAGTGCCGGAACAGTACACTAATATCAGTGGTAGGTTCCCCGGAATTCCAAGTTGAATATTTACCGATTAATTAGGGTATTTACAGCGCTGAACACGAGTTCGTAGAGAGACATGGCCAGGTCCTCAATGGCGTTCTGCAGCAACTTGGCGGGATCCGCGTCAGAGGAGAGGGGCAGAGTTGATATCAGCTGAAAAATTAGGTATTTTAGGAAACGTCACACCTACATGAAGATGATGTGACGTTACACCAAGTTGGATGATGTCACAATGAATTAGAATTAGAATCTTAGATCATACAATTCAATTACTGTGTCAGATTGTAGTATTAATGTCGATTGCGCTTCATTGCTCATTGCTCATTGTTCATTGTTCATAATTTCCAATTCGAGGCAAACACAGTCTGACTCCAGGTATTTTAGTTTGGGATGACGTAATGTTTAGAAATGTGAGCGTGAGTGTGTCATAAAGGATTGTACTCCACACATATATAATATTCGCGGAATTTGAGTGTTTGAAGGATGTAAACTGTTGACTATCCCGGGTGTTTATAAGGTTACCGGGCATTATATTGGAGAAAACGTGTTTATAAGGTTTATAAAATTGCTGGACTTGGAAAAAAACGTGACTATAAGGGTGGGAATGTTGGGTGAAGTAGTTCAGTATTTAAGAGCTGTCGCAAAATATGAACATTCCAAACATTTGCAGTTGTATTGAGAGACCAGTGTTGGCGTACTTATTTATTGGAAGTGTTAAAACTTGAACAAATGATACATCGGCACTGCACAGTGGGGCTCCATGCTGACATTTAGCCTAAAAACGAGTTTTCCTAATGTTTTAGATTGTTGTAAATTCTGATAGAGAATAAATAACCGGATTCAATGCTTTTTAAATTAGCTCAATATCTCGGTTGGGTCAAAATTTACAACCATTTGAAAAGCGCGCCTGAAAATAACCTGCCTGCACATGCCCAGAAACTCAATTTCACTGCCATTTTTGAGTCAGGCTGAGGTTCCTTTTGTTTTCAATGTTTTTCAACTTTTGATTGATTGAACATGGATATAAGCATTCTTAGTACTGTTTAAGAAGAAAAAACCATGATTTCGGTCAATTTTGGATTTTTGGTAGCTAAAATTAGAATATTTTTCAAAAATAGGCCTTAAAATTTCATTCGCTGACCACAAATGGGTGGTAAAGTTATAAATGGCCCCATATGGCCCGGGTTTCATTATGTTTTCTATGTTTTCCCATAATTTTTCTAGCAGAACCCAGAAGATTTGGCTTCGGAACGCTTCGGAAAAAAAATTATGACCCATTTTTGGTACGAGCCTGAGGTGAAAAATCGCGTCAAAATAGCGCGAAAAATGAAAACTGATAGATTAAAAACTGATTTTTTCATTTATTTCATAGCTTTTTGGTGCACACTTCGATATTTTATGCTAATACCAGCAAAGTTCAATTGGAATAAGCAATATTTGGATGGAAAAATAGTGCATATGAGCCAAAAATAGCCAAAATCTGGCAATTTGAGCTCGGAAAATCCAGGGGCAACTCTGATTTCATAGGATTTTTCTTATGTTTTTGTCATATTGCATAGTTTTTATGGTTCTCCTTTCTGAAATACCCTTAAGCAATCACATCAGCATGATTGATGACCATTTCCATACGAAAAAGCAGAAAAATGGGACAGAAACCGCTTAAAATTCGATGAAATCTTAAAACTGCTAGTCAAAAAAGATGCTTTTTGTGTGACAGAAAGTGCCAAATTTTCGAAAAAATTGATTTTTTGCCCAAAAAAGTAGTGAAAGTTGTCCAATTTCACTGAAATAAGTCATAATTGACGATTTAATCCAAATTGACACCACCAAGATGTGGCCAGAGGCATAAAAGGGAAAAAAAACCAAATGTCAGCATGCCCTTTACGCGAGCCCCACTGTGCACTGATCTCATAATGCAAACAGAGACAGGATTTAATATGTTGATCATCACTACCAATTACGTTTTAAGTTATCATCAAACTTTTTCAATTTTCATGCTTTCCCATAGGAATTAATCAGCTAGACAATAAAAGTCTAAAGTCACAGTTTAGCAGACTCTGGAAACTAGCTCGTCTTAAGAGTAGCAGTGTGTCACACAATCAGACATTGTGATGTGGGTCACTTAATCAGACATTGTGATGTGGGTCACTCAATCAGACATTGTGATGCGGGTCACACAATCAGACATTGTGATGCGGGCCACACCATCAGACATTGTGATGCGGGCCACACCATCAGACATTGTGATGTGGGTCACTCAATCAGACATTGTGATGTGGGTCACTTAATCAGACATAGTGATGTGGGTCACTTAATCAGACATTGTGATGTGGGTCACTCAATCAGACATTGTGATGCGGGTCACACAATCAGACATTGTGATGCGGGCCACACCATCAGACATTGTGATGCGGGCCACACCATCAGACATTGTGATGTGGGTCACTCAATCAGACATTGTGATGTGGGTCACTTAATCAGACATTGTGATGCGGGTCACTCAATCAGACATTGTGATGTGGGTCACTCAATCAGACATTGTGATGTGGGTCACTTAATCAGACATTGTGATGTGTGTCACACAATCAGACATTGTGATGTGTGTTACAGAATCAGACATTGTGATGTGGGTCAAACAATCACACATTGTGATGTGGGTCACACCATCAGAAATTGTGATGCGGGTCACGCAATCACACATTGTGATGTGGGTCACACCATCAGACATTGTGATGCGGGTCACACAATCACACATTGTGATTTGGGTCACACAATCAGACATTGTGATGTGTGTCACACAATCAGACATTGTGATGCGGGTCACTCAGTCAGACATTGTGATGCGGGTCACACAATCAGACATTGTGATGTGGGTCACTCAATCAGACATTGTGATGTGTGTCACACAATCAGACATTGTGATGTGTGTCACACAATCAGACATTGTGATGTGGGTCACTCAATCAGACATTGTGATGTGGGTCACACAATCAGACATTGTGATGCGGGTCACACAATCACACATTGTGATGCGGGTCACACAATCACACATTGTGATGTGGGTCACACCATCAGAAATTGTGATGCGGGTCACGCAATCACACATTGTGATGTGGGTCACACCATCAGACATTGTGATGCGGGTCACACAATCACACATTGTGATGTGGGTCACACAATCAGACATTGTGCTGTGGGTCAAACAATCAGACATTGTGATGTGCATGTTGGTCACACAATCAGACATTGTGATGTGGGTCGAACAATCACACATTGTGATGTGGGTCACACAATCAGACATTGTGATGCGGGTCACACAATCACACATTGTGATGTGGGTCACACAATCACACATTGTGATGTGTGATTGAGTTAAAAGAGACGTCCTGCACGACAGTGACCTTCAGTGGTCTAATTGCATGTTATTGACATAATTGGGTGTACACACTGCTGTACAATGTATGTTAGATACTGCTTACACTGATTTGATTTCTAAGAAATGTCTCTTTGATTTTGCTGGATCTGTATTGAAAAAGGTGGGAACTGGGAAGTAAAATGTAAAAGAGTCCCGCTGGGCGCTGATTTATTGGTGGAATTTGAGAAAATCACGGGCAAACTACCCGCTAATTCCAAACTACCCGCTAATTCCAAACTACCCGCTAATTTCTCACCAGACAGAGGTGATTTACCCGGGGTCTGACTGCTCAAAGTGAACCCAGCAGCTGTATTCCTGGATTCTGCTTCCATAATACATCTTTCGGGAACTGTCACACCTTTCCTGTTTACAGAATAACGCCAGTAACATCTACAGCTGACATGTCACGCCGTGCAGTGTATATATTCTTATTGTGACACAGTAACAGTAATGTTATGTAGTAATGTGTATTTGGTAGCCACCATGTAGCGTGTTAACGTTGAAGTGGCTAATGTTACAATCTGATGAGATACTCCATTAATTTCATATCAACATTATATCGTGTTGCAAGAGCAAAACAGTAATGTATTCGTCCAGTAAATCCATCAATGATGCTCTGTAACAGGTATAATAGTGATGTGTAGTGTGTAACAGTTCTATCGATCAGAGCTCTTTATATTGATAATGCTGGTAGTATCCAGAAATATCTATCACTGATTTTACCATTAATCGTCCGTGACTTTTAAATGACTTACAAGGCTACCCGTATATCGAATTTGTGTGATACAGGCCTTGTGTAAGTCTAGTGTAGGACCTCAAATAAGCATGTAATTCGATTCATTCATGAAAGCGTGCACGAATGTAGGAACGTGCATATGCACGTACAATATATCACACATGACGGTAATCAAACATAAAGCAAAGTGCTCAGGAATTTTTATTGTTTTATACCAACAGCTTATTGAAGAATATATTGAATAAATTCTCCTCAACATTTCAGAAAATTCCTGCACAAATATTTTACATAGATATTACATTCTTTATCGGCGGATTTATAGAATGAACTCATATTTTATTAGATTATTAACTAGTTAACTTAATTCAGCAACATGTCAGTTACTCCTCTAGTGGTTCGGTAGTAACACTTCCTTCAAGCATATGAAGAACTCCAAATCTAACTTAGTTCCAATGTCTCAGACGCTCAGGTCCCACAATATTTGGGTACTAGAATCACGTACAGAACTTAGTACCTGATCCCCCCGTCTTGGTACACACAATTGGCTACAAGACCTACAAATATCATCACCACATAGCATTTACATGTCCACCTTTAACAAGGGAGTCAGTCATTGGCCAACCCCAAACAATGCTAATTAATGGTTATTCTGAGTACTATATCACACAGTATTAAGGCCACAGGGGGGGTCGAGGCCTCAAAAAATGCAAAAAAAACATTATGCTTTGAATCAATATATATTTTTGTGGTGGATACTTTGCCACCACTCATTTGTCTGTAGCTATTTTACTTTTTTTTATAAATGAGGTTAACCAATTCTCATTTAACCTCATTTTTTTGATAAATCGATAATGGAGGGCAGAAATATTGATGCCATTACAACTGAAAACTACGATAAGCTTTGTTTTTATTGTTTTTGTGTTATTTCAGCAGTTAAACTTTGAAAAATATACAAATAAAGGCAAAATTCTCAAAAATCACATAACATAAAAAACAGTTTTTTGCCTCTCCTGAAAACCTCGAATTTTTGACTTCAAAATCTATCTTCTCCTAGAGTTTTTATCCATTTCACCTCAAATTTGGAACTTATGTTCCTGACATAAATTTAAAAGTTTGTTATGTAACGATTGTTGTAATTTTGCTCCTAACTCTTTTTATGAGGTTAACCATTTTAAATTTTGTAACCCGCACTCATGGTTAACCTCATATCTCAGCTTTGGAGCAAGATATCATAAATCGTTACATAACAAAAACTCAAAATACCTTGAAGAACATTGTTGCCAAGTTACAAGGTTCTAAGTCATAAACTGAAAAAGAAGATAGATTTTGAACACGATTTCATTTAAAGTTTTCATTTACAATAGAATTACAGGTAAACCTCAAAATTCAACGCGCGATATCTTCAAATAGGAAACTTTGTTTTCGGTAAGGACAAAAGCATTTGAAAATTTAGATCGAGCTCTACAACATATCTCAAAATCTCAAAATCGACCTCGGACCCCCCCCTGTGGCCTTAATATTGGACGTTACCCAACGTCATGGACGTGCACTTTATCACCGTGAGTATCACTTCAGTGTTCAATGTAAGGAATGTGTGACGTAGTCATACTTAGCCCAAAAGCGCAAATTTATAGGAATGTGATCTTCTACAACTTGATACAAGTAGGAAGGGTGGGACACTGACTTGATACATACACACGGTATATTGGTATCAGTCTCTCAGTGATCGTCCTCCCGATTAAGAGATATGATCTAATGAAGAACCAGCAGGGTAACAAGTGTCACCTCATTCTATCAATCTGATCTTATCTAGGTAGGTACACGTATTTACTGGGACTTGCTATTTGGAGAACTGTCTTGCTATTTGGAGAACCGTCACAATGTCCATAATGCAGGGACACAATTGGAGTCGTTTCTTCACTCGTTATGACCTACTACTCTGCAATCCCCAGCACCTTCTTTTTGCAAGGTCGCCACACCCTAGAGGAGGACAAAGCATTTACATGAATGAATGACTTGTAATGTTGTCACCCCTGCTCATATCATTGTGAAATACCAACGCGCTGTGTATTGTGTCTTTACGCATGATATCACAATTCTATATCACTGTTGGAGCTGTTGGACTGTGTCTTACCTTTGTCCCAAACTACCCAAATAGTAGCCAGATTTGTGTTTTTTTGGTGGACTCCAAATTTTGAAGAAAGGTTGGCGATTTAAAACTTTTAAAAATCCTACTGACTACAATTCAATCTTACGTTCGGATGCAAATGATCATTTTCATGGACTAGTACTGGTAACAAGGTATATTTTCTTACATCCACTTAACAAAGTAGTAATATTTCCTGATAATAGAAGTACACAACACAAACCTGTCGTTCCAGAGCCTCGTATTTAATGCCGAGTACGTTAGCAGCGATCTGAGCAGCGGTAGGGTTCGCGAATCTGGCTCCCATCCCGTTAGCGTCTGATTGGGATAAATTCTATATAACCAACCATCTCAGCATAAAGATAGGAAAATCAAATCCAAAACACTTGCATATAAATGGAGATATTGGACAGTCCCGAATGATTGACATTTGACATCGTTTGTTTTTTGCTGAATGAACTCGCACAATTACCTCTCACCAAATGAAATGAACATTTTAACAAAACATTCCAATTATTTCCGGCAAATACTCACGAGCAACAGCTCCAGTTTTTCCCAAATGTATGATGGCGGATAACAGGGTCAGCAGCCCCTTCACCTCTGGAATGCTCACACCTCCCAGGAATTTAAACGCCTCCAGCGTTTTAGCGTAGTTTTCAGCCGCTTGTTTTCTTTGGCCGTGCTGAGTGTAATATTCGGGTAAACTACTTATATATAAAGTAGTGTAATACTCGTATATTTGTAAACTACTTATATAAAGTAGTTATGTAAAGTAGATCATAGATTATAATATATAATTCAGATTAATTATAATTATTTGTCAATTGTGTTGAAGAGCCGATTTGAGAAGTTTGTCACCATGAAAATTATACGTAAGGGTTAAAATTTGTCTATCAAAATAGTTCTAACATCAACGAATCAACAATTTGAGCACATCCCGTGAATGACCTAACAGTCTCACAGTTAAAGAGAGACCCCCAACACTCTGCAATGTTTCAACTGTTATCGGAATGCTAGAGTACAGGTGACTAGGCTAGTTAAACGTTCTATTCGCCTACACAGAATACTGAACACCAAGCTGGAACACTGATCACGCAAGGAACACCAAGCTGGAACACTGATCACGCAAGGAACACCAAGCTGGAACACTGATCACGCAAGGAACACCAAGCTGGAACACTGATCACGCAAGGAACACCAAGCTGGAACACTGATCACGCAAGGAACACCAAGCTGGAACACTGATCACGCAAGGAACACCAAGCTGGAACACTGATCACGCAAGGAACACCAAGCTGGAACACTGATCACGCAAGGAACACCAAGCTGGAACACTGATCACGCAAGGAACACCAAGCTGGAACACTGATCACGCAAGGAACACCAAGCTGGAACACTGATCACGCAAGGAACACCAAGCTGGAACAACGATCACGCAAGGAACACCAAGCTTGAACACTGATCACGCAAGGAACAGAAAAAAAATAAATTTCTCAACATTATATTTCTCAACATTATAATTCAGTGCTTAAACATTTTAACTTGTATATAATGTTCATTGTTCATTAATTATTCATTAGATCCCAATAACTGTGTACATCTTAATCTTTTCTATTGTTCTATTCTATTCCACATATTTTATTTGTCTGATAAGTCAGATATTCCGTGACCAGAGAACTCTTTTAATCTGTGTAACGTGCTAATTTCAACGTTCCGATGCCGCAGTGTCGCAGAGAGGCAGGAAAAGTGCGTTCGTTAATTGGAACGGAATAGGATTCCTACTTTGTTTATTAGTACTACTCAGTATGTCGGAATTTACAAATAGCCTAAATTTAATTAGGATCAACAGATCCTAAATCTAGAATTGGTCACATTCAAATTTTAAAGTTGACTGTTAAAGAATAATATTACACTTGTTTGTCTCTTGAGACAGGTGAAGAAGTTTCAATTAAAATGAGGTACCGGAACCAAAAGAAATTATAGAACAAGAACACAAAGTCAGTTTTCAAAAAACGTCACTTTCAGCGACTGAACTTGACTGCCATTCGGTACAGTTGACAGTAAGTGTCTCACCTCACAGTTGACAGTAAGTGTCTCACCTCAATTAGAGGAGGAAGAAAATCGTTGTTCTCCGTAGCTCTGGATCCGAGCTGGAGTTCCCTCCGCAAGCTATCGTCACTGCCCTCAATCATCTGGTAGAATATGTGGTACCCTAACTCACCCTCACCACAGTTCACTACTCTGAACCTGTCCAGTAGGCACGTCTGAAGAGAGGAGAGGGTTACAATTCATCATTATAGGTTTGACATGTGCGTGATTTACATAAACTCTGACGTGAGCTGCTTTTTTATTTCATCTAAATATTCGACACATATTTCTGATATATATATACGGCTTTGCGATATAATACACATACACGGTCCTTTCATTGAAAGATTGGACTAATGCCAAAAACGTCAACTCATACGACGTGATGCACGTCATACTTTATTACTTTATAAGTATCCCGAATACTGATTGTATCCTTATAGTAACACTGATGTTCTAGAACAGCCAGCCGCGGGATTAGCTCAGTGCTGGTCGCAGACAGCTAAACTTTAAAAGATATTGACAGTTTTTCAAAGAAAAGCTCTAGTAAACAGTTAGTTTAGTTAGCAGGTATAGTTGAAAACTTCAGTACGTGACTCTTGGTATTAGATTTTACGTTCGACTACGGGCACGCGAGATGATAATGCAATTTCAACTGCACTTTTTAATTTGTTCAGCTTTCATTCGAGCCGATATGTTTAACAACAAAATACAGTATACAGTACCTAAAATAACTCCCGTTCTAGCACGCAACTAGAACCTCCTAAACTGTAAGAGACTCACAGCTCCGGAGGGAGGATATCACGAAGATATCTCGCTCCGGAGATTTGATTGTAATGTTCAGTGTAAGTTCTCAGAGCGTAAGAGGATACACCCACACACATATCAGCTCAGTGTTTACACTGTCCTATTATCACAGGTTCTGTTCTCATCAAATTATGGTAATTACGCTAAAAGTCTCCACTCATTGCTGGTGTGCTGTAGCTGCAGCTTTATCCTGTTATACCCGTTTGAGGGGTCACGAACACCAAGTGTCGGAGTGAAACGCATCAAATATTTAAATGTTTACTCTGCCAAGCCCTCTTTAAGGGGAGATACACCAAAAACGTTTTTGCTCCGAACATCGATTTTATTTTAAATTATGGTTAAATAGACAAAAAGAATAAGATTGCACACCTTCAAAATTTTCTAAAAATATTCCCTCATCGAGAAAAAAAATATTTTTCTTTTTCGAAAATTTTTAAAATTTGGAGAAGTCTACCACTGTAATACCGATAGTTCAGCTATTTCAAAAGTTTTTTGGCTGATTTTTTTACTGAACATTACTTACACTCCGTACAAGACAACCCTTTAAAGTATTATATAATCGAACAATAAATGACCAAGTTACAGACCGAACAAGGTAAAAAAAGAAAAATTGGGATTTTTGCCTACAACCAAAGTTGTACATTTTACCACTCGGCCAGGTCATCAGATATCGCTTCAAAAATTCTTGTGAGTGTAGCTGATGATCATATCAAACTTTTTGGAACAGGATTTCTCTCAGTTTTGAGTTTTAAGGTATGAAATGTGGCCTCAAACGAGGCATATGTTCATCCAGATACGCCTCTACAGGATATATCAAATGCCCTCCCCCTCCCCCTTGTATATTGCCAAATATATACAGAACATCAGTACCGGGGAAACCCCACAAGACCGTGTTGTAATAATAACAGCGTGTAGGAGGATTGGGGGGTACACTGAGAGACCTGCCAGAGAGAACCTACATTACCAGGACTCGGGCACATGTTATTATTATTATAGGTCGGTCAATCAGCATTATTGGGTTGTGTCACGTAACCGATAACAATGATCCAACATTTGTAATGCTGACTGATTACCCCCCCCCCCCCCAAACATTTGTAATGCTCACTGATTACCCCCGCCCCCCCCCCCTCCCAACATTTGTAATACTCACTGATTACTCCCCCCCCCCCCCCAAACATTTGTAATGCTCACTGATTACCCCCTCCCCCCCCCTCCCAACATTTGTAATGCTCACTGATTACCCCCCCCCCCCCCCCCCAACATTTGTAATACTCACTGATTACCCCCTCCCCCCCTCCCAACATTTGTAATACTCACTGATTACCCCCTCCCCCCCCTCCCAACATTTGTAATGCTCACTGATTACCCCCCCCCCCAACATTTGTAATACTCACTGATTACCCCCCCCCCCAACATTTGTAATACTCACTGATTACCCCCCCCCCCAAACATTTGTAATGCTCACTGATTACCCCCCAACATTAGTAATGCTCACTGATTACCCCCTCCCCCCCCCCTCCCAACATTTGTAATGCTCACTGATTACCCCCCCCCCCAACATTTGTAATACTCACTGATTACCCCCTCCCCCCCTCCCAACATTTGTAATACTCACTGATTACCCCCTCCCCTCCCCTCCCAACATTTGTAATGCTCACTGATTACCCCCCCCAACATTTGTAATACTCACTGATTACCCCCTCCCCCCCCCCCCCCCAACATTTGTAATACTCACTGATTACCCCCTCCCCCCCCCCCAAACATTTGTAATGCTCACTGATTACCCCCCAACATTAGTAATGCTCACTGATTACCACCTCCCCCCCCCTCCCAACATTTGTAATGCTCACTGATTACCCCCCCCCCCCCCCCCCAACATTTGTAATACTCACTGATTACCCCCTCCCCCCCCAACATTTGTAATACTCACTGATTACCCCCTCCCCCCCCCCCCCTCCCAACATTTGTAATGCTGACTGATTACCCCCCCCCCCCCCAACATTTGTAATACTCACTGATTACCCCCTCCCCCCCCAACATTTGTAATACTCACTGATTACCCCCTCCCCCCAACATTTGTAATACTCACTGATTACCCCCTCCCCCCCCCCCAACATTTGTAATACTCACTGATTACCCCCCCCCAACATTTGTAATATTTACTGATTACCCCCTCCCCCCCCCCCCCCCCCTGAACATTTTTAATACTCACTGATTACTTCTGTAAGGTAAAATATACGCACACTGCACAGTAGTCACTTCTGTACGGTAAAGTTTCATAGAGCTATTCTGGTAGAACGCAGCTTACTACCCTACTATAATTAACACCCTGTTTCGCACACAACTACCGGACGCAAACAAAGTGTGCAGCGCCAAATCCCTAACCACACAAAGTACTCACGGTAACCATGGTAACTCACGTAAGTTTGTGCGCCCGTCAGAGTGCCCTGAGCGGTAAAGTTGAGAGTTATAAGACTGGTAAAGCGGGTACTATGTGTGTTACTCTCGCTCAGACAACAACCAAAGGAGTCCAGGAGCGCCAGGGCTGCTGTGAACTTCTCCGAGGGTAACCCGCCTTTTGGGTTACAGTGAACCTGAGAGGAGATTAGGGATGTTATATTATTATCAGCAGCACTAATAAGAGAAGAAACCGTACAAACAGTAGAACAAACAACAGTGTGCCCTTCACAGAGTTCTCTGATATGGAGGTGATTTGTTATAGTACTATGTTTACAGTACACTTCACAGTACACTTCACAAATAAAAAGAAGGCTCTCCTACCTGAGCGTAATAGTGGACGATGTAGTGAAGGCTCTCCTACCTGAGCGTAATAGTGGACGATGTAGTGAAGGCTCTCCTACCTGAGCGTAATAGTGGACGATGTAGTGAAGGCTCTCCTACCTGAGCGTAATAGTGGACGATGTAGTGAAGGCTCTCCTACCTGAGCGTAATAGTGGACGATGTAGTGAAGGCTCTCCTACCTGAGCGTAATAGTGGACGATGTAGTGAAGGCTCTCCTACCTGAGCGTAATAGTGGACGATGTAGTGAAGGCTCTCCTACCTGAGCGTAATAGTGGACGATGTAGTGAAGGCTCTCCTACCTGAGCGTAATAGTGGACGATGTAGTGAAGGCTCTCCTACCTGAGCGTAATAGTGGACGATGTAGTGAAGGCTCTCCTACCTGAGCGTAATAGTGGACGATGTAGTGAAGGCTCTCCTACCTGAGCGTAATAGTGGACGATGTAGTGAAGGCTCTCCTACCTGAGCGTAATAGTGGACGATGTAGTGAAGGCTCTCCTACCTGAGCGTAATAGTGGACGATGTAGTGAAGGCTCTCCTACCTGAGCGTAATAGTGGACGATGTAGTGAAGGCTCTCCTACCTGAGCGTAATAGTGGACGATGTAGTGAAGGCTCTCCTACCTGAGCGTAATAGTGGACGATGTAGTGAAGGCTCTCCTACCTGAGCGTAATAGTGGACGATGTAGTGAAGGCTCTCCTACCTGAGCGTAATAGTGGACGATGTAGTGAAGGCTCTCCTACCTGAGCGTAATAGTGGACGATGTAGTGAAGGCTCTCCTACCTGAGCGTAATAGTGGACGATGTAGTGAAGGCTCTCCTACCTGAGCGTAATAGTGGACGATGTAGTGAAGGGCGGTGGATTTGCCGCTACCAGTGGGGCCACACAACACGATACTCTGCTCAGTGTGGGTAGCCAACATCTTGAGGTGGGCCTGTTTAGCCGTCTTGTAGAGGTGGGGCGGCATCTTGTTGTAGTGCATGTTCCGGAACATTGACATCACCTGCAGAGGAGGGTATTAATACTAGTGGGGAGGTGATTAGATTTAGAGTTTGTTTTGACACGTGTCAGGATGAACCTGTAAAATGGTTGGCACGTGTTGTATAAACAGGAGTTAAATCCTGAGACAGAAGTTTTGGAGAGAATTATTATAGATTCTAATTTCTAAGGGTCTAAAAATAGGGCGGGAAGGTGTTGAAAGTTAGCAATACGCTTCTTATTATCAGATAAAAGGCGGATGAGAGAGAAGGGCAATAACACGTGCAAAGTACAATAACACGTGCAAAGTACACGAACTTCACGTAGTGACCAGTAATCCAGTATGAGTTATAATAGTAATTTTATGAAGGCGTTCGGTCGTTTAATTAGGAGCTTTGAACCAATCGCTTGATCAAAAGCGTTCACCTTCTCTCTGTTTTAATATTTAGCTATTGGACTACTATATTGAATTATACCGCGGTCAGTAAGGTTCCGTTTTTACAAATAAACAGCGTACACACACACACTAACAATTACATTAGCACCAAGTTGTATGCGGTTTGCCTTACAGTTTCAACTGAGCATGTGTAGCCTTGCACAAATTGGGGAGCTTAATAATTAGTGATTACACAAACTTCTCTTTCAAGGAGTTGAAATACCGGGCGTGTAAGCAGAACTATGTGTGCTTATAGCCAGTCAGTTAGTTAGTTTGTTATCTCACACAGCACTATTACATCAACACGTTCAGATTTTCTTTAGTTTGTTACATAATTTCAGATGGTGTAATCGGAGTTACTACGGCGTAATATATTATATTACATATTAGTATAAGCTAATAACATTTTTGCCACACTCATGAAAAACAGCAGATTAATCAGCTGTGCAGATGAAGGTGTAAGGTTGCACGGTGGGGACACAATAAGATAATATTTCAAATAATATGCTCCAGTATAGACAGTGTTCCAATTTGAAATGTCGCTAGATTTATCTTATTACATTGTGTTTACTCTGTTTAGCGTTTATCAGTTGAAGACTTCGATCGACTTTGACGATCTGATATTTATAATACTAATAGATGCATAAACTGAAGAGTAAGCAGCCCTTTTTATAAAGGGCTTCTTACTCCCTAGTAAAGTATCTATATAAGCCTCAACAAGCACGACACAAAGTTAACGGGCCCGTACATTTGACAACTCAACCAATTTTACCTTGACAAAAACAGATGTACACGTGACAGTCTCGACATGCAATAAAGTGACTTTACCTTTGTATTGTAGACACTGAGTTTCCTGGAAGGGTTGACGAGCAGAAGGATGTTGGCTGCTTGGGTGTGGATGAGGTTGCTCCCAAACCTCTGCCGTAGGGTGTGAAGAACACAACTCTCGTTTAAGTGGAGTAGAGAGGCTAGGTTCTCTGCTCTGTCATATTTCGGAGGGTTCGCCTGAAAGATTAGGACGTGTGTTGGAATGACCACCAACTGATGAACCCAACATTAAAGCTTGTGTCTCGCCGTCAGTGATCGACAGAGTCCGAGTCCTCAGCCTCGGTTGAAAAAATAAAACCTCGGTTCTCCTCGGCCTCGGTTAAATTACAATATGCCTTCCTCGACCTCGGTCGCAAATCCTGCCCTCGGTCGATCACTGCTCGCCGTAACGAGAAATATTCCAAACAGATAAAATCACCGTCACCACATTCCAACAAATAGTGTGCACTGACCGGTTCAGTATCGTATTCGTCAACCTCGATCATCCTCTGACCATTATCCAGTCTGAGCAGCACAGTACTGCTGGAGGTGTTGGTTACTGCAGTGGAGGGGAGGATGGTGCCGGCTTGGATACCGTCAGCGTGCACATACCACACTCTTCTGGAATGTTGCCATGGTTCCTCCTGCATCTCGCTCTGGTGACGTGACAGTGTTACCTTCTCATACTATTGTATTGTAATACAATTCTCATACTAAACACTTGATAATAGTGATCTGTAACTAATTCTTTCTTACTGCGTGTTTTTTGTGCTGTATAAAAACGCAGTGTTTCTTCTATTTAACACTATGTACAATATTGTAACTAATATTATGTTCCATGAGATGTAGTATTTGTTACGAGCTAAAAACAAGCAATTTGACGGATCACTTACATAGTTTGTCTAGACGTTAATAACTTAAAATATAGAAAGGTTTTCAGTTCCAGCAACGCTACAGTTAACTTTGTAATTCTGATATATTAAATTACAAGCTATTCGACTCCATTTTAGCACAAAGTAATCAGCTTTCCTAAAAACAAGGCATGAAATGCACGCAACGCCCTACAAGGCAATGAGAAATGTATCATCAAGCTAGCATGCTGGAACGTGACAGCCTATCAAACAATACTATACCACTATATAAGTATACATCAGCCGTAGCTATGTAGTAGGCACGTGATTACATTCCAAAGCGGTGGTAAAAACAAAAGATGCTTCACTTGTCACATCATTCACAAACCCTAAAGCTACTGACTGAAGAGAGAGACATGGTGCTGTTGGACATGATGGAGTCGCGCTGCTCCGGCGTGATCCGCGAGTTGATTTCAGCCATCTCTGGGAGACCTTGTACCACTAGTGTCAACTCCGATCCTCCCAGCTGAAATTATAGTCACGTGATAGTAGCTGTGTGTATTGCTGTATATTATTTCAATTTTAGTGGGTAGAAGCAACTCACTATTGTACAACTTCGAACTCCCATAACTCTAAGAAAATCGAAATTTTTCCGGGAATAAGTCCTACAAACTAACTGATCAATTTCGGAACTAGAACTCTATAATCTATATATTACGTAATAATCGTTTATACTGTTGACATTTTGCACTATGAAGAGAAAGTGAATGAGAAACCACATTATTTGTACTAGATGTGAAGAGAACAATGCTATAAATAAAATATGCTGAAGCTTGTAAAGCCTTCATTTTAGATACATAACTTTTCAAATACTGTCAACACTGTTACATGAAGAATGTAAAAAAAGTGTCGAAATACTATTAGTTAGAACAGAATAACAGATGAAACTTGATCATAATACTGACGGTCACTTACCTCGAACAGCTCGTAGATCCTATCATTTGTTGCACCCTCCACATTTTCCCCGTTGACCTCAATAAGTCGATCTTGGGGGTACAAGCCGGGGCCCTCCACAAAATGCTTGTCACCACCTCTTAGTAAACTAATACCAAACTTTCCTGAAAATAAGTTATTTGTGTGAGATTGAGTTTAAGAAATAAATTTTACTTATGGTATGTGTTATCAGGCTCCACATTTCTTGATTTTTATAGCACACCTTAAATTAGCGAAGAATTAGAAATTAAATAAAAACGTTTTGGTAACCATAGTATTATACAAATTTAAATGAGTTTAAATGAATGTTAATTGTAATCAAGTTCAATTGTGATGCCAATCTTCGGGTGATCAATTGATATAATTATAAATGTTCTGTTACTGAGTAATCATAGTTAACTGCATCACTTTTCGTATTGACCAGGATGGGACACTTTAAAGAACGTACCATCTTGATTACGGGAGAGTTTTACAGCTCTTAATTTGGGAGAGTTAGTTATATCAGCAGGATTGAGACTTATCATGCTGCTCCCGGCTGAACTAGCCTCGTCTAAATCATTTGGGGAGGTGTGTTGTCCATCCAATCCAACTCTTGCTGAAATTGACATCTGTTAATAAGAGGAAGTTCATATATTATGACAGCAGGTCTATTATACATATAATGAAGTGACACTTGCACCACAAATGTTATATATCTAAAAGAAGGCTACACTTCTTTACCCTTCTTTAAGATATATATAACAGTACTGAAATGTAAAGGTCTGTACAGCGAGAACACCCTATTATCGAGTGCAAATATTGCGCATGGATTCACAGAAGTTTCTGAAATGTAACCTGGGTATGGAGGAGGACGGTCAGCACTGTTAAGAGTGGGAGGGGGAGCTACCTCAGCTACACTCTTCTTCTTTTTCTTGCGAAAGCTTATAAACATGTTGCCCAAAGGTTTTGACATTCACCACTTCAACTTCCTATCATTGTAACTGGCTAAGGATATCGTTATAATTTGTTACAATAGTCAATTAATAAAAGTTTACAATTTCTATTTTCAAGACCTTTAAAAACATCATTGCAATCAATACAACAGCATGATATACTATTAACTATTAGAGGTAGAACCATTTAAAAACAAGCTAGTACGGTGTGTAACAAATTTAAAATATGGAAAATTTGAATTCAAATAAGTTCTATTTGAAATCATCCATAATATTAATAGGCTAAAAACGAAATGACAATAAAAGTACAAAACATCTCAAACCCAACTGGAGACTTATAGAATGGAATTGTATTATAATTCCGTTTTATAAGTCCAAATGAGCTCTCTTATAAATTTAATAACTGACGTGTATCTGATTGGAAATGTTGGCTGTTATATAATTTAACTAGAATGTTGCCGTGGGTCATAAGGAGTCCTACAGTTGCAGTTTAGAATACTGAACATTCAGGTACAGAGTATCCCCAAAATATTTACTTTTGTTTAGACTTTAACAAGTGTTATGATGCTCTGAAATTTTGTTAAAAATTTCAAGTCAAAACTTCACCAAGAACCTGTTTATTTAGCTCATTCATTTTTCTTCCAGAATTCTAGTGGAATATATGGAGCTGCTGCTAAGCACAGTTTACAGTTTGAAATTTATGCATGTTCTGAATTAGAAACCTATTTGATTCCCAAAATTTCAAGGCCCTAACTCATTCAAGAGTCTGGTGACAATCATGTGATCAACCCGACAACAGCTGTGGGATTTAGTCATCTTGTGGGATTTATTAATTGGTTGATCACCTCATAAACTTGTTAGTTTATTTATTTAACAATCTTATGACCTTCTATAAAATAGTGAATCGCATAATTCCAGTTTCGCTCCCTACTTATTATATAGTCCTATGCCGTCCAGAGGGCACCCGATACACTAGGCACAATGCTCAAATAATTGATAGGTTGGATACTTCAGGACCGTCCAAAGAATCAACATACTTGAAGGCCAATAAAGTTCTTGATTTCGTATGCAAATTCATGAGAAGTAATCTCTTACATATAAATATGTCTAAATGCTGCTACATACATTTTCTACCTGCATTCCATTATTGAGACGTTTTAAATATTTGATTTAAGAGGTTTTTTTATACGACTGGTTCACAGTGTGAACAGATTCCAGATTTATATATTTTTTAAGTGATATTTAATAAATGATTAAAAGAACCAATTTTAAAGTTGCCATAGTAAAGCCTTTAGGTCCAAAAATATACCCATTATGCTCAGTTAAAAACAACTCTAAATCAGTAGGCTGTCACTCTATTAATGCACCACACCGCTTCCTCCACTGCACTAAAAGTTATACAATAAATTCTACAATCCTAATTTTGTATCGTGATGGAGACCGGTGTCCATACAAAACATTTACTAGGTTGCTGTTTGGTGTGAGCAATAGCGAACAGCACGCACACCCCTTTGCCCCGTCAACCTATATCTAATCTATTTAAAGAGTGACAACCATACTACACATTGAATTAGGATTCCTTTAAATATCAAATTGATTTATTGTAAACTTGTTTACTCTGTAATAAATGGCATAAAATTGAATTTTTGTTTAACTGAATTTTTGTTTAACTGATACGAATCTGATGAAACCTACGCCAGGGTTAGACCGTATGCCAATGAATATGACAAATCACAAGGAATATTTATAAATGTACACAAAATTGTCAAGGTTAGCAACACCAAATTTCTTGGTGTAGTAATTGATGAAAAACTTAGCTGGGGCCCACATATAGAATATCTAAGAAAAAAAATTAGATCCACTACAGGAGCACTTAACAGGATTAAACATTCAGTTCCAGGGGAACACTACCAAAAAATATACTCTGCATTATTGGAATCACATCTTGCTTACGGAATAAGTGTTTGGGGCTCGATAAGCTGTTCATAACTCAGAAACGTTGTATAAGAATCCTTTTTGGAGACCTAAATGCATACCTCGACAAACATGCCACTTGTGCACGAGCCAGACCTTATAGTTTATACAAAACAGAGGTTAGGAGCTGCTTTTTTTGAAAAAGAGCACACCAAGCCCATTTTTAATCGACTAAAATTGCTTACTGTTCAAAACTTGTACAAATACCACAGTATATCTGAGATATTTCGAATTATGAAATTTCGCACTCCATACTCGTTGTATTGTACTATAGACTCATCAAAACGTGATACAATCAATGTCATAATCCTCCCAAGAAAAACCAACACGTTTCTTTATATAGCCTCCAAATTGTGGAATAGCATACATAAACGGATTCTAAATGAGAATGGGGAAATCCTCACTACTTCTGTATCTTTGGTTAAATTACGCTGTAAAAGTATCATCCTGGGATCCCAATCCATCAACAATAATAACACCTGGACTTACCACAACTTTCACATCGCCCCTCACTCAGTCACAGACCAAACCAGTTCATCACTCACTCACCAAATTGCCGACCCAATATCTATTGAAGTGGCGAAAATTTTCTAGACAAATGACATATCGATATTATTGCTGCAGCAGATACAAATACCAACATTATTATATTCCCAAACGTTTGAACCATTAAATTAACTAGGAAATTCAATCCTCAACTTAACTTTTACTGTTTTAAACTGATATGATGATCAGTGGCGTAACGTTGCCTGTTGGCGCCCCCCTGCCGAAAAAAAGCGCCCCCTGTTGGCGCCCCCTCCCCTTTTGGTGCCCCTCCCTAAAATTGAACAAATTAGGTGATTTGAAAGAATACGCCGGTAAAATCTCTAAAAAAGTGTGTATCTAAAGCAAAACGCGCAGTTTTGCTAGTACTTTAGTTAAGTTTTCGAAATTGTCCCACATTCAAACGACGATTTGGCGCCCCCCTAAGACGGTGCCCCCCTGCACAGCGGGGTCAGCAGTGCCTTTCGTTACGCCACTGATGATGATATTAACTTAACTTATTATTTTTTAACATACTCCTTCTTAGTGTGGTGACTTGGGGTCCATAAATATAACAATACAAGCTGATAAACCAAAAAGAACAACTGGGGTAGATAGGTTGACGGATGTTACTCGTCTAAATTTCTTCGAAGTAGCGCGCGCCGCTTTCTTCTCGAAATGGCCCGACGGCACGAGCTACGAAGTAGCGCGCGCCGGGCCAGATCATTAACAATGGTCAAGTAGATAGGTAGCCCTGGTGGGTGCGTAAACTTTACGGTCTGCTCTCTCCAAGATCAGCCTGCTTCTCCATTTTACCGTGAAGCCTAATTTCTAGTTTTTATAAATACAATGCAAGTGCAGGTTTACTAATCTTAATCTACTTAACAAGTCAATAACTCAAGACACCATACCCGTAGTAATAGAAGAACTTTAAAGTTTTTCAAATTGTTGCTATAATTGATTTAAATAAAAATTTGTTGTTTTCTTGAAATATGTTGTTAATTTCTTGAGTACCACTGCAAACGGGCTCTAGATAAAGCAAATTCTTGTATCACGTCGTGACCCCCACGGTCGTTTCACTCGTGCGCGGCGGATCACACAACGTATGACAAGCAAATTCGGGGTTTTATCTAAAATTGTAAAACATGGCAATAAAAGAAAATTTAATGAAAGCTACCATGAATACTTTTGATGTGACTATATAAAAATACTATTAATTACTCCTGGCTAGGCAGAGCTGAGAGCTAGTTATGCAAGTTTCTAAAAATTATATTAGCGTGCATACACCATGCATGAGTGTAGGTGTTGATTTACGATGTCAATCCTTCGCAGCTCGGTGAGGCACAGTGGTGCATCTCGCCGATCTACCGAAGGTTGCGAGAAGCATTATTTGATGCGAGAAGCATTATTTGATGCGCGCGCAACCCAGTAGTGCATCGCGCTACAAGTGTAGGTGGGACCTTTTATCACAAATCGATTGCAATTGCATGTTATAACTTGATTGACGATGTCAATCCGTCGAGATCGTTGCTCTGCGAAGCAGAGCAACGATCGTCGACGGATTGAGATAAATACTCTCATCACGCGCATTGTGATGCGCGTCTTTTCAAATTGATGACGATTTGTACTTTCTTTACACAAAATGGTCATCTAGCACGTGTAAAAGAGCCGCGCATGGCCAGCTGGGAGCGTTAAAATTGAAAATTTCTCGATCCTCCTTCCATCTAGACAACATTTTAATGAAGGTCACGTAGTCGTCCATTTAAGGAAAGCTGTTATTTTAAGTTCACCTTGCGGATCAAAAGGGTATTAGATGGAGTGGAGTGCAGTCCTGTCGAATTGAATCATTGCACATATTGCATTTAGACACGAAGGAAAACACGCTATGTTAGATTTGAATTCTTCGTTAATAAATTAAGTGCTTATACAACATTTCAGAATTACAAACTTTCAAGCAAAATTCACAATAATAATAACCTATTAACTAGAACGTAAAAAAGTTTAAAGAATTTAAGCAATCAAAATCAAAATCTGGGTATAACTCCACTCGGTAAAAAGCAGTTGTATATGGAACAATCTTAATGCAGTAAAATATAATAAACACTTAAAAGCATATTATCATCTCTTCCAAATACCTGCTTTATTTACAGTTATATTATACAAAATATAATTATATTACGATCAAATCCATGAAATAATACAGCCAGAAAGTGCAGATTTAAAAATTGTTAAAATTATCATACACTGTGTGAAATAAATAAAAGGTCTAAAAATTGACAAAACCATTTAATTTCTATTCTATTGAATCCCCAAAAGTTTGTTTTAAATTTTGAACAAAATCTTGTTGTCTATAAATAACTTTTTGTTTTTACGAATAGTAATTTTTAATTATACAATTGCCACATTTTCATTGCCACACAGACGTACAGTGTACACGTTGCTCCGATCCCATTTGAAACCTCCTTGAAGTTACGGATGTAGGAATCAGGATTATCAGGCACATGTAGTCTGCTCATATTCCAACTGTGAACTGAAAAAGAAGTTATTAACCTATTGGATTAAAGATCAAAATTACAAGAACCACCGCAATTTTTGTTTAATATAAATTATCACTGAAATGCATTTAATTTAAATTTTCAAAATTCTTATCATATCAATTCCCATATCAGACGTTTTCAATTGTGATCATCAGATCCTAGTAATAAGACGGCAGGTAACGCATTATAAATTAGTAACTCACAGCAAAATTAATCAGGAAATATTCTCTGCCATGACACGAACTGTTGATTTTCGTTTGTCCCTGGAAAATTGTTTATGATAATTTCAGCAAATATATTAGCTTAAATATTAGCAGCTATCTACAATATATATTATTGCTGTAAGCAATTTTTACAGAGCAGATCGTAGATTAAAGAAACTGACTTATAGAACATGATAAAAACATAAAAACTAACAAGTATACAATGTATTCTCTGTACTATTCTACCGTGATTGTACGATCGTCTGAACTTGAAAAGTAATTATTATCATGTGAACCTACCTATTGGTTAAGCCTATTGAGAGGTTTAGAAGTGCAGGGCATCTTCACGCAATTTGCGGACCACCTCCTTGACTGTACCAGTCTATTATCGAGTTAGAGTTTTCTGCACTGTATCCAGGAGTAGGGGGCTTGTCTGGAACGGTGTCTAGGAAGTTTCCAAGAGATGTCTTGAAGCTTGTCAAAGTCCTTTGAGTATTGACAATTTTGGGGAGAACATTCCAGATTCTTCCAGCTCTCACAGCAAATGAGTGATCGTAGCGTGCAGCAGCAGCTGATACTTTTTTGTGAGAGAAGGGAGTATAACTTTAACTCCCAGTCTAGCATTCTCTCTGAACTGTACATCTAGGTCATTTGACATATAGCCGAAGCATAGGCAAGTCAACTTGTTTTCCTCTGTGTAGAATGCAGTTTTTGTAACCATCCTATATAGAAAAGATGTTTTATTGATAAGACATAAACATATATTTATTTAAGGAGACGAACACTAAATCACAATTTTAGAAATTAATTAGAGAAAATAAATTCTACAGCACATCTATAGTCTAGCAGATGCTGAGATATTACAGCATGATCTCAACTGTGTCGTTGAGTGGGCAAAATGAAACAACATGGCACTTCGTGAGGATAAATTGGAGCTACTTGTCCATAAACATTGTCCTCAAATCACCTTGCTAGACCACCCATTTGCCATCCTAACCCAAGTCTCAGATGACAACACGTTATACCCTTAACCCTCCCGAGGGGTACGGGTGATGCAGATGGTTTCAGCTGACATATCTTAGAGTCCCCACGTTACCACCCTTACCATTATTATAGCCGAACGTGCTCGTAAAGTTTCTGCCTGGGTTCCGAGTTCGTTTAAAACGATGAACTGAGTCACTATGCTGACCCTTTACTAATCTCTCATCACGAGTGCCTACGTCCAACAACTGGAAGGTATTCACTATTCAGCGCACGTTCACAACGAGAATAGAATATGGCCTGCAGCATCTAAACTAATGGCAGAGAAGGCCTTAAATTTGATATTATTGCAACGGAGGGGAGAAAGATATACCATCATCCACATGTGGAAAGTGCTGCACGGCAAGTGCCCAAATGATGTCAACATCCAGTTCTCCGAGACACTCCGAAATGGCCAAAAGGCATTTATTCCCAAGGCATTTATTCCTACTACACTACAAAAGGCATTTATTCCTACTACACTCTGAAGAAATGTATAATATTTAGCAGTCAGCGCAACCAAACGCGCTACGACAATTCGTTTGCAGCCCCACCGTACCAAACATGCATACTATCGAAAATCCCCTGCACTTTAAAGAAATGCTTACAACAATCGAGAAATAATTCCCGGACGAGCCCCCAGTGGCACAGCTGTAGAAATGGAAACTTGTTACTGGATTGAGCGGAATTAAGGCAGCAACCTCGGTGTCCGGGTGGTCAGTGACTCCGATGACGGATGATGGAAGATTCTATGAAGCACACTAAAGTAAACAAGGTAAGTTAATATGTGAATTATCAATACGATACAGTACGTGTAGCGTATAAATTAAGGATGTCAACCAGTGTAGTGTGTAACGGGTATTTAAACCATATAAGGAGCGCGATTTTGTGCAGTCCCCTCATAGTTATGTCACGTGATATCGGCGCCCCGCCCACGTGACTTCTCAAAAAGTATGTCTAGGTGATAGGAAGTCTAATAAACATTCCAGTCTAACACACGCGGTCACTGCGGTGTATTGAACAACAATGTATTAGTATACTAAAAACCCCGTCAAGCAATTAACGCAGAGATATAACAGTCAGTGTATCAAAATATACACTCTGCGATTTTATAGAGTCACAGAGTGTAGTCGAGTTTGCAATTCATGGGATCATGTTCAAAATTTCATTAGGTCATTTCAAACCAAAATAATCTAGGTAAAAGAGCGATTATACAGTGCTCTAAGGGCCGATACTTTAATTTGGGACTAGATGGCTGAAAGTGTGGCGCAAGGCATTCAGATTTCAGGTGCTTTGAAAACTTACATTCTCGCTTGCTGAAGTAGCTACTAGCTAATAGTACTACTAGAAAGTGGTAGTCCCTCATTGCACAATGCACATACACTTACAGTGAACAGAAGCGAAATTATTGAACTTGAGTTAATAATTAATCTTAAAAGAGAAGGATGGGCAGGCAGATGATTTAGAAGTCAATTACCTGATTGATAATGCTATGAAAGAGCAAATTTTAGCCGAAGTAGAGTACGAATGATGCTATAATGTTATTGCAATTTGCGGCTCATGGTCGATAAGCAGGTGTGAGGTCCTGGGGCACATAACCTGAGCTTAAAATATGAGGCACAAGGTTCTGTGACGAGACAAGGTGAATCAGAAGTTTTACTCCACGTTCAACACTGGTTTGAGATGTCTCGCTAACAGTATAAACTATGATAAAAAATACTGCGTGTAGCTAAAATAACCGATTTCTGCCAATCGCAATATCTCTACAAATAAGCATTAAGGCATATCATGATTTTAAGTCTTATTTAAATATGGTCTTTGCGGAAATTTTCCAACATCGGAGAAGTTTCTACGACCTTCCTAGCTCGAGATGTCCCGTAATTTGGGCTGCGATGAGCCTAAAACCTGTTATTCGTGAATATCTTAAAACCTTAGCACTTGAGACCTTAATATATTGCTTCATGACTTGTATAAAATCGAGACTATTGCAGTTATTTTAAATTAAAATACAATTCTTTAAGACATTCAGAAGCCGAGATAAAAAGATACCAAATTCAAAATTGGCACCTGAGGGAAATTATTAAGAAATTTCGCCCTGCAGGACTGGGAATTGCGATGCAAATTGGGGTTCTAGATGATTTTGGTTTGGAATGAGCTGATGTGGACACATTGTGGACACACTCCACTACAAACTGCTACTTGAGTAACACAGACTAACGCTTAACACGGAATTTTCTCCTCCAATCCAGTCAAGTTTTTCAATATTCAACCAAACCAATCGTTGCCATGACTATTTGAAGTGCAGCACAGCAGCGCTTCAAGGTTGCATTTCAGATATGCAAACTACATAGTAAGATATAGTGGCCTGTTATAGGGAATTACTGAAACATATCAATGATGCGGTTGTTATGGATAAGTATTGCATAATATATCTGTTAAACATCTTCATTCTTCATTGTGTGTGAATTATAGACAATTTAATTCGTTTTAACCTTAGTATCATTATCATGCATTTATGTGGGAACTTTTAGTCATAGATTTTATAAGGATAATCATGTACTTCAAACCATACCAGATTCTAATCTTTGCCGTACTAGTGCTATCTAAGATTAAGTTTAATTCGATAGTTTTAAACGAAAATAATACACACTCAGGTCCAAGTCGAGTTAGGAGGTGTTATGTCCTGTTATGCTTATAAATATAATTAGCCATCAAAAACAACACAACGTCTTCATTATTATTAATTTTTTCAACAGAGCTTGCGTTCCTCGCTCATTTTTTGCTCAGACAGCGAATTGACTTGATAGGATTGTACGCGAGATGAAATGTTAATCGAGAAATTAGTAACATTAGTAAGTATTTTAAATTAAGCAGAAGAATTAATATCAGGTGATCTGTTGAATATTGACATCCAAATGTTAAGTTCTAAATATAATGTAAGGTTACAAAGGTGGAGACAAAATACAAAGCAGGTCATAACGATCAAAGAGTTTGGAGCATAGTTTCGGAAATTATTTAAGTCAAAGTTACACAATTGATTGTGCTGAGGATTTACAATTTCTGTTTAGTACCTTATCAAAGCAGAGCCAGTGGTAATACTGACGGAGAAGAAGATCATGGACAAAGTCAATAAAATCTAGAGAAGATTTCAGCAGGATAATAACAAGAAAAAACTGCGGGTTACTATAAAGTTATAGCAAATTTTTGATCGATTATTGTATCAAACCATGTATTCGAATCAAATCGGTTCTCACCTTTTTGCTAACTGCTGCTGTACAGAGTCAAAATCTACAGAATAACGAAAAAAATGTACAGAACAGGGCCGTTAGAATTGTGATTAGTCTGTTAAAAGTGGCAAACAGTCCTTCGACAGAATGTTTCCCCTACAGTTGAGAATGTGAATTTATCTTAATTGAAAGTAAACATATATAAACTAGAAAGAAAGTTGTAAATATTACTAGACTTTACATTCGACTGACCGACAGTTATCCAGCTAGAAAAAGTAAAATCTCTCTTTGCGATTACAAACATCTGGCATAAAAACAGCATAAGAACGAAAAACCGAGCTAAGAAAGCAAGCATGGATCTCTAGAGCAAGCGTGAAAAACAACATCAAAATGGAACTATTTCTGTCCTATCCGATCAAGGACCCACAACCTAGTAAATTAATTCAACTAGTAGGCCTAATATAGCAATTGTTCAATTCCTTTTTAAAACGATTTTCATTAAAATGGTCTTAATCACTATTTTTACTACTTTATTATATTAAAATAATTATTTGAAAACTACTCCAGTCAACAAAAATGTATCAACTTGCATACAACATAAATAAATAGGAATTTAAATTTGTTGCTACCCTATAGGTACCAAGACAATTTTGTAATATCCAACGCGAAATAATGTCGACGATATCCACCACGGTTGTAAAATTAAGTTACAAATACGCATGTTTAAACTCATTCTTAGCTAAAGTTTAACAAATCAAACCCAAAAATTTTTCTTTAAATTTATATGAATATTTGATACTAGCATTTAACTATATTTTACATACTAATTATAATAAATTGGATGTAATTTATCTAATTTAAAACGATGCAACAGTGATATGCCAAGTAAATCGGCGCGCGGCGCAGCAAATCGTCCATATTGGATTTACAACCAAATTTTGGTTGTAGAAAAAGTAATTATTCCCTCCCTTCGATGCGAAGCAAGAATGCTAGTTCGCGCGGCGCGTCGAAGCGGCGATCGAAGTCCTCCAAGTTATAACCTACTACTATAAAAACTACTGTCAACAATAAGGCGCGCGCGCGGCACCGATGCTTCACAATTCATTTAATCAACCTATTACACATTGAACATATTGTATTGTTACTGAGCGGTGCGGCGCTCAGTCTGTCATTTTTATTCCGTCGAATTGCTTAAACATGACAATGCGTGCGATGCGTCCAGCGTCGCGTCGAACAGATCACATTAAAATTTTACAATTAGCATAAACTTAAGGGTATACAAATGACTTTCGGCCGTTTTAGAAATATGAGGTGGCCGTGGGTCATTAAAATGTACGTGTAAAATATTAGTAACAAATATATTTATTAGTCAAAACCACTTTATTTGAATTTGAGCCTAGCCATGCTGTTTCCACATTCCACAATGTATGTTATGGAAAATATGTAATAATTCATTGTTTCACATAGCCATGTACGTGTATACGCGTACTGCCTGACGCGCTTGTTTCACAAGTAGAATATATCCTTTGCCGCCTTCGGCGGTCGCGCGCTACTGCAAGCGAAAGGGCTCTGGTTAGAGCAAATTCATTGTCATACGTTGTATGACCCGCCGCCTACGAGTGCGCGGCTCCCCTGTAGTGAAACGACCGTGGGGTCACGACGTGATACAAATTATTCATGCATGTATTATCATGCATAACAAAACATATTTTGTTAATTACTGAATTGAACACCGACGACGCTTTACTAATCATTTGTCGATGTCTTGGTCACCTTTGAGATTTCTGTTAAATGATAATCCACCAATTTTAATTTGTTTCATGAAAAATAATAATCTTAATCATGTATAAATTGTTTTAATTGTTGCATGGGCTTCACTTAGACGGTTTAGAGTTAAAACTATTAAAACCATTTTTTAAATGAAATAATTGTGCCTTTCATTAATTTCTTGCTAGGTAAAAATTGAAATATTTTAAAAAATATTCCCATTTTTACATACCAAGAAAATAGACCTTTATAACAAGTATCCTCTTCAAAATCCAAGCTCTCTACCCAAATCAGTCACAACATGAGGGAAGAATTTGTGGATACCTGGAAATCTGCCAAGGCATCCTCACCTAAATTAGAATTCTACAATCAAATTAAACATGATTTTGAACCAGAAACATACTTAGGAGTGGTTAAGATCCCCGATGCTCGGAAAAGCTTAACAAGGTTTCGTATTAGCTGCCACAATCTTTACATTGAGAGGGGCCGTTACGAAACCCCCCTAGTACCAAGAGAACATCGATGGTGCACTTTTTGCTTTTTCAGCAAGGGGCTTAAGCCTATTGAGGACGAAATTCATGTTCTAACTGACTGTTTACTCTACTCCTCAATTAGAGAAAAATTTAACTTCCATCCCAAAAATATTACTGACCTAGCCGGTTTGCTATCCGATAAAACACTAGACCCTACAAAATTTACTGCCACAGCAAGAGCAATCCATTCAATTCTCTCTGTGAACGAAAATTTTACAGCCTACTATAAGAGCCCAGATTTCCACTCAAATACTGGCCAATGCATAATGCTATAGGACCTCAAAAATAGTATTATATTAAACATTTCTATTTTATCCCTACACATCTGTAAATAACTAGAATTGTGTAACCTTAAATTATTTCAGAATTATAACTATTGTGAATTCAATAAAATAATTATCACTTTTGTATCCTTGTATCCTTGTATCCTTGTATCCTTGTATCCTTGAGGGATATCCGATAAGAATTGCTGGTTATCGGAGATCACTGCATCTTTGCCAATCTGATGCAGAACTACGAACACAGAGACAACCCTCTGTGCCATTATTTGATAGGCCCACGTGAATTTAGTGTTCCGGGAAAAGAAGAATTGGCCACTGAATGTATGATACAATAAATGAAATCAAGTGATGGAATTAGCAAAGCACAATCATAAATCATGATTGATTCGGTCCAGTTCTCATCACCTTAGAATTGAAAGGGGGAGATATGACAAAACTCCAATTGATGAAAGGACCTGCAACTATTGCGAGCTTAACACCAACCAGCTATTCATCGAGGACGAGAATCATATGCTCCATTTCTGCCCCCTAGGGAGAGGTCCTAGGGACAAATTTCAAAATCTCAGTGGAAAACTACTCAACAATGTTGGTAATGGTAGCTTCAATCTTGCCTCCACGTTCATGTCGCAGTCTGATTGCAAGGATACTCCCAGTGATGAGGACGTAAGTTTGATCAAACTCTCAACCAGCACCATTAACAAGATCTACAGACTAACCCTCAACTTCAAAGACAGTCTGAAAGCAGATAACTAGTTTCCTTTCTCAGTTTTCTATTTTTGTATTCTTTCTTCTTTTTTCCTCTCCTCCCTTCTTCCTCCTAGCTTTGAATCTGTGATGGATGTGATGGAAGGCTTGCGTTCACTTTTATCCCTACATGGGCTCCCGGCCGTGCGTCCATGTGGGAGCTGTGGGTCCTTCCGAGTGATAGGGTTACAGTGACTGCTAGTAGAGAAAATATGAAGGTTCCACCAGTAGACATAAGTATCGAAAGCAGGGCATTGGCTTGACCTCTGAGGCGGGGTATCCGTGAGGACCCTGGTCGTAATCAGCTCTGCACTGTTTCAGTGTATCCTGATGCCTGAAATCTCGGACACTGCCTACGTACGGAGTAGACAGCCACGGATGATTTTGTCTGTGAGCTTTTCATCACTTCCTGACATGAGCCAGACCTCAGCTGGATCCTTCCTTTTCCTTTTTCTTTACTTCCCGTTCAGTCTACCTCTTCATCATCAGTTTGAGTTGCTTCGCCTTGCATTCGAACTTTGCCTCCACAGTTCACCACGGCACCTCTTTTGGATGCCTCCTACCAGGCAACACTAGCTCTCAGACACTGGCTAACTTACCACGCACGGTTTAGTATCTGTGTCTTTTCTGTGGCCGTGTATTCCGTTTTATGCCACCCTCTCTGCCGTTCTCGCGCTTGCGCTCACCCACTCCTCAGTGGGCTGTTCATTTGACAGAGTTACTGGCTGGCACTCCCATCATCTTCTCACTCACCATCACTGCCCAATCAAATTTATGCAATCAAAATCACTATACACCCATAATCAATGATTATATGATTATTAATCATATGATCAAAACGCAAAGCTTTGAAATATACTTTTTTCTGTTTGAGATTTGAATAACGTTACTGTAATGTTCCAAATTATATTTTAAATGTTCAAAAATGTTCAATGAGCAATAAATCTCATCTGTTCAGAATGCATAACAGTCTGACTATAATGATTTGCAGCCACTGTGCAACCATATTGGTATAATATCCTATTAATCATTTTTACTGACTTGTTGACTTAGGTAGTTTTTTCTGGTGTTGATGACCTGAAAGACCAGTACATGAAGATCTAACTTCCTTCACTTGAGTCATGAGATACAGACCAGCCATATTTGTGGGGTTAATCGCAACAATTGTATACTTTGATGTCACTAAAGACTACAATGAGCAGATTTGGCAGCAGTGTGAAAATCTCATGGTGTGGAGGTCAAAAGAATCCATTTTGGCAGATAGATATGGCCGGTTTGTTGATAAAACCCAAACTTTAGCCAGCTCATTTTTCATTGGATTCAATGGAAATATGGATGTCATTTTGAATGGTTAGTTGAACTCAAATTTATCAATTATAACATGTCACATTTCTCTGTGCGCACACATCTTTTGCATAGTACATGGTCATTTAACAATTATGTGATTCTAGGCTCAATATAATAATTCTAGACAAATGTCAATTGTTTCAGGTAAAGAATTGTTAAAAAAGCTTGGATACAGCAGTTCTGACAGTATTCATGGGCAAGATAAACTGGTTATCAATACAGCTGCTGATCTGGCTAGTGTTTTTAAATACTACTTCAAACAAGAGACTGCAGCCGAGAGAGCAGTCATTGAAGAGGATAGCTGGCTTGAAATTCTGAAAGCAATTAATGAAATAGAAGACAAAACTTACTTCATTGGTGGAAATGCTGCTCTAATTGCCAGAACCATGAGTTACAGCAATATTGCGGTATGTTAACTATTTGAATTATGACATTTCTCATTCACAACTGTTAGAATGTAATGATTTATTTCTTTGATAGAATCTATATTGATTGATCTGTGCAACCACGTTGGTGTACTTTATAAATTATTTGGCATAAAAAAGAAGTACTAAATTAACTGTTTAGTAGATTAAGTTAGCTGTGCCTGGTGGCCCGGAGTTGATAAAGCAGCTAAAAGAGTACAAGGTTGATGTTATGGATCAGTGTCAACAGTCTCAAGATGAACTACACGTTATAATGGAGGTTAGTATTGGAATTTTTGAATTCAGTGCCCGCTATTGCATTATCATAGATCATGAAAACTGAAAAGCGAATGTTTGTTTCAGACACTAATATTTTGCTAATATTTTGAACAGTATGGAGTGGGGGAAGAATTTGCTGGTCACACTTCGAAGCGAGCAAACAGATTCATATTCTCAAGGGACATTGCCAACAGTCAGATGTCAGCTATTGCATGTTTGACTGAAGGTACGACAATGACATTCCAGTGAAAACTGGAATGTCGGTTGGATGTCTCATTATATCTCAAATAACTACCGGTCAGGCAATATAATGTGGCTGTCAAAATATCAGAAATAATAAATATATTCCCCGAATCCAGGAGCCTGACTAAATTTCATAATTTTCAGGGGCAGTAGCTGATGTAGACGTTGTTGTGATAGCAGGTTTCCACATGCTAGAGACACAGCCCACTGTCCAACAACACGCTGTAAGTCTCTTTCAATTTGGCATTGTCTTCGAAACTAAGGTTAAATCATAGTTGAAATAATTGTTATCATTTGATGTTGGATTACCAATTAATCACAGGTGATTAGGTCAGTTAGAGAGAAATTGTTATCACACAAACAAATTCATCTGGAGTTAGCCAGTATGACGAATAGAGCGTTCCTACTGGACTTATTTAACATGCTTGCAGTCCAGTAAGTTAACCCAGTTCTTTCTGTAATATGTGTTTCAATTGTGACAAATTAAAACTGAAGTCTATCGTGGCTTGTGCTCGGAAAATAACATCAAGCGAATTTTCGTTATTGAAAATTTCACAAATAGAAATAATATGAAAGTATATTTCTCTCAGCTCACACTCTCTTGGGCTGAATGAAGCAGAGTTAGATTTCTTGTCAGTTTCACTCGGGGGGGACAGGGTAGATGTTAAAGATGTCTCCAGTGTGAAAGCAGCTCTGGTTCTGGTACTAGAGAAAGCTGGGAGAGAAAGCTTGCTGACCAGAGTTCATTTCCACTGTTTGACTTATCATGTCATTATCGAGAGAAAAGGTTGGTGGTCACAAATTACCTAACCAGTTTGAAAGTATTACTTATCGGTTAGATGAGAATTTAGTTTTATATAAATATGTTAGTTGGCAGATTTCGAGTTAATGATTTATCATCAGGTCACTGGAAGAACAGTGCAGTATCTGTTGCTATGGGAACATACATAGCTGCCAAGTTTGCATGTGACACGCCGACCATAGTTCCAACAAACCACGAATTACGGTACCTTGGCACTGACATCAAACCCGTCCAATCGTGAGTTAAATGACGTACATTATAATTTATACACTACAAATTACTACTGATTGCATATATTAGCTCAGATAATCGGAGATAAAGTTACTCCAAATATCCAACCTGCATTTCTTACTGCCCCAAAACTGAACAAACAAACATGCGTTTAGTTTAGAAATCCTGATTTCCCGAGAAGTTTTGCAAATTACAGTTTAGACACTCTCTCACACTACTTGTTATGATCTGTGTTTACCTTGTTGTTTCAGTGAGGAGATTGGGGACTACATGCTGAACATTTCACCTGTACTGGTGTGTAAACATCCTCTGAAAACAGTCGGACTGGGAGACTCCATCAGTGCTACTGGTCTTCTTTACACTATCAGAACTAACAATTAATAATTATAATCTTAATTGATCTGATCTTAATTTGATAATGATTATACTGATTAGATATATTAGGTAATTTGAATCTTTGAAGAATCTCAAAACACAATATGGGCCATGTTGTTGCTTGATTACTGCTGTGGACTCCATATTTGAATGTGTTTCATATTTAAGATTGAAATGAAATTAAGGGTATTAATTTTTTTCATACAAGTTAAAATAAAGTCTTCATGTTATGAATCCTGAAAAAAATGAATTTGTTGCTTTGGTCTCTGCGGTATTTTTATTTCTAAATTTCAAGCAAAGATGTTATGAAATCCCTGCCATTTTCAGTAATCAAGTTATCGTGACCCTGATAAATTATACAACCACTGGCCTTATTGTTTAATTTCTGATTTCGTAATTAATTTTATTGTTGGGCTTTGTAAAGAGCAGCATGTTTGTTTTTTTAAATGATTGAATTCTACATCAGATTTTTAGGGGCTGGCTCAAAATTTATTTTCGATTATAGACTTTATTGTGTACATGGTTTATTTCTTTAAAGATTTTTACCAAAACTGTTGAGACCAATTATTGGACTAATCACGATTTTATGAAAACGATATTTTCCCAGCACCCTATTATCTTAAAGATTGAATACTGATGTTCTGGAAATTCATAATCAAAACAATAAATATTTTGTTTAGAAATGTTTGGAAATCATGTGATCACTGTTACCAGCCGATATATTAGATAGGTTATATAAACTTGTTGAAAGGACGAAACTAAAATGTTTAGAAATAACGGCCAAACTCTTTTCCAATTCACTTTTATAATAAACAGTGCAGACTTGGCAGGTAAAGGAAATGTCTTCTATTTATATAAAAATAACACAATGTGGCAGAATACACAACCACATTAAAATTACGAGAATGATATAAACAGCACCATGCTAAGATATGGTTTTATGAAGAGACCCTTAAATTATAGAGTTCTCCGTATCTAAATAGGAAAAAATGCTGAATTCTGAAATACTCAAACATACCCCATTCGGTATATCCCCTCTATACGACCACCTCTATTGACAGTCATCAGCCTAGTATCCAGTCTATCATATATAGGCTCAGCTTCATCTCTATTTCCCAAAGTGGCCCCATTGTTTCCCGACACACCAGGTGGATATGCTACTGAGTCAAGTAACTGCAGTAAATCATCCAATGATTGGTAAAGAAGAAGTGTTTCATGATTCTCGCAATCTGGGGGGAGTGGGGGCATCTCTCCTTGAAAAACTGGGCTTGTAGCCTGTTCTAGTGTTCTAGCTTCCTCTTGTTCTAGCTTCCTTTTGTTTGTCAGCCACAGTACCACGCAGGTGGAGATTACTAGAGTAACTAAAACTGCGCATACCACAAAGAATATGATGTAAGCGATGTGTTCTTGAGAGTTTCTGGTCTTGTTCTCTCCAACACCCTCTTCAGTGCTAGCACTGTATGGGAGGTTAAACGCTGGTATCATTATATTTCGTTTTGTTGTTTTGTTTCTTCCTGTCGTGACCTTGCAAGTGTAGAATATTGATCTGTTGGTCTCGGTGATGTTTGTTAGCGTGGACGATTGATGAAGCTTGAGTCTTTCTCGCCGGTTTTCATTTTGCTCCTCTGTGCCACTTACAAGCACTTGATTGTCCTTAAACCACAAGAGTTCAGCTATTTCATCAATACTTCCACCCTGACAAGTGAGGTTTGTACCTTGTCGTTTGAGAGAAACCGCAGGTTCAACACAAGGGCAGAGCCGGATTGTCAAGTCACCCTCACAGTGTTCCGTCTTCAGAGATCTTATGACAGTATTGTTGTTCACTGGTAGTCCTCTCACCATTCTCTGAGCCAGGTTACGTGTTGCAGTGTTCAACTTTTTAGCATAATTCAATGTCTCTTCTCTAATGATTCCATTATTGTCCTGATCATATATCAATACTTTGAGAAACGTTTCATTTGTCTTCGGTATGAGTTGAGTTTCAAATTGTTCTGTGTCTTTGAAGTTACCTTTAATTCTGAAATCATCCGTTATGTCCACTGGAAATTCCGCTCCATTTACAACACCGGTAAGTAAGCTGATAATGCCAATAGAATTCTGCGATATTAGCCATCTTATTTTCAAGTTGGTGGCACCATTCCATGTTTTGGCTGCAAATGTAACACTGCAATTGGATGTGGAGCCTCTGAAGCTGACTAGCCTGGTGTAAGTCTGGTTCGAGTCTGTAACAGGATCAAAATACTGGTACTGGTCAGCTAGATCTAGGTTTGTTACGTTGTAGCAATTGTCAATGTTGCAAAGATCTGTGAATCCTTCTGAGAGAATCCCAACAATCGCCAGAAAACTAACCAAGGTTCTCATATAATTATAGAACATTACATAATTCAAAGTTCATCTTTTCTATCCTGGAGTTCGTTCGAGAGCCATTTTGTAGGTTTGCTTCGTATCTCAAGTGTTGTGAATTAATCTGTAAATCGTTCCTTCATTTTGAACTGGGTAGTTGTAATCTCATGAGCTATTAATTAATCTGATACATATTATATTTAATTAATTCTTACTGACAAGCTCGAATATATAAATAATAGGTCATAACTTTGAAGAGAACCAATAGAAAAGGTATCTTGTAAAATCTGCTAGAAGGCCATGAAAAACAATGCAAACACTAGACACGTTCTCTGACAAGTAACTTTGAGAGCAGCTCTACACAAAGAGTAATGTTCAAAAAGGAGTAGTGCACTAAAAGAAGTGCACGTATTACATGACATCGTGTGCATTGAATCTCATTAACATTCAAGACTAAAAAGGACTAAGGATAATGCATTGACAACGGCCTAGTCATCATCATATCACAAATTCTAAGAGGTACTGATCTTCAAGTAGTCTCTAAAAGTCTGAACTACACTCCTCTAATCGTTCCTATGTTCTGTGCAGGTGTACTTACTGCTATTCTATTCCATGTGAAAAGATGAGAGTTACTGGAAGAAAGAAGCTTAACATTACTTATTGTCTTTGGTGCTCTCTATCGTATGAATAATTCAGGTTTCTTCTTGAAGCTCCTCTAATCGACGAGATTCTTTCCTAGAATGGCGGGAGCCGCTTCTTTATCTGGAACCGTGAGCGTATTCATGAAAAACAAAATTACCAACTACATTTTGTGAACTTTTAAGATACGGCAACGTCGATTAAATAAATAAATATTGGCCACTTGGACTGAGCATAAGTAAAGTGTACTCATACTGTTCTCGACTCTAATTGTGCAGCAGATACATCGGGAATCGGCCAAATTTTTAATTTGTTTAATAATCAGTTTTGTCAACAAAGTAAAAGTTCTGAAAGGATTTATCCAAATTTTTCTAACAAAGATAATTTATTTGTTAAATAAAAGTTCAAGTTTTCTAACCTGCACAATGCACCAAGGTATGGCTGGGTTCAGAGTTCTATGCGACAAGTACGTGACAGCACTCTCCAGTAACGTAGGAACTGTCGGTGAAGTTGCTGCTCTTTTAGAACACACTACTGGTTCTGATCAGGAGAAGAAGACTTGTCTAGATGTTGCTTTCAGGAAAGCGCTGCTCAACAAGGTGGGACATTGTTTGTTTACAACTGATTGACTGTAGGACTCGCTGTGAGTTAAGGACATTATTATTTAATTGGAGAAAATTCCATCACTGACTTTCGCTTGAAACTAAGTGTATGCTTAATACTAAAGTAATAAACCGACGTTTGAAAAAAAACTTAATCACGTAACTAGGAATAACGTTTTCTGTATTATTTTAAAACACTCGTTAACTTATGTAAACAACGCAGTTAGTATATTACTTGCTGCTAGACATGTTTACAGTGATGAAAATTGCTCCAAATCTGAACATTTCTTATGACGCTAACAATTCCAAATTCATAACGGTCCGGTGCGTAAGCTTTAATAACGCGCAGATAGTCTCTACACTATCTTTCAAATATGAAGTAGTTAGCGCCTAGCTCGATTGGGTTCGTTTTCATGTAGATATACAATAATAATACTTATCAGTTTGAATTAACTTAAATTAATAACTTATTTTTATCAGGTGGTGGCAACTGACCAGGTCGTTAGAGGTTACATTGAGTTATCATTTGAGTCGGCTCAAGCAGGCTACTGCTCCACCAGTACTCCCTACTACGTTCTAGCTGATGTGTTTGATTGTCTCACTTTGGATCGGTGCCAAGAAATATTCAGGTGCGTTAGTTTTTAGAAGAATGAATTTCAATCATTGACAAAGTGAAACAAATTAATTTAAAAAATGAACATCTTATAAGAGAAAAATGCTTAAAATAGCAGAAATAACAAAACAAATAAAGTTATAAATATCAAATATTGAATCATTTTGCCATAAAAAATTATTAAGTGATTAAATTACTGTTGTATAAGCACCGGACGATGATTAACCTTTTCGATCACGGCATACTCAAAAATATAGTCAAAAATAAAACATAGTTAAATAATATAACATTGTCAAACATGACATAGGTCAAAAACATCGTTTGGGTAATGGTAACTACGTTTAGAGGTAAAACAAAGCTTAAGTATAGTGGTTGGATCAAGTCTAAGTAGCTGATGTAATATCGGCTGCACGACTTCCAGGCCCCCTCTATTATTAGGGGTCAGATCATATGACGTATAATTAGTGATGTGACGTATAATTAGTGATGTGATCCACCAACTACGATTTACAGAACATGTGAACTCTACCCTACATCTAGCCCAGTTTTACCCCTTACTTTTGATTTAAATTAACAAGTCAATACACATTTTTCGTAGGATAATTAATCAAATTTATTGAATACTGAATACTGAATACTGAATACTGAATACTGAATACTGAATACTGAATACTGAATACTGAATACTGAATACTGAATACTGAATACTGAATACTGAATACTGAATACTGAATACTGAATACTGAATACTTTTAAAACGTAAAAGAAATAGATAAAAACTGGACAAAGATAAGTTATCACTAATATCCAAACTTAAACTTGTTCAATTAATAGTTAATAATAGGTGACACTGATATTCGAACCCTGTTCTCTACACCTTTATACACCATACATAAAAAAGGCAAAAGTGTAGTGTAAAAAAGTGTAGTGTAAAATAGCCTTAAAAAGCCTAAAAAAGTGTAAATAGTGAAATGTTTTACTCACCAAAGGTATGTTTTACCCCTGTTTTGCCTTTGGAAATGTACTATGTGAAGACTGATGTGAAAATAATAGGGAAAAAAAGAAGATTTTGAGAAGATAATTTGGTTTTAAAGTGTAATTGAAGGTGTAAAAAAGTGTCATTTAGTGTACCCCTTTTTACTACACTTTTAAATATTAATTATTGAATATTAATTTTCAAATATTAATTCAAATTCAAATATTATTTCAAATTCAAATATTAATTTTCAAATAACAGTAATACAAAAGTCAACGCATGCTAATGCAAATGAACTTAATTATTTCTCCTAGTTTCTGTATTTTTTGAATACTAAAAAAACTAGCATCAACTTTGCTTCATTCAAAATGTGCAAAAATTTCTCCTCAAAATTTCTTCTATCTATTCTGTGAAGCTGTGAAGCATCACGAGTGAAAATCAGCATCTGACCGTTTTGTCTTTTTTCCCCAATTTTATCACAGCGGTGACAATAATTCAAGATATTTCAGCCATAATTTGTTGAGACTAGTAAAGCTAGCTGGCACCCAGGTATCTTCTCTAAAGCTTGAGAGTCTGCATCTCGTAGAGTCCCTCCTCCGGATCAGGAGAGAAGTTGTGTCCCATGGTGTTGGAGGAGTCAGGAACTGGAGGAGCACTGCTAGTAGGAGGCCTAATAACCCTGTTAGGTGGTGCCCCCATGGTGCTGGGTCCTGCCTCACCAGGTCTGTAGGTACCCCAGCGGTCCGGATCCCCTCTGTTGACTGTCATCCGATTAGGATCCAGTTTGTTGTATATGTTATCTTCATCATCACGTTGCTTGCCTGGCCTTGCCACTTGTGCGTAAACAGGCACGTTATCATCTTCATACGACCCGGGTTCTCTCGAATCCAACGCATTTAGTAACCCCTCCAAATCATGGTAGTTACTCTCTATTTCTAGCTCAGGCTCACTGTCCGGCAGAACCACTGGAATTATTGGCTGCTCTTCACTGGAGACATCTGAAGTTGGCTCAACTGCATCATTCACTAAAGGTTTAGGATCCGCGTTACAATATCGTCTGACCAACGTTAGAATGCCAACACAGATCAAGGTAATGACCGCCAATCCTCCTACAATCACAAGGATTATGATCGTTAGGAAAGCTTGTGAACCGTCTTCTTTATCTTTAACGGCATCTTCTTTACCATCAGTTGGGTTCTCTTCTTGAGCAAGTGCGGGTATCCTTTTAGTGCGTGTAGCATTAATTTCACTGTCTGATGTTAATGATACTGTGCACGTGTAATTACCTGATTCTTTTCTAGAGGTCACGTTGTGTAACATCGACATTTTCATCAAATCTCCAATAGAAGATGTCTCTGTTCTGTTATCCTGGACAGGGTTACCATTCTCTGTCCACGTTATAGCCATATTCTCATTCCCTTCTATACTCACTGCACTGCATTTCAGAACACTAGTTTCATTGTTCCATTCTAGTTCTGTTATCACTGGTTCAGAACATGGACACAATGACAACGTAAGTTTATCTCCGCACCCTGTAGCTGATAAGTTTCTGGTTATTTCCTCTGCAAGCAATTTGCTCCCTTTTCCTTGTAATAACCTTTTCGATGGCTCCACAAAGTGCGTAAGGAACTCGTCTTTGGATTGCAACTTCACATAATTAGACTCCCTTTTCTCATAATTGTCCGTATAATAATAAGCAAACACGGTATCTTCCAAACGAAACTGTATTCCTATAGTCATCACTGCATCATATGATGATATTAGGTCAGTTATTGTCGAATTGACCAGAGTTGATGGTTTGACATCCTGGTGAGGAGTATGTGTCAGCAGCAATTTCGCCTGCATTTTCACAAATTCCATCCGGAAATTGGTGGCATCGTTTTCTCTATTTGAGGTGCACTTCAATGAAAGACTGCAATTTTCTTCTACGAGTCCATTCAGAACCACCGTGTTGACCGTTTTAAGATCAAAACTTTCTATTGCACCCAGTTCAAAACCTACCGATCCAAGTTCACTCGATGAAATGTTATAACAGTTCTTGAGATTGCAAAAGGCAAAAATGTTAACTGGAGCTGCCAGCAGAACAACACAACAAAGAAATCTCATTGCTAGTGAACAGCGAAGTGCTAAATTTATCACCTAAATGTCGTGATCAAGTCGACTGCCAAAAATGTTATTTTAATTCTTGTAGCTGTTTTTAGAGTCAGATGTTGACTTTCTTCTCATTACAACATCTTCCCATAGTGTATCTGAATTAAATGTATTATTGTGTCATCATTATGTAATGTTTTATAAATAGACTAGAAAGCAGGGGTGTAGGAATGATTTTCTTCATGAGGGGGCCAAAATCTTAGAGTTTTTCAAATTTAGCACGCGCTTTGGCCACAGCCTGAAAACGTGTAAAAGGCCTAGCTGAGCAATTTGGCAATAGAGATCTATTTCAAACACAGTTTCAAGAATGATTAAAATAATACGATTTTAAATGCATATTAATTATTAGGGCCTGCAAGCAGCTCTTGCGAAATAAGTGTAGTTCGAAAAAGGGGTGCATATTGCATTCTCTGGAAAAGAATTTCAGGAAATTTGCTTCCAGAATTGAAATCTAGCAATGTGAAATGATAAATCCAGAAAGATTTTGTTGTGCCCATTTAATTAAGGGTCAAAGGAAATGTCCTGCAAATTTTGAAAAATATTCTTACAGTTATAGGTCTCACTCTCAAAGAGGGTACAACATGCAAGGAAGGAGAAACTGGAACAATTCTTGGAAAATTTGTTTTAAGGAACGAATTCTAGCAATGAGGTAATGTAAATTTGGACTACAAGGGGCAAACTGTGTCTTACTAATTTACTCCCACGGCATAAAAAAGTAATCAGTAATGTTATCTGAATTTTATACTCGCTAGGCTTCTGAACTTCTGATGAATCCAGACATGTAATATGTTTTGTTTTAAAGACCCGAGGGCCACTGTGTCCTGCTAATTTACTCCCACGGCATAAAAGAGTAATCAGTAATGTTATCTGAATTTTATAATCGCTAGGCTTCTGAACTTCTGATGAATCCTGACATGTAATATGTTTTGTTTTAAAGACCTTTAATTCACACACCAAAACTTTAAATTTTATCAAATTACAAATGTCCTAATATATACATTATACGTCTCTTATTAAGTTAAAAAGTCAGGGGTGCAGCCGTTGTACTTCAATTAAAATAATTGATCACGCCGGATCACGATGTTATTTTATCAAAATCAGCTACCCGTTTAATATCAGAATATGTAATATAAATTAACAGATTTCTGGTTCATTGAAAGATTCTGGTATTGAAAATACTGAACACGGCATAGAAGAGTAACCAGCAATGTTATCTGAATTTTATAATCGCTAGGTTCCTGAACTTCTGATGAATCCTGACATGTAATATCGGAATATGTAATATAAATTATCAGATTTCATGTTCATGCCAGCTCACAGCTGGATTGTATCCTGCTAATTTACTTGAAAAAGTTGGCCCCTTTTCGCCCCTTTTCCAGATTTTATGGGGGGGGCGGTCGCCCCCCCCCCTGCCCCCACTCTTCCTACACCCCTGCTAGAAAGCCCGTGGTCACAAGAAGAGGGCTAATAATATTCTTTGGTAGTCAGTTTTTATAGCATCAACAAATATCCGTCACAACCAAAGATATAACAGCCGATTAAAATGTAGCTTGCACTGAACATAACGTAATTACCACAAATCCGATCAAAATGTCACTCGCAAATCTTTGGACGTGCACGTGCGCTTTTGAATACCGATGGCGTTACCATGGTTACTATGCAACTTTATATTTCTCATATAATTTGCACGTGGGCGGTCGTACAGACAGCAGAAATAATTCTTTGAATTATAGTATAGAATATTTATTTACTTTACTGAAATAATTTATGAACGATCACAATAGTTTCTATTTTTATTAGAGTAGATGATTTTTTCTCATTAATGCATAATCCTTCATGATGTAGTCGAATTAAATGTATCATTATGTAATTTAAAAAAAGAAATGTGT